AAAACTAAGGGATAATAATAGGTAGATAAGATAAGGTCCCTATATAGTATAATTAAGGCATACCCAGCTTAATAATATAAGTATATCTAAGTTTAGATATAACTTAATAGAAGACTAGCTACCGCTATAATAGATAGTAGAGCTTAAGGTAACTTTATATTACTTAGTATAGTAAATAGATAATAGATAACCTAGTAAAGAAAGGTAGAAGAAGACTACTATAAACTTAGCACTATTAAAGGAGAATAAGTCTAGTATAGTAGAGGACGTATTATAGTAGAGATAGTATACCTCTCTATATAGATCTATAGCTAGAATAAGTAATTAAACTTTAATATTATAGAGATAGGAGATAAATATAATATTATCCTTAGAAGACTATAGTTATATAATAGTAACCTATAGATAGATTAGAGAATAGACTAACTCTAATAGGAATAGGACTTAGTTACTAAGTAGTAACTTAAGAAGAGTACCTTAAATAAGTATCTAGTAACTCCTTAAGTAAGAAGATTTATTACCTACCTAAAGATTAAGGATGAGAATGCTAGGACGTTATTAGTAATAGATATTAATAAGAATAATTATCTTCTATTTATTTTAGATAAATACTAAGTCTATAATAAACTATTTATAAAAGAACTTAAGACTAGACTACTAGAATATAGACCCTTTAATTATAAGATTAAGCTAAAAGAAGGGAAAGAACTAATATATAGCCTAATCTATAGACTATCTTAAGATAAGATATAATGCCTAGATAAGTAGTTAAAAGAAAACCTTAAGAAAGGATATATTAGACCCTTAATATTACTAATAGGATATCTAATCCTATTTATACTTAAGAAAAACGGAAAGAAATAACTATATATTAACTACTAAAAACTTAATAATATTACTATTAAGAACTATTACCTATTACTACTTATCTCTAAACTATAAGACCTACTATATAGAGCAAACTAGTTTATAGCTCTTAACCTTAAGGGAGCCTATAACCTAATTTATATTAAAGATAATAATATATAGAAGGCTGCCTTCTAAATATATAGAGGATATTTTAAGACCCTTATTATGCCCTTTAGCCTTACTAACGTATTAGTAACCTTTTAGAGTATAATTAATTATATCTTATAAGAATATATTAATATATATATTATTATATATCTAGATAATATCCTTATCTTCTTAAAAATAATAGATAAGTATAAATAATATATATATTAAATGCTTAAGGCACTATAAGACGCTAAACTACTAGTAGAACTAGAAAAGAGTAAATTCTATACTTAAGAAGTTAACTACCTTAGATTTATTATTACCCTAGGAATTATTAGAATGAGTAAGAAAAAGATTAAAATAATCTAGAAATAGATAATACTATAGAACGTTAAGGATATCTAATTATTCCTTAGACTAATTAACTTCTACTAACGCTTTATTAAGAACTATACTAGAACTAGTTAAAGCCTTATAGAGCTTACTTAAAAAGATAAACCCTTTAAGTAGATAAAACGATACTAGAAAGACTTTAACTAAATTAAGTAGTATATAGTAGATAACGTTATTCTATATATATTAAACCTAGAAAAACCCTTTAAAGTTAAAATAGATGCCTCTAACTTTATAATAGGAGTATAACTCTTATAATGAGACCTAGAAGGATAACTATAACCTATTGCCTTTCTCTCTAAGAAGCTTAATAAACTAGAACTTAACTATTAGATCTATAATAAAGAACTTATAGTAATTATTAAAGTATTTAAGGAATAGAGACCTTATCTCCTAGGAACTAAGTACTTAGTAAAAGTCTTTATAGACTATAAGAACCTCTTATACTTTACTACCTTAAAGAACCTAAATAAAAGATAAATTAGATAGTTAGAGTTCTTATTTAAATTTAACTTTAAAATTATTTACTATAAAGGATCTAAAAATAGATAAGCTAATACTCTAAGTAGATAAAGGGACTATAACGTCCTAGTACCTAAGGAAATATAGGTTATCCTTAAAACGAATTAAGAAGGTAACCTTATGCTAGCTATTAGACTTCTATATATAGCTAGAAGGAATAATACTAGCTTAACTAAAAGAATATCTACTAAAGCTATTATAGAAATATACGCTATACCTATATATAGCTACTAAGGCGTAACTAAGATATAGAAATATATTAGATAACACTATAATAAAACAGCTATATAATAAGAAGTATCTTTAGTAATTAAGGACTATAAGGTTTGCGCAAAAAATAAACCTAGCTAATACTAGCCTTATAGTAAGATATAGCTGCTCCTAATGCTATAAACTATATAGGAATCTATCTTATTAGACTTTATTACTAAGTTACTTAAGTCTTAAGAACTAATAACTAAAGTCTATTATAATAATGTCCTAGTTATTATTAATAGACTTACTAAGTACTTATACTTTATCCCCTATATAGAGTCTAACACTATAGAAGACCTTACCTATAAGTTTCTATAGATAACTATTAGTTAATATAGAATACTAAAGGAAATTATATCTAATAGGGATAAGTTATTTACTTCTAAGTTTTAGAGATCTCTAATCTTATAGTTAGGGTCTAATTATAAGATATCTACTGCTTTTTATCTATAAACTAATAGCTAGATAGAATAAATTAACTAGATTATAGAAACCTACCTATACTGCTACGTTAACTATTAGTAAGATAATTAGGTCTAACTACTACCTATAGCCTAGTTTGCCTATAATAGCGTAGTAGGAGAAAATATAAAAGAATTACTATTCTATCTAAACTATAGATTTAACCTAATAGCCTATAGAGAACTATAATAAGGCCTAATAGCCCTAAAAGCTATAGTAGATATTAATAAACTTAAGGAAATCTAGTAGGAACTCCTAAAAGAACTTAAATTTATATATAAATAAATACGTAAATATACTAACACCTTAAGAGTTAAGGGACTAACTCTATAGGAGGGGGATAGTATATACCTTCTCTATTAGAATATTAAAACTAAATAACTAAGTAATAAGTTAGACTTTAAAAAACTTAGACTTTTTAAAATTATAAAGAAGGTATTTAATATTAACTTTAGACTTATACTACTAGATACTATAAAGTATTATTTAGTCTTTTATATTTTACTTCTTAAAAAAGTATTAGTAGGTCTATATATAGAAGACTATATTATTATAGAACTATTAGAACTAAAATATAAAGTTAAATAGATTATTAACTACTATAAGATAAATATAAATATAGAATATCTCATTAAGTAGAAAGGGTATAGATATAAAGATAACTTATAGGAACTAGTTAAGAACCTTTAGCACTCTTAAGTAATACTTTAGGACTATTATTAAAACTAACTATCTTAAAAAACTTAACCCCTATAAATACTATACTCTAGTTAATTACGTCTATATAACTATTAGCCTAAACCTTAGTAGCTAAAGAAGACTTAGACTCCTCTAAGGACTCCCCTATAGTAACTAACTATTTAGACGCTACTATATTGCCTTTCTTAAAGATTAACTGCTTCTCTTTTTAATAACGCTTAAGTTAACTTAGAGACTTTAATATCTTAAGCTATACTTTCTATAATATAGCTACCTTTTTATAAAATACCTCTTCCTTAGCCCTCTTAGCTAACTTAAGCTATTAAGACTCTTTAAGGAAACGGCTTACTAGAAAAATACCTTAAAATTAGTAATAAATAAAAGGACTAGAAATAAATACCTATAAGTATTAATTGCTACCCTAGTTATATTATAAGAGCGACCTTAATAAGTATATTTATTATACTTAGAATACTTCTTTACTATCTTATAAATACAGCCGTTTACCTAATAATAAGAATATAGTATAACCTTAAAACCGTTTTAGAAGATTTCCTAAGACTAGAGCTAATAATAAATAGTAGAGGAAGCCTTTACTGCTTAATTAGACTTTTACTTTTAAATGCAACTTAATATAGTATTAGTATTATAAAAATAAGGAAGTAAGATTAATAACTCCCTAACCTAGGAGATACTACCTACTTATATAGGTCTAAGGGACTAGATCTTTAGAGAGGAGACCTAATATTATAACCCATTAAGTATAACTAATAAAGAACGCCCTATTAGGATATTAAGTAGTTATAATAATACTTTTATATATAGGATTATAGGAATAGGGAGGACTCCTTAGAACGGAAGAACTATAGGTAAGTTATATAACTAAGGAAGTATAAGTACTAATAAGATAAGATATAAGCTGCTTATAGTGTGGACTATAAGCGCTTACCTTAAGTAACTACTAAGTAATCACCTAATAAGTAATTAAGGTAAGAAGCTAGGAGGATAGGACTTATATATAGGATAGACTTAAGTCTGCTTAAGAATAGACTTCTATAGCTCTTTAGTAATTAACTTATAATTATTACTTATAATACTTTTAGCTATACCTAAGTAATAATTACTCTATAACTCTTATTGAGGACTTAACTAATTACTAAGCCCTTTAAAGACCTATAATTACTTAATTAGACCTATAGAACAACTAATAACTATTACTATTATTATTACCTAACTTACTATTAATATAAACCCCACTATTAGTTAGCTAGCCGTAATAATAATAAGGCTAAATAGAGTTTATATCCTATTTACTTTTATTTACTATTAATTTATAAGGGAAATACTCTAATAGTAATAATAGAAGTAAGAGATAATAGAGAGAAGATCTCTAAATAGCTTTATTTAAATAGGTTAAAAGTCTATTTAAATTAATAGATTATAAACTATTTAATTAATTAAATAGAGAGCATTAAAATTATAATTAATTTAATCTAAGGGGTTAATTTAACTTAAATTAATTTATAGTGGGCACTACTTATATATTCCTCACCTCAGCTATACGCCTCAATATACTCCTTCTCAACGCTGGAGTTATGGACTGCCCACCCGGTAGCATAACTAGGGAAGGCTATGAGATGGCCTTTAGAACGAATCACGTAGCTCACGCCCTGCTGGTCAAGCTTCTCACTCCGGTATTACGCAAGACTGCCGAGGCAAGTGACGTCCGCGTGGTCTTTGTCAGCTCCGTGGCGCACAAGTTTGGACCCAGAAGCGGACTGCAGTTTGACAGCTTCAAGCCGAACGAAGGCAACGGCGGTCTCTCCCCAAGCGCTCTATACGGGCAAAGCAAGCTCGCAAACATCCTGTACGCTCGCGAGATGGCCCGGCGGTTTCCTCAGTGGACGACTGTCTCCGCCCATCCTGGGACGGTCAGGACGGACTTGGGACGCGACGGGAATGGGGGTTTCATGATGAAGGCTTTCCAGACCTTGGTCGTTCTGTTCATTGGTGTTGATGTAGAGGACGGCGCAAAGAGTCAGTTGTGGGCGGCTACTGCTGATGGGGTTGAGAGCGGGGAGTATCATGTGCCTGTCGGTGTTTCAGGCAAAGGAAGTGCGCGCTCGAAGGATAAGACCCTTGCGAAAAAACTTTGGGAATGGACTGATGAAGAGCTGAAGGGTGTAGAGATCTAGCTTGAACTTCAAGCGCGATGAAGGCTTTGTAAATTTAGTGCATTCTACACTCGCAGCCGTTACAAACAAGTCAGAAAAGCCCGAGTCTCGAAATCTGATCTGATTATGAAGTGACGGGTTTTCTACTCGATTTGCATGGAAGCTGACTTGAATGGAAGAAAGGAGATTCCCACGCTACTGTTCGACGAGGCCAGTCGGACATTGAGTTCCACGATCGAGTCTCTCCATCATACCGCCTCTTGAAGATCTCTTCGGTACCGTCAGAGCAAGTGAAATATCCCAGGAGAAACAAGTCATCGGTGGTCCCATCAGGTAGACCGACCTGAACATCCCGTATTCTGCAGTTTTCCGGTAGAGCCGGCGGAGTCCGAGGGTGGCTCGACGCCTGTTTGACGGCTGCTAGCGTTGCATCGCTCCTGCATGAGAGAATGTCTTCGTAGAAATTCGACTCTTCCAGTCGCATGACTTCTACCACTATCGCGGCAGCTATTGATGAATCCCAAATGCCCTCTTGATGTTGGGCTGAGAGGAGAAGCTCGACGGCTCGACGTCTGATGTATGGATTCCGACACTTCAAGCCGACATAGTATAGAGGAGGTATAACACCCATGTCGGCGGTGAAGTTGAATCCTGACCCGTGATGATTGGATGCCATGTCAGCGAGCATAGCAGGTAGAGCGATGGCTAAGATGTCCTCCGTCCAAGTCACAATGGACTCAAAATGTGCATTGTGTCTGTCGAACTTGGACTCGTCTTCTGATTGTAGAGCAGTTTCGATGATGATATACGCCATCCAGTGATATACCAGCATGAGCCGGCAAGCAAGCCCTTCTTTGGATGAAGATGGTGTTCGTGTATTTGTCTTAATCGTGTTGAAGTTTCGAAACCATGAGCTCAATCTGCGTCTTAACTTGTGTTGCGCAGAGAGGAGCTCGAACGAATTTGACCAGTCTTCTTTCTGCAGCTGTTGTCGTCCCTTATGATCAAGCTCGTATGCTGATGAGAGGAGACAGTCAAGTTGCTGTCGTGCTTCATCGTATGAAAGGAATGGACTGCAGGGCAGGATGTCGACGACGCTGAGATGATCCGACCGACATGCAGCGGACCCATGAGCCTTGGCAAGTCTTGCCTGGACGTCGAGGCGCTTTACGGCCTCGATAAGAGAGTCCGACGTAGAGCTAACGTTTCTATCATTGTTTTTGCCAGAGGGCGAAAGTTGTTTCAGTAACCCAAGGCCACTGCTGAGATGGGAGTATCCGGACTCAAATCTTCGCCGTATATACTCTAGACAAACGAATAAGATGCAACAGGCGACAGCAACATGAGTCGATGTCGTGTTCTGGGTACAGAGGCGTGTCCTTAAGAAGCCAATCGACTTGTTGTAGTGCTGTAACATCTGGCACTCACGGGTGTTTGATTCCAGAGTTTTCTTCTCATATGATGGAGGAGTTTCCGAATCAGTCAACTCGCCCTCATGAGCGGATGCTAGGGCTAAAATCGCATGTAGAATTGCGGGCTCGCCCGAGCTCATCTGGAGAATGAGAGTGCTCCAGAACTGGGAATCAAAGACTCCTGTCAATTTGGTGGTGGTTCGTCGGACAAACCATTCGAATTGACGTCTCTCGGAGTCGTTCAACTCTCCAATAGGAGTGTGGGCCTTGTGGATCGGGATTAACGGTCTCTGTGTGACAGCCTGCGGTGTTTGATATCCCCGATCCCAGATTCCGTATCCGTCGCAAGTTCTACCCGTCAGAACACAGCGGCGGCACGCAGGTCGTGTCTCATCGCATTTGATCTTGCGTATCCTACCGTTAACATGGGTTAGTCAGGATGTGCTCCGCAGCGCCGTGGGTGACTTGCCTGCAAGTACGACAGCCAGTCTTGACCCTGACAATAGATCGGGGCTTGCCCCGGGCTCCGCTCTTGGGGTCCATCCGAAGAGCAGGGAACGTTCGAATTCGAAGCTAGAAAGGACACTGAGAGAGAAAACCTTCGGTAGAGATATTTTCGCAGCTGTTCATGGAATGAGATCTTCGGAGTGCTGAGGGCTGGAGACTCGGGAGGACCTTCCGGGCTAATCAACAAAGAAACACCTAATCGGATTCGGTTTTAAGAAGCATACCAGCGATTGGTCGGCTCGCAATTGTAAGCGTGTGATTGGTGTGTTTTGAGTAGCATTACGACTAAGGACCCTGCCTTTGGCGTCACCTCCGCTTGGCCGGGGTTTCGGCCGGAGTTCGGCCGCGATCTGTGGAGACTGTGGGTCAGTCCTCGGGAAAAACGCCGACTCAGAGAAGTCGCTTCCTTCTTACTCGAGTCGAGGCTTATTATCCATGCATGTACATGATGCATAGCAGGTGGTGCGTTTTCCTTGCTTTCATATTTAGGAAAGCGATGTCATTTTTGAGGGAACCGGACTTTGGACAGGCGCATGCGCTTGCACTTGCATTTGCCACAGAACGTACTGGCCTCCTGAATCATGGGAATAAAATGGTATCAATTCGCGATTTTGTGATGTGAGAAGTATTCGTCAAATTGTTCACTTCAAGTACTCAACATGATGAAAGCCGCAGTCGTTAAAGAAGTAAGATATCAAGTTTTGCCAAGACGCACCGGGCTGTGCCTCTCTGCAACTGTTTACTTACTCTATGTGACAGTTTGGTTCACCTTGGACGATCGAAGATATTCCAGCTCCTTCGCGCGATTCACTTGCCGAACATGACATTCTCATAAAAGTTGCGGTCGCATCGTTTTGCCACACAGATGTGATGGTGCTAAATGGGGTATTTCACGACAAACCCAGTAATCTACCCGGGTCTCACGAGCCTTCCGGCACCATCGTTGCCCTCGGCTCTGAAGCAGCCAAGAGCTTCGCCGTCGGTGACCGCATCATTGCCATCGGGGTTCAAGGTCCATGCGGCGGCTGCATTGACTGTAACGGCCCCGAGGAATTCCATCTGAGTTGCAAATTCACCAAAGGCTACGCTGGTATCTCATTGCCTGGAGCCTTTGCAGAATACACTGTCCTCGACGACCGCTTTTCTGTCAAGATCCCAGACGAACTGAGCTTCATCAAAGCTGCGCCTCTAACCTGCGCCGGGTGCACGAGCTGGCGCGCAGTCAAGAGAGCAGGCGTCAAATCCGGCGGGTGGCTGGGGATTGTTGGTAGCGGAGGCGGATTGGGACACCTCGCTGTTCAGATTGCGGCCAAGCAAGGGGTCAACGTCGTCGGAATCGAGGCACGAGACATCGCGTTGGAATTGACGCGGCGTGCTGGTGCCTCGGCAGTAGATGTCAGACCCGGAACAGAGGCGATGGTACATGAGGTCCGCAAGCTCATCGGGCCTCGAGGAATGGGAAAGGGAGATGACCTGTGCGACGCAACTATTGTTCTCAGCGATGCCGAGGCGGCGTTGCACACTGGCATGGTCATCACCAAAGGACACGGACTCGTGGTCGAAGTCGCTCAGCCCAGCCGTGTCAACTTCCCATTCCAAGAGATGATCTTTCGAGACATCAGGCTCATGGGGTCCAATCTGTCCAGCAGATCCGAGCTTGCCGACCTGGTCAAGTTCGTTGTCGAGCACGACGTGAAATTAGAGACGACGGTGTTCCGCGGGCTGCAGAGTTTGAAGGATGTCTATGAGCTATCAGAGGCCGGCACCTCCGCGGGCAAGATTGTGGTCGTGATTGATGAGGACCAAATCTAGCCGTTCATCTGAATTACTGCGCATGTTAAATATGAGATCAAAGTTACAAGCTTAAATGTCATAAGCGAGTCTTGGAAACGTAACAAAATTGCGGCAAACTAGTCACGTTCATCGAAATCGGTATAGATTGCGTGTGGTGTGTAGAACGTAGATTGAGCGGACCAAATACCATTCATAAAAACGAGTTTATGGACCTCTTGAAGATGAAAGGTTCACGGGGATGCCATGTCTTGCTTTTGTTTCGGGATATCGGACGGAAAATCGGTAAACTGTCGTCGGCAACGCAAACGTATCCTACCGATGGCACTTTCATAATTGGTTACAACATACCCGCACCAAACAGCAGGCAGCTCGACTCAAGTACATGGACCCGAAGCTCTGGTTGCATACAGCTTACCGGTAGCTATCTTGAGTTACGCACCGTCCCTCAGCCTACGTAGGCGAACTCCTATCTCTCCACGTAGTTTTAGCCGAAAGCAAAACTCTTTCAGGGTCAAAAACGAACACGACATTGATATGCACATAATACGGAGAACCATTGACTCAAGATATTCTGCCTACTGATAGCTGAAATGGGAAATGACGCCCGAATAACGCTATCAAATGCTATCGCATGCAAGAAGCACCCTTTGTGGGGAGGGTCCGGGGGCTTCAACCCACATCACGAGGCGCAGAGTCTGTAAGTGCCGAACGTCTACGGAGCATTGGCCATACCTCGGTCAAACCGTATGGAATTATTAATGTCAGTATTTCTCTTCTACGCTAAAGGTATGGTCTCCGATTGGACAGAACAAGATAAGCTCGCTCGACCGAGAACGAGTATAGGATGTGGCCAAGCCTAGCACCACCTCCGCCGTACGCCAACAACCTTTCTCCCAGGGCAACTCACATGTACAGAGCGTCATAAGCGGGCGCAGCTCTGTTTGTATGCTCATATCGTCTCCAAGATCGCTTGGAATCCTGAAACCAAGGCGCCATCAGCACAGGGCAATTCTGACGAGCCCTTACGCTATTCCCAGTGGAATTATGTGTCTTAAAGTTGCTGTAGCTTTTTTTAATTAGTAAGAAGTCTGTAGTCCTGTTTTTCATCTGGTACATTCATAAGCTAGGATGATTTCCCGATTTCCCACCGAGTTGGCATTTGCAACTGTCATCAATACTATGAACCATTACAACAACCACTAAAATGAACTCGACATCGCGAACGGAAAAACACGGAAAATTGCAGATGATTGGAGGATCTTCACCCTCGAGCCAAACAGATCATGAGGCAGAAACTAGCCACAGCCCGAAAGACGCCAGGCCTGCTCCAGAGCGCAAGGTCGGGTCGGGTCCAGGGAGAAAACCAAAAGCATGTGGGTTAAGCATTCATTGACTGATAGGACTTCGAAATTGACCAGTTGCTTAGGCCTTGCGTGCAAAAGGTTGAAGATGAAGTGCGAGATATTCCCCGGTGATCGCAAGTGCCGCCATTGCCTCAGACGAAAGGTCGACTGCATCATCAAGCGTACATACATGGCGCAAGCCGACGGAGAGGACACCAGAGAGGAAAGCTCTCTCGGTTATGGGTAGGCCATTTTTCAGAGTATTTTATAGTCAAGATGAGTTACTAATACCTTCCAGGGAGAAAATTGATGCAATGCGGGAGGAAATCAAACAAATGAGACAGTCGCTGGATGCCGTATTGGTAAAGAGTAAAGACAACTCCGAAGCCGAAAAGACGCTCGATGATGCTCAGAAGACGAAGCGAGGAGATACAGACTCGGTCTTCTCTTCGAGGGTGACGCCGAGAACACTAAGCCCGATGAACTCTACTTCCGCTCGGCTGAATCCCGCGCGGAGAATAGGGGGGCGGGATACCAACACGCGATTGGCCCTGACCAGGGAGGACTCACCGAGTCCAGCCTCTGATTACGACCAGCAATACGGGCCTGAGACATTAGAAGAGCCGATGGGCAGCCTCTATGAGGTTACCAGACTGAGGAACATCCGCAGTAATCAAGCCAACACACCGCCCTCAGTGTCCACCGACAACATCAAGTTAAACGACTTCATCTCTCGAGGAGTTGTGTCAGAAGAGAAGGCGGAGGACTTATACAACACGTAAGACCCCTTGGCGGTTATCAATATTGATCAGTCTAGAATTCACATCAAAACCCCCGGAACAGCCGACGCTGACGCATGTCTATGTAAAGGTTTCACAAAACACTCAACCACTACCTCTGGGTCGGCCTAGAGCAAGTCCATCCATCATGGACGTCTGTACGAAAGTCTTCCGAGCTCCTGGCAGCAACAATCCTGACAGTGACCGCACTACACCTACCAATGTCTTCTGATATCTTCGATGCCTGCTACAACGAATTCCTCTCCCTCGTGTCCTCTTCCATGTTCTCGAGATACCACTCCGTCGACGATGTCCGAGGCTTGTGCATTTCTGCCTTCTGGCTCTCGGAACACTCCTGGAAACTGACCGGACATGCGATACGGATCGCGACGGAGCTCGGGATCCACCAATCTTTCCCCTACGCTCTCGAAGGCGACAGGGAGCACTTCCTGAGGGCCAGACTCTGGTATATGCTCTACGTTTGCGACCGACATTTCAGCATAGCGTATGGACGACCGCCGTCAGTAGGAGAGACAACACAGATCCGAGAGTATGACTTGTTCCTGTCTAGTCATCTCTCAAGTGTACTTGACACGCGGATCTTGAGCCAAGTCAGCTTGATGCAGATTCTAACACAGGTTTACGAACGTTTCTCCGAGCGCCCTCTCCCTACCATGGAAAGCGTTCGCGCTGCTGGCTTTGGAAAAGCTCCGAGTACGACGGCACCTGACAGCCGCGTCGAACGCCCTTCCGCCATGCTCTCCGATTCCGACTTCGATACCCTGCGCAGTTTCAACGTCGAGGTTGACCACTGGCGTATGCGATGGTACCCACGACAGCCACCGAGCCCCTTCATCGGCCAGTTTACGAGCAAAGGGGTCATTCTGTACTCTTACTTCGCAAAACTCCAGATCAATGCCCTTGCCATCCGTGGCGTGTCGATCAACTCGGACAAGCTGTCCACCGAGCGAAAAGAATTCGCAAATATGGCCATCTCGGCCGCTTCGAGTATTCTTACACTGGTGCAAGAGGAGGACGACTTGCGAAAGGCATTGGTCGGGACGCCTCTTTATGTACACACCATGATCGCCTTTGCCAGCGTCTTCCTCATGAAGGTGGCGTCTAGGTGGGATGGCATCATGGGGTTGAACATTGAGTACGCCAACGTCTCCCGGTTGTTGGAGAAGATGGTCATCGTCTTGAAGGAGGCCGTGACCTCGGAACGACACATGCTCAAGCATATTGGCCAAGGGTTGGAGAAGATGCTTGGTCGTATGAGAGAGGCACGCAAACAGGATACCAGCAGACAGGTTAGCGCACATGGAAGCTCGGGTGCAGGCGCCAGCCCAGATCCCTTTGCATGGCATATTACCTCAGGTAACCAGGTTGGGATCGAAGACGAGAGTGTCAAAGGCTTGCAAAATTCGAAATCGACGCGCACCATTTTCGATGGAACGCACTCCACGACTCAGGTATGGGACCCCAACTCATATCCCGGGCAGCAGTCCATCGCAGAGTCGGAGCTTGGTATGTTTGGGGACAACCTGACTGGCATGAACGAGACTTTTATGTACGAGGCATTTGGGACAGGATCGGCTGGTGATGTGTATAATATGCTTTCTAGTCAGTTTCAATACTGAGAATCCAGTCGCACACCAATAACATGGACAGAGACCTGGCACCGAAATACTTGACCTATATCTGAGTAGTGGAACCGAGAATAAGCTTTTCCAGAAAGTAAAACTCTTCGGCTGTTCGCAGCAGCAAGGAAAACATGACGCATCTGTAGATTATAGTATCGTCAATGTCCATCTGCTGCCTATTGTCCATGTCTTCTTGAAATTCCCACGATGTCACTTGTCCTTGCCATCCGAATTATGGACAACACTGGCGGCCAGTCTTTAGTCGAATTCCGTTGAGCCCAAGACTGACGGAAATATGTCTTGAATCTGCATTGCCATACCTTCTAAATCCTGAGCGGAAGCATCACGATGCTTTGAAGGTTCTTCTTCTAGGCTTTCCCAAGCTCTTCTTCGCTTAACGGGGCAAGATTGAAAGTTTCTTAGCTTTTCCTGATTCCGTAAGTTGTCTAATTCATATCGGAAGAATTAGGAAGTGTCTGAAAGTACTCAGGTTCCAATACAATGGAATGATGATATGTGGCGGAATGGCTTTTGAGAAATTTCCCAGTCGCTTCCGGTCGTGCTGCTTTTGTTTGACGGACTGCCAGCCGAAGGCTCTGGTTCATTGATAGCCATTGAATCCTCTGCTCTCATAAGAGCTGTTGATGTGTTGCGCAATACAGCAGGTCTTGTCCCAGTCGTGGTAATCTCATGTCGTCCACTATCTTCATCTCGTTCCGGATGATTGACCGAATAATCCTTTGAAGCTGAGGCGAAGCGTTGAAGAGCCAGCTCAGAAGCTTCACATGGTCCCACAGGTAACTTGATTCACCCATGTAGGACCATGTATTGGCCCTGAACTGGGTTATCGGCCAGTAGAATCATTGCTTCTTGCTGGAGGCTCCTGTGCCTCCTGTAACTTTCATGCAGTTTGTGCCAGATTTATTCAGTGGCTCATGCAGAGATTCTTCTTACTATCATATAATACTGCGTACTAGCATAGGTTAGAGATGCTATTAATACCTCATATTTTACTGACTTTTATACTGAGTAGATACAAGAGCTGCGCAAAGCGTAAGCCACGCGATAAACCAAACGGATGCCGTTTGTGCCCGCCTCTTTTTTGGGCTTGGTCTACTCGAATATCTTTGAAAACAGCTTGTACTCTGTCACGCCGCAGCCGCTGTTGGACGATGGGAGAATGGCCGTCGCGAAACCCGCTGATGTCTTCGCGAGTATCTAACCGCCATTGGTACCGTTTCTATTTCAGGACATGCCATAATCTCAAGCCAAAAGGAATATCTTGTCTGGCCGAACTCTGCTCGACGCAAGTTTGAGCTGAATCCTCCACTAAGAGCAACTATTTTGTAGGGAAACTCCTTACTGAGTTTTAACGTTTGGAACACAGATGGAACGAACTTCTGGGTGGGTTTCTAGAATAGACAGATTAAGAGGATGCAGTCGCCCGAGATTTCTTTGAGTTTTGGCACTGGATCATACTCGACTTTGTGGAGCTGGTGGACCTGTGTGAGACTTTCTCTGATAAAGAGGTGGCCAGCTTTATTGACCAGATCGATAGCACGATGTCTCTCAGGTGACGTCTCCTACTTGGACTCGACCTTTCTACATCCAAATTTGATACTCATCATTGTCATTCCAAGCTGTCATCTACTTAGAGTAGTCAATGAGACTACTAGATCATGTCGATAATATGTTGCAACAAGGCCAATAATTAGATGAGAAAGGAATTCGACTTGAAATCCTTGGCTGACAATGAAGGTATACTTTGAATACGTGTTATTCTTTTCAATTCTTGCCCCAAATTCCATAGTAAGTCGGACAAATGTGAGTAGCCCTTCCAGTGCTTCCCTCCTGTTTCGGCGGAAGGCGCCTACCGGCTCGCCATCCCCACAGATTTGTCGAACCTGTTGGTTGTGTTGTGATGCAACTGTATCCCCCGCATATGTAAGAATCATCCCAGACATCGTATTGATGCCATCCACGTCAGCACAGTAGATGTCACACCGCGCTAGCCGATATGCATCAGCTTCGCAGCGAGCCAATTTGAAGTTCTACTCCGCTATCCTATCGACAACTATCAGGCCGAGAACCTCCCGCCTTCCCCTGCCCCTCAGACTGTACGCCATGAATAGCGGTCTCAAATTGGCGCCCAAAATATATCGCGAGTACTCGATGAACCCAGCTATCCGTAGTCAATCTCGTGTTCGAGATTGAGGCTGTGTTCAGAAAGCTCAGGTTGGAGCAGCGTGCCAGGGCAATATGACAGCTACATGTATGAAAAGAGACGCATGTTGTTATGTATCCATTTCAAGTAATTCAGAACCATGAATACGATCGATTGTTTGAACTACTTCGATAGGGAATGTAGTTAAGCGTAACAAGGGCTGCTATTTATGCAAAGGGTCTTTGATCCAGGAACAGAAAATGGATGGAGGAAAATAGCATCGCTCGCTATAGAGCCCCTACATGTAGTTACCTCTTCCAGAGTTGAGGGTAAGCAAGGGGGGCCTGATATGACCCGTTAAGTACACATAATCTTCTTTATCATGCATATATAAACTGAAATTTCATGTGCCCTTAATCCCTGATATGAAACATGACGTTGTTCAACGAAGATCCCGAAACACATGGTAATTTAATAGACTAAGAGGTTGATATTCATTACTATATCATCTGGATACACCAAATGTATGTATTCAATCCACAGAATACAACATTTCTTTCACCTATACTTAGAATGTGACTTTTCTGGAGCTGCGGGAAGAGCAAATGCAACTTTGACAGGTTTGTGTAAGCAACATAATCTATTGGCCTTGGCTGGTGATCATCCCCCAAAACGGACTACAAATTGACCGACGTTGCAACGTCATCCGTCTCTTTTGACAGGCAAGGGTACCAAAAACAGCGATTACTGCTACTTTGATCAACCCTGCATACGGCACTTGGTTAGGCAGACCACCAACATCTCAACATCAGGCTGTGTTACACTGCCTCAATACGGAAATCACAACATAACCGTCAACGCCATGGAAAGGATGATTTGCACCCAATTTGGATATATAAATTTTGTAAGAGCAATGACTGCACCTGAGATGTCGGTCTCGTGTCGTTCGTACAACTAACTTTAGAATATATGCCGCATATTGAGCACCCAGCTCCTCATAGCGACGTGGAGGAGTCATGTAGCTGCATCACCAAAGTGCCCAGAAGCTGCGGTTGGTTCGAAACCCCACATACGCCTGCACAGACAACCCCTCTGAATGTGACAAATATAACTGCAGGATGTAAGACTTGACAGGTTGGCCAAGAGCAATTGCAGATGGCTACGAGTAAGAGAGGGAAAAGAATATCCAGAACATCTGCCGGGACAAGCCCGTTCATTCTCTGAACTGTGTGCACTTGATACTCCCTAGAAGAGGGGATTCTGACGTCGATCGCGAAGCCTCCGAAAGGAAACACGCATGTGTTGTCAGACAAGACCAGACGTCAGACTCAGCATGACGAGAAGAGAGACAGAGGGGCGCATATGCGAGTGAGACTGACAGTCCATCAACCAACACGAATTGACCCATACGGTAAAGATGTGAGTATTGTGATTGATTCAACGAAGACGGCGTTGGGCTCTCGTTCTCGGAGTGAACTGATGTGGCAATCGTCAAAGCCTGATATTCAAGAGCTTCGTGGTATGTCAGCTGCCTTGGTGTTGACGGGCATAAAAGAGAGGAGCGTCCGCGTTCCAAGATCGAGAACTTTTGGATTCCGCATCACTCCTCAGCAAAGAGACAAGCACCGTTCTACCTGTTTACATGACTTTCTACACAGAAAATTACACGACTTCTGAGTCCTCACTTGCCCATCACCATGAAGTTCTCCGCTCTCGTCGCCGTCCTCTCCTCTTCCCTCGTGGCCCTTTCGACCGCGGCCCCAACGCCCGGCGCCGAGACCACGCCCGTGGAGACCTATTCTCACATCTTCAAAAGAAGAGAATGTCCTGCCTCAGTCCCCTGGATTGACAGAGGTGTAAGACTAAGACCTAAGTGGAAACACCATGTTCGGAAACCGTTGAGTACTGACGCGTCCATCGACAGAGCTGCAACGGAACTTCATGCAAGTGGGGGGCCGGAAACTATCCTTGCGGAACGGGCTCATGCGTAAGTATACTGCCTACTTGCTTTCGACTGAAAGAAAGTATACACGTTGCTAACTAAGTTATTTAGGTTGGCACTGGAGGTGGCGACGGTTCCTGCTGCTACTTCAAGGATGGGGGGAACGATGCTTATTGCCCCAATGGCGGCTGGTGAACGGCTTCACACCAGACCCAGTGAGATACGATTTATGAAAGTATGACGAGGTTGGGATCTTGGGACCGTGCCGTGCTTCAGGCGCGCAATGCAAGGACACTCATTCATGATTAGCGAAGATCTTTTTTGTTTATTACACTCATTAATACCCACCACTATCATTAATAACTACACTCTTTTTGAGTCAATTCGATCCTAGACGTGTGTAGAAGAAAATACACTTTCTCGGAATTTACTTAGGTACATGTATTATATCTTGAACTAACATGCTTATAAGTCTTAATGCTGTAATTTCTGGTCTTTTAGTAGTAGGTAGCTAAGGTATACCTGTATAAACAGAAACCAGTCCGGTTGTGAAGTATGTTATGAATTCTATTGACTAATTTCTCACATTGTTTCACGTCGTCACGAAACTTCCCTAACGCTACCCATTGTCGTTTGTGATTTTGGGGATTGCTATTCTCCTAGTATTCAGAGCCAGGGCACTACTTTCATTTTGCGGTTTCTGGATGTCCTCCATTGCTTTGAATGCTTTGCTGATTTATTTGCCGCAAACAACGTCCAATTTGATCGAGAGGTTCACAACTGCTTTGAGGTTGGTGACGAATACAATGGCTTGCATGGGGGCGGGAGCTGCACCTCGCCACAACAGACTGGCCGATCGAAGAAGTCGCCGGTGTGCTCTTCAACATGTCACATCTTCAAAATGCCGATGCCGGAACGTGGATTCGCCCGAGTTCGCTCGCTCACTTCTCACACTCAGACAGCCCGGCCCATTGGTTCAACTGCTGGCTGGAGCGGAACCATATCACGCGGTCGACGTAGGTATCTGTTTCATTAGCCTTTTTCGGCCTGTCAGTACGACTTCAATCAGGCTGGGAGCGGAGCAAGCTGCGGCCCCAACACCTACCCAATTAGCCGCCGCACTACCGGGACATTGTGTCCTTGATGTTGCTGAAAGGTTCGAGTAGGTATCTCTTCAACAGTCCCCCTCTGTCATCTTGCCATCATGCCATATTCACCAACAGATCTTTGGAAAGCACCACCGTGCTGTCTGTCGTCCTTGGACTGCTGAGGTACAAAATACTTGGCACAGTTGTAAGTTCAGTTGAGGAGTCGACGCGCAGGCTGAATGACTACATCACTTTTTGCAACTTCCGTTTCATACAATTAGAGCAATCACATGTCTAGGTTTTGTAACAATTAGATGGTATTGAAGTATGGTCGGTATCGATGCTCGCTGTGACGATGCCCTTCGCCAACCCAGTTTACCACCCCCTCTTCATCGTGTGCTCTGTAGGGTGGTCATATCGAAACAAACTGATGCATGACGCCCTCGCCGACCTGTGATATTCGAACGCGAAACATAAAAAAACGCCTAGCAATGTGTCGTGTCGCGGAACTCCTTCCCCTCTAATCCTCACAAAGTCACCAACCCAAGACGTTGAACCAGCTCCTGCGAGGGTCCTCAACGGCGCCGTCAAACACCTTTGCCCGGACTGTTTCGCTCTGGGGGTTCTTGTATTTGGAGAAGAATCGATCCATGGTCTGAGATTCGGTCTTGAGTTGGGAGCGGACGCTCATGGCGACGGCGGAAACTACGAGGAAAGCGGTATTAGCGGATGGGTTTGATGACATGAGAGTGGCTTGACTGCAGACTTACCAACGCCGACAGTGATGGCAGCAGGCAAAAACCTGGCAAGAGCCGGGGTGGCAGTGGGAATTCTGACTGGTTGGTTGACCATTTTGAAGGTTGTTTGGTGGGTAGAGGTTGATGTGGCTGTGGATTGGCAGTGGTGTCTGTGTAAGACAGGAGAGTAGTAGATTGCCGAAGCTGTGTAATTGAAACACTAGAGTGCGGGAGAGTTGCTTTTGTGTGGTCGATGTGGACTGGAGTGCATCTAAAATCTGTCTCTCTGATCGCAGTCACAGAAAGCCTTATATAAAATCATCGTTGCCTGTTTATTCCGGGCGTGGTGTGGTGTTCTTTACTGGCTTTTCGTGAGTTGTTCGTTGATAGTTCGAGGGTGGTGCGGTGTCCGGCCCTGTTTGGCGGCATGGTGGTGTGATTGCGTCCCGATGGCGCGGTCTGGTCGTTGTCAACCTTTCAGCAGCTGTCAAATTCGGTCCTGGGGACGCCGGCATCCCTGTCCGTAAGGCTCCTTCGAGCCGTATGGGGATAAGATCTAACCCTGACTGGTTCCCTCTCCACACTGATCCCCGTTGGTTCGCCTGTTGTGGACGGCCTTGGAAGTGGAAGGATTTTGGGGCAGATCGGAATCTTCTGCCCTGTATCTGCCCAGCGTGACTCTGCCGGTGGAACGATTTCTGGCCGGTTGGTGGCTGTTCTGTTCGTAAGCCGGGTCTATGATTCGTTGGAAGACGGCCGGCCCAGTCGCTCGGGGTAGATCAGATGGCATGTTGCGCAATCTTCGTCGGGACGAGGCGTAGATTGATGGAATCATGGACCTCGCCGACGATGTATGAACCGGCCGATGAACGACGTCATGTGCCGAGCCCACCAAAGGTTGTGTTCATTTTTTTTCCCATGATTTTGAATATTTTCTGGAATTCCTGGTGTTTTCCTTGGTGTGTTGGGTTTGCAGGCGTGACTGAACAGTGTTTTCGGCCGGTCCGGGTCAGGAGATTTCGGCCGTTGCCGGCACGCATGTGCTGGTGGTTCGGGTCCTCAAGACGATTGAGCCCTGATGTCCCTCATAATGACTGATTCATTTTCCAGCATTCACATCAGTCAGTTCGATGTAACAAGCCAGCAATTCAAAGTCCTTTTGCTCCCGAAAAACGTAACTGGATTTGGCGCAGCGCAATCTAGACACTCAGTGCTATATTATGGGCGAGCCACTGGATTTTGACCTGCATTTCACACTCAGCTCACTCAGTTACCTAAGGTACTAAATGGCAGCCACTCATTTTGACGTTGCTGCTATGTAGCCGGCTCGAACCAACAATTTCCATGATTTTCAGCGGCTTTCATACTATGATGAAATTCTCGACACTAGATCGACGTTCATTTTTCTCCAGCCAAGTTTTAAGGTGAAACTTGACAGCTCTGAAGAATTCATCCTATGCCAATCAGGCGATGCTTGTGGAACTTCCCCAGAAACAAGCGAGCTCCAGCGCTGTGGTTCAGCTAAAGCGTGGGAATGCAACATCCCGACAGCGCAGTGTTACAGCGACGCCTCTGTGCCGATGGTGCACTGCATGTCTTAATCCCAAACGCCATTGAGCTCAGTACTTGTCTCAGCACGAATACTGGTCTCAGTTTGCCTTTATGGGATTGGACTCTTATAGAGATCTCATTAGAAACTGGAGCAATGCATAATTACGAGCCTGCATGTGTTCCATTGAAGATGGCGGCTTTACCAGAAGTTGCTACTTATTGACGTTCTGCCGTTAGAGTGCGTTTGACATGCATGGTTCAGTGCATTAGCATCTATTGAACAATAATAGCTGTGAAAGACATCCTAAACAGTTTGTATGCAAAATCATGCTGCATTAATATTTATTCTTTGACTGCATCTTCATGTTGTGCGTATCAGTACTGCCATCATACGTGTAGCATATCTCGTTCAATGCGAAGCTGACTGGAATGATAGGTGGTAATCCCCATCGCTGTCGCCCCGTTGAATGCGATGTTTTCTCAAATTTTGGGCGCGGTCCTTCAGCAAAGTGTCTCTCAAAATTAATAGTGCTTGTATATATAATACATGTGAATAGTAGTTGTTCCAGTCCTTGTGCTGCGCCACTGAAATCTGGCGTGTCCGCTTGACTGAGTCTTCAATAGGGGGTGAAGACAGGTCAGGTCGTTGTTGTCGGGATCCAAACGCGTGTAGATCCATGGCCCATGCACAGAATCTACCCGACCTGGATGACAGCCTCCCAAGTCTGCTGGGTAAGTGAATGTTGCGTCCCGGCCGGCTCGATGGTTCTCTTGGTGCATCCCGTCTTCACCGGAATCTTATTGAAGCGATCAGCAATCCAAGCCAGGTAGTCAACCTGTGCCGCCTGAAAAGCCGGGTCGTGGTCCAGCTCAGGGTAGAGAAGCAACTCCGTCACGGACTCAGGGTAAGTCTTGCAGGTGGCGTCCAAGTCTTCCTCCATGGTGTGAGCGTACGTCAGAGTATCGTTGACGCCTTGCACAACCAGCATCGGCGCAGCGAGCGGATGCGTACCCGCTCCGTTGTAGCGATTCTGCCAGTCGATAAGGTCTGGGTGCGTCAACCAACTAGTGTTCTTGTACAGCTGCGTCTCGGTCAGCTTGCCGAAGACAGTACCGCCGGTCCGCAGACATCCTTTATTCGAGATAGGAATCAGGTTTGCGACAATGTCGCTAACGTAATCCTCGACCTTGATAGACTCGTACAACCTCGACACGGATTGCAAAAAATAGACGGACACGACGTCTCCGACGGGGCCTCCGTTGGCGCGGCGGAAGGACTCCGGGATAAGACTGAGGGGCCGGAGAGCCGGAGCAACCGACACGGCACCGAGGAACCCTCCGGTGGCCTTTCCGTCCTTGGCCTCGCGCTCGTTGGTACGCCATGCCGTTAGCCCTCCTTCGCTGTGACCAACGACGACCCATTCTTTGGATAGGCGATTACCAAGAACCTTGCGGGAAGCCTGGAGGCCGTGTGCGATATCGACAGCGTGAAGGGCCCCAGATTCATACATGAAGCCCTGGGGAATATCACTGCCTTGACCAGCGTAGTCGGGGGCAATGACGGCATAGCCTGCCTGAGCAAGCGCAAAAGGGCCTTCCCATTCGTAATAGAGGGCCCTGTGGTTGGTAGGAGCGCATTGGCGAGTATACCCGGCGGTGCCATGCGCCCAGACGACCGTACGGAAAGGCTTGTCGTTGCCTTGAGGGTTCGACCATGGCAGGAGAGCGAAAGCCGTTGCCGGGATTGGCTTGCCGTCGATGTCCTCGCTCATGTAGAAGAAGCGAGAGAGTGACATTCCGGCCGGGATGGTCCAGATCTTGGCGGCCTGTGTGCCTGTCATGTCCTGCCATTTGACGAGGTCGCCGACTGAGTATGCCGACATGTTGGAAGGATTCGTGTAGAACGAATCGAGGGTCACGTCGACGTTGACCCAGTTTCTCGTCTCGACGGCAATAGCATCGCGGATGGCGGCCTCGCAATCGGCATCGCAGTTGTCGCGGAAATCCGAGGCCGCGATAGATCGGGCAAACAGGAGGTTGGCCAACAAGGCCAAGGAGTGATACATTAAAACCATGATGGTTTCAAGGCTGGGGCCAATCCAGGTGGGAAACGAATGTCTTTGGGTGGTGGACAGAAAGACTTTCGACTTTGAAAGCGTGGAAGAGGCCTATTTATACTTGACAATGACTGCCCACGTCCTATGCCATCGTTGCATGGTCTTTGACTGTTGATCCACGATGACAACGAGTCATCTGAATGCGACTGGATGGTGCCGATTTCTATGCCGAAATGATTATCACATCGGCCAAGAAACAAATTATGGACAAAGAACATGAATGTTTATCCACACTGGAAGAAAACATAGTTGCATCTGAGGTGGAAACATAACAGGGCGTCTTAAAGTCACGCAGTATGACGGCCTGTTGAATATCCACGGCCTCAAGGCGTGAGATCCCTACATCAAAGGGAGTTATTAAATGGGAATTGTTTCTGTTCACGTTTCTCCAACGATGCTGCAGTCACTTTGAGCTTAACCTTGATCCGAGGGCCAAAATGTCTGATATCTCTCAACTTGAGGTCCACGAACCAGAGAAACAGACATGGTCTACAGTCACAACTTTCATGTCGAACTCAGTGCACGATCAGGAACCTGGGCGGGGAAGAGAAGAAGCTCGTGGGGTCAAGCCAGGATGATCATCCGCTAACTCGATTGCGTAGGTCGAGCCGCGACAGGGATTCTCGGATGGCTGCAGGTTTCCGCGGCAGGCCACCGGATGCGCGCTGGTGCCCCGCCGAAGCCGCAACAGCGGCGGCCGAGAACTCCGCTGCTGGAAGCTGAGGTGCATGATTCCAGGCCGGGATGGAAATACAAATCTCCATGTCGTCTTCCTTGCGTCGCTGCCGTGCGGGGAAGTCCTAAGACCCTCTCGGTTCAGATGGAGTCTGAACGTGAAGAGCCGCGGCTAGAAAGCGGGAGTGGGAGGGGCCGGGCGGAGTCCGGATTGCCGGCGTTCGCGGGGGCGGGGTCTTGAGTTATGCAGGACGGGTTCATCGGGTGCTGGTGTTGCACGAAACGTCATCAGCAAGACAGTTCTCGTCGAATCAGTAGGAGCCGAGAGTGGATTCAACTGACACAGCACCGTCGAGTCGTACAGCCATCAGCCTGTTTGGTGAGGAGCTGACTGCCATTTATTGTATGCCCATATGCTTACAAGACCTCTTTATCGCCGGATGTGAATATTTGCAGCTCTTGAACAATTGTCTATCAAACAGTTGTTTGTTGCCGTTCGCCTCAAACAAATTTGAAGATTTCGGACACTATCTGTCCCGAGACAGAGAGTCGCCATCTCGCTTTCGTATTTCTCATCAGTCCGAGAACCCTATTGAGCCACACCTGCCAACTTCACAAATCGAGATACTAAAAGTAGAGATCAGCTTGGTTTTCAAAGAAATTTCAGTCATTCCTCTCGAAATTCAATATCTTGCCAGTCCATTCTTACAAGCCCTTCCAATTTCAATTTCGTTCCAGTCAGAACGTTGTTTCAAGAACATGAAGTCCCTCCGAGTCACCGGTCCAGGCGAGATATCCTGGGTAGACATCCCACAACCGAAGGCCGGCCCAAACGACGTCCTGCTCAAAATGAAAGCATGCGGCATCTGCGGCTCAGATTCTCTCTACGAGGAAATGGGCGGCGTTCCACCGCGGCGAAATTGTCATCCCCTCGGTCACGAGCCGGCAGCCGAGGTCGTCGCGGTGGGGAAGGACATCGCCGGAAGAGACGTCGACGTCGGCGACCACGTGGTCATAGACACGTTTGCCTTCGCGGACGGCATGTTCGGCTCCGGCGGTGCGCAGGGCGGATTCAGCGAATACGTCGTCGTCCGAGACTACGAGCCGCGGAAGCAGCTCAGGAAGATCCCCAGCCACGTCCCCTGGCACGTCGCGGCGCTGAACGAGCCCATGGCGGTGGCGCTCCACGCGGTCAACCGCACGGATCCGAAGCCGGGGTCCAAGGTCGTAATTTTCGGCGCCGGTCCGATCGGTTTAGGCTGCATCATGGCGTATCGTAGGCGCGACGTGGGCCACATTGTCGTGGTGGACGTTGTCGACGCCAAGTTGGAGACGGCGATGAAGCTCGGCGCCGACGCGGCGGTGAACTCGCTGAATGTTGAGGATCTGGCGGCGAAGCTGATTGAGCTGCAAGGCGAAGCGACCACTTTCTGGAATCTCGGGAAACGGCCGGCTACTGATATTTTCATGGACGCTGCCGGCGCGCCGCCGATACCAAATCAGATTCTGGGCATGGCCAAACGAGCCGCTACTTTTGGAATTGTCGGTGTTCAGAAGAAGCCGACAGAGTTGCATCTTGGACAGATCATCATCGCGGAGCCGAATATCGTCTTCTGCATGGGGTATGTCGAGACTCAGCCACGATTCTTCAGAAGGGCTTACTGCTGACACTTAGACAGATATCCAACGGAGATTTTCGAGGTTACAGACGACTTGGCGGAGAACTGGGAGAAGTATGCCGAGATTGTGAGCGATCAGATACCGTTCAGCCAAGCAAAAGAGGCACTGGAGCTGGCCAAGTCCGGAAAGGCGAACAAGGTAGTTGTGGTTTTCGACTGAAGTGTTCTGGAGAACCACGAGTGACTATCTGCGAGATCTTTCAGCTACATTTATTAACGTACATCACGAAATCATTCTCAATCATTGAGATGTCTCCCAGAGTTGTACAAATGTTTTCCCCGTGAAGATCGCAACTAGTCTTTTGACTGGCTCAACACTACTGCGACTAACTCAATTGCCCTTATGACGTTGAGGTAAAGTTCTGCTGTTGCTGCTAATGCTCCTGTTCGAAGATTGGCCCCATTTGTCTTAGTTTCGGAGATCTAGTTTAGCGGCAAGGAACCGGTAAGTTCAAGCCATGCGTGATACCGGTGTCTAGATAACGCTTAGATACTAAGATCGTGCATGGCTGCTAGTTAATAGTAAGAGACCTCACCAACCTTGTGATGACGCCAGCGATGAATTGTCTCACCGCTGATGATGATTTACTTCCCTTTCAGGCTAGCAGGCGCATAACGATGCGATGTCTCTCAGCCGCTGCAACCTCCCTCGGCGACACTAAAGGCTCTGGCGGCGGGCTGCTTTTCGTATATGTAGGTTTTGAAAATCCTCCGAGACATTGAGATTCGAATAGATTGGAGGCCAGCTGCTGTCAAACCTCTACAAATACAACTTCCAAGCCGACGAAAGCTCCCACCGATCTCCGCTAGTCTGGAAAACAGAAGTCTTTGCTTAACATGAGGACCTTCAGCCCTTTCAGTGTCCTGCTTTTGGCAGCTGGGGCTGTGTTAGCCACGAATCAGACCACCAAGATAGATACGCATGCCCACTATGTCCCGGATTTCTACGCCCAGGCACTCAGAGACGCTGGACACGTGCCCGGCCCGGATGGCATGCCAGGAATTCCGGTACGCGATGCATCGAGACATGGAACGTCGTTCGCGCCGTTGAGACTAATGCCAACAGGACTGGGATCCCGAGACGCATCTTCAGTTCATGCAACGCGCGAACATAGCAAAGTCGTATCTTTCGATCTCCAGCCCGGGAGTATACCTCTCCGTGCCGTCAAAAGTCGCGACTGAAAACGCGACCAAGTTGGCTCGCCGAGTCAATGAGTACGCTTCGCAACTGAAAGCGAAATATCCCAAGAAATTCGGCTTCTTCGCGTCTCTTCCACTCCCGGATGTGCAAGGTTCCTTGAAGGAGATTGAGTATGCTTTCACCAAGCTCGATCCCAAACCCGATGGGATTGTCCTGATGTCGAATTTCTACGGGATGTATCTCGGCGACCCCGACCTCGATCCGGTCTACAAAGCGCTCAATGCACTGAATGTCACCATCTTCGAGCACCCGACAACGCCGTGTACTGAGGCGAACCATCTCAAGTACCACATAAACGGAACCGACTCCAAGGTCACGCCGAAAGAATGGCAGGCTCTCAACAGACCTGCATCCGGAAGACTTCAACGAGCACCCAATTTGGACTTTCCCTTCGACACAGCGCGTACCTTCCAAGACCTGTTCTATTCCCGGGTGCCGACCCGGTTCCCGAACATCAAATGGATAATACCTCATGCTGGAGGCGGTCTCATACCTACAATCGATCGACTCATCAACTACAGCCCCCCCGAAGACAACGTCACGGAGGCGGGAGTGAAGGAGACTCTGGCTCGCAGCTTTTACTTTGATCTGACGGGGCCGTGGCCGGTCACTTGGGCGATCCCGGCACTCATGCGATGGGTGAGCTATGAGAAGTTAGTCTGGGGGTCGGATACGCCTTTCACGCCTTGGGCCACTGCACTGGCTGGAGCTGCCCAGTTCGACAAGCAGATTGATGAGGTCTTTAATGACCCGAAGAAGGCAAAGGCTGTCAGGAGAGGTAATGCGAAGAAGATATTTGGGTAACGAGGACTGTGCATGAGCTTTGCACATAAATCGGCGTAGTCAAGGCTTGTCAATGTCAACTTGCAGGCAGCGGCATGATGATTCACTTTGTAAGTAGGTAAATACCAACGAGATTAGGAAGACCCAGGTTGTCTTTTGTATCTCAGTAGTCCTGAATGCTACTCGCTGGTCTTCTAATCGTTCCTCGTCATTCATTGAGGGTTCGGGGCAAGAGCCTCGAACTCCTTCACACCGACACCTCCAAACTGCCCATTCCCTCCGGAAGCCGTGAGGATCGCGCGGAGCGATGTAGTCGTGACCTGGGCAAAGTTGACAATTGACGGGTTGTCAGTGACCGCCGTAGGGTATCCAGTGCTCGCACTAACAGCAGTCCACGCATTGTTGCTGTTCAAGTACTCCAGCCGCCAGCTCGCTGGAGGCGGCACACCGATATTCGATCCCGCAGGCTGGTCCGCGAAGAAGACCATCCTCGCGCCGTTCAAGGTGACCGACGAGCTCCAAGTCAAAACGAGAGTATTGGTCTGAGGCGACGCGTTGCCGTTGTACGAGCTCCAATAGTCCGGAGGAAGAGGGTTGCTGGGGATCCATCCGTCGTTGAGAGATTTCGTCCAGTACTGGATCGGAGTCTGGTTGACCGAGCTCGCCACGGCGCGTGGAGCGATGTTCCGGGTTGCGGGAGGTGCGAGTTGAGCTCGTCGCGTTTGAACGACCTTGTTGATTCGAGGGGGTGATTGGTTATCATCCCACGTCATGTAATCCAGGGCAACACTGCGACGGAAGTGACCGCCGCCGGTTGCATCTCTCGTGTGGTAGACGAGATACCACTGGCCATTCAACTCGAAGGCTCCGGGGTGCGATGTTGTCGACGAGACGATGTCCAGCATGACACCGCGGAACGTCCATGGGCCCAGGGGCGATGAAGCGGTGCCGTAGGCAATGCAAGCGTGGTAGGAGGTTGGCGTGCATGGCGAGTTGGGGCCGGCATTATTGGCTGCGTATAACATGTAGTAGGTTCCCCGACGCTTCAAAAGCCAGGGTGCCTCAAAGAAGCCCGTCAGACTATTGACGGATACAGCTGATCCGATGGTAGTCACCATATCAGTCGCGAGTTCAATGCCGCGAAGAGCGCCAAAAGTGCCCCAGTACAGATAGACTCGTCCAGTGTCATCCAGTAGCACCGTGGGATCGATGTTCTGGATGTTGTTGGCCTGAGGGACTGTCTGCGAGACAATAGGACCGCTTGGATGAGCATCTGTGAAGGGACCCCATGGATTGCTCGAGACTGCGACGCCAATGGCGAAGCGATCAGGGCTCGAAGTAGATCGTTGGGTGACGGGAGCGTAGAGGTAGAATCTCCCGTTGGGCCCTTGAACAATCTGTGCAGCATATGCAGTTCCAGCGGCGGCCCAGGAAAAGATGGACTCGGGCCGAGCGATGTTGGGGCGGAACTGCCATTGAGCACCGGAGGGACGAGGGTCGCTGCTGCTCAGCATCTGCCACTCGTTAATGACGAAGTTGTTCTGGTTTGCTGGGGCTGCATCTCGACCGGAGAGGATGTAGACGGTGTTGTTCACCACCAAGGGGGCCGGGTCAGCCGAGTAGTATGATCCATCGGCGATGATCGGGTTCCCCGTGGAGGTGATTGTGGTCTGTGTTGCGACTAAAAGACTCTGCAAGAGCAGGCCAAAGACGGAGGCAAGCGACGTCATCATCTTGGCTATTGCGCTCGCAACTGGCAGAAGAGCAAAGTAATGTTATCGATCGCGAATCATAGATGATCTTCATGAGAGAATCACAGACAGAACATCAAGCTATATAGACTTGTACACGCTGTGTATGACATAGGTCCGCAGCAGCAAGTCCAGCGAGCATGGTAACCCGCCTTAAGCTGCATGCTGCAATGATAGGTAAGGGAAGGCAAGGATATCATGCATGCCAACTCTCAAATATGCCAAATGATTGTCCGACTTCAGCGATGCGGTTGCAAGCAAGCACCTACAGGCGCAATGTGTGTCGAATGGCGGGGAGTGAAAGGCGACACCATAGAAAGAAACATCATACCGAGGAGCTCCAAATCAGCTAAACCATGGCGGAAGTGGGATCTCCGTCAAGCTTCGACGTTTGGTGGCTTTTGAAAGCACCGGTGGAACACGCGGGGTATTATAAATTGGGGTGCTCCTGACATTTAACATTGAAAAGAAACGCCGCCAATGGAAATTTCGATATGTCCCGGCCAAGCTTCCTCGCTAATGGAAAAGAGTAGGACAATACGAGTATTGCAGCGGCGACAGGTACCGGGGCAATGCAACTTCGGATAGCATCCCGAATCACGTCTGCGGCGCAGTCACACCACCTACCTTACATGAAGGCAAGCTACCGGCGCTGCCGGTACATCGGGTCGATTGGGCTAAACGCGGAGGTAGGTAAGATTGTTAAATTGTGACATCGATTTCAACGCACATATCATCCTTAAATCAATGGATTTATGGCAGACTACTTCACTGCGGCATATCTGCCTGCACCCTGCGATGTGCCGGGGCCCACTTCGCCGAGTCGGCCCCACAGAGCGGCCGGCATCTCCGGCAACTCAGGACTGGGCAAAGATAACTCTAATCAAATGTTTCCCACCATCTGCTCGCAATTTCAAAAGCGGGAGACTACTTGAGAGGGATGTTGCAACTTGAAATTCTTCATTACCTGTCCCAATTGCATCGCTCGCCATTCACAAGGGCGAGACAGACGCCTCTGCATTAGACCAAATGTACGTCCATCTCAACCAAACCAGGCCTAGAACATGTGTGGAAAGACCGGAGAAAATCGCCGCATGCTTCATGCAAGTTCGGACTGGATCCCGATTGCCCCTCGCGGAGGATTAAGCTGCGTTCTTCTTTTTCGGTGATATGAAGGGGTCCCGCCAAGAGCCAAGTCTCGCCAAGGGGGAAGGTGTCATCAGCAATTACCGAGTCACCATGCCTAAACCAGAACAACGGGAATATGCTTCACCAAAGCCCTGGGGACTTGATTGGAGCGCAAATGACAATTATCAAAAGCCAAGGAAGGGCAGTTGTGTTCGTGGTGATGAGTGGGATGTTTCCAGTGTTACTTTCCTTTCAAAGCTGATTTTGGCAACATTGATGGCATAGGCACGATCCCATTGATATCGAGTGACGTCTTTCGACTCAAACCTCGTTGATGTAGTGAAAAAGCTCATTTTTTAGATTCACCATCCAACACGGTATGTTGTTCAATCATTTGCTCTCACTGAAGCGGGCTCGACGTGCGGTCTTGGTAGTGTTTGCATCAGAGCACATGATCATCCCGCCGGCCGTTCTCGACCGCGGGCATCCCAGTCGCTGTGGGTTTAAACGAGTTAAGGTTATTCTGGGCAATCTATGCCTTACAGGAGAGCACTAAATCCCCGAACATTGAGGATGAGCCGGGGTATCGGTAAGCTCAACGGACAGGGATAAGCAGTCGACTGGCGTGTGATGATCCATGGACGAGAAGCAATTCAATGACGTTCCTCGATTAGTTCCATTGTGGGCAGATCATTCAACCGTTCGCTCTCGCGAACTTGTAAGCGACGTTTCAGGGATGGCATCGTGCCTTCGACCGGACGGAATCTCATCCTCCTCGATATAGAGCAGGATGGCTCACCATGATAGTTCACGCAGATTCATCGACGATGGTCGTCGGCCTCATGTCCGGTTATCGATGAGCAAACGGAGGGCTTCCCGGGAAAGATGTCTGAAATTGACAATCATGGAAATGTTATCACGAGAGCGTTCCTATCGGAACCCGAGGAAGAACGATCCTCCTGTAAGGTGCTGACAACCACCTTCACTTTCAAGGACCCCCGGCTTCCACCCATTATCTGAGTCGTGATATCGGTAAGGGTTGTCAAAGTCCCCTGTGCCATGAAGAATTCCACCAGTGATTCCACTCGTTGCCGTGTTTTCATTTAAGACGAACTGTGATTTGAGAAGTGATGCGAAATGGCTGGCTAAATCACGTAATATTGTTGTTTAGAGACATGGTTTCTGATGGTACTTGGATATGATGATTCAGGAGTTTAGGCAATGATTTCAGGCATATAAATCTCATGATCTCTTCACCTGTCACAGCCAAACCCGTGAATGTGCGCCAAACACCCCTCCGAGACACCAACCCCTTCACCCTCTGTCCCTCATTCTCTCCCGCCATCATGACCAAACTCACCTCCCTCGGCCTGGCGGTCTTCCTCCTCCAGGGAGCCCACGCCTTCCCAACCCCATCCCAACCAGTCTGCCGCGGCGTCGACATCAACACAACCCTCAACCCCTCCCTCGTCATCACAGACCGCTCGGCCACACGCACCCTCGCCGCCCGCGCCCCTCCAGCCTCCTTCACCGCCAACCCCAACATCGGCCCCGGCGGCTCCTCCTACCGCGACTCGGCCCACTTCCGCGTCTACGCCGCCGACCTCAACGCCGCCTCCCGCGCCCTGTCCATGCTCGAGGGCGTCTACTCCTGCTTCGTCGACACCCTCGGCTGGCGCTCCACCGGCCTCTCCTACAACGACAACACGGACGACGACGGGCCCTGGCAGAAGGTCAACGTCTACAGCGTCGCCAGCCTCCCCGGCGCCGCGGGCGTGATGCACTCCGACGGCGCGGCCGGGATGGCGTGGCTCGAGGTCCAGAACGCCTATCTCACCGTCCCCGGCGTGACGGTCCACGAGTTCGGCCACGGCATCCACTACCACCAGAAGACGTGGGTGAACCAGGGCCGCACGGGGGCCTGGTGGGAGACGCTCGCGAACTGGGTCGCCGACACGTACCTGACGTCCCCGCTGTGCGCCAACGCGCGGAGCGCCAACGGCCAGGCGACGCCCGAGACGAGCGAGATCGACGTCGTCAAGGTCATCGGGGACTCCTTCCAGGTCATCGTCGACGGGAGCGTGAATACGGGGAACTACTACCAGGCTTGGCCCTTCCTGGCGTTCCTGACGAACAACCCGGACAACTTCGCCGGCCTGGGCCGCGACGCGGTCAAGAACCTGCAGGTCCGGTACGCGACCAACTCCAACGAGACGCCGCTGCACACCCTGCAGCGCATCTCGACGGGCGCGACGGTGGCCAAGGTCGTGGGCAAGTACTGGGCGCGGATGGCGTACGTCGACATCGGGCACCGGCAGGCGCAGAACGTGTTCCTCAGCCAGAGGAGCCGCATCAACTACGCCAACGTCGACTCGGCCGGAAGCGGGAGCTACCGCGTCAAGTCGGCGCGCCGGCCGCGGTACATGGGGGCCAACATCATCCCGCTGAAGAACCCGTCCGGCACGGTGACTGTGAAGATCACGACGAGCGGGCAGCTCACTTCGCACCTAGTTGTGAGGAACACGGGGAGCAACGCGGTGCGGTACGTCGAGCTTGCGAACGGGCAGGGGAGCGTGAGCGTTGCGGGCGGGGAGGAGGCGAGTCTTGTTGTTGCGAACACGCCTGCGAACCTGATCTTGTATGACCCCTTTTCTTTGGGGTCGGATACTAACACGGGTGTGGACTACTCGTTCACCTTGACTGGTGCAACTGCTTGAGTCTCGGGGATTGCTTTCTTGGGGTGAGATTCTTTTACTTTTCATGTCCATATTGTCTTTCGTCGTACATACTTGCTCCTTCAACCGAATTGTCCATATCATCTACAATCACACGAGAGCCTCTTAAGTGAGCATGCCACTTCCAGGTGTTTGTGCCAATTATGTTACCATGTGCCGAATAGTAGGCATACCGAAGTTGACTTTACTTACTAACTATCTCATGACGTATCTGGGGAATCGTGGTCTTCCCCTCCATCCATACGGTCCATTGTCAACCTTGTTTCATAACACTGTTTCCTCCAGCCAATGTTGATGCATCTCAGTCCTTCTTTTCAGCGGTGGCACCAACTTCTTTTGGCTCCGCCTCAAACTCAACCCCGCTGTCGTTGCCAGACTTCTCAGTTTCAGTCGTCTTTTCCGTTTCTTTTGACGCCTCAGCTTCGCCAGCTTTCTCTCCTTCGTCTTTCTTTTCTGCTCCCTCCTTCGCCTGAGAGGGTGTGCCCTTTCTGAAGATGTTGACGCTCGGCATCGAGACCTGGCCAAGAGATGACACCGACGCCGGAACTCTAGGCATAGACGGCATGTTGGGCATATTTGGCATACTCGGCATGTTGGGCATCTTGCTAGGCCACCACCCCTTGACGCCAGTGCCTGTTTGCTGGGCGACTGAGAAGAGATGCTGCATGTAAGTCCGCTTCTGCTCGCTATCGACGTTCTCAGTGCTCGCATCACCGACAAGCTCACCTTCGCCGTCCTCGGGGAGGGGAACGAGAGACGCGGCTGCTGCGATGTCGATCGGAGACTCGTCTGGAAGTTCGTCTGTGGACTTGGACGCGACCTTCTCGTCGAGCTTGTCGTCGGACTTCTCGAGTTCTTCATTCGACTTCGCCTTTTCGAGAGTTTCTTCAACTTCGTGGTCTTCCTGGGCCTCTTCGGGCGGCGGCTCGCGAAACTTGGGGTCATCCACGACTCGCTCTTCGCTCTTGAACCACTCCATGACTAGGTCTGCGGCCTTCTCCGTCATTCTCTCGTATCCCTCGTGCGTCTCTGGGTCGAAGAGGCTCATGTGCGCCTGGACCTCGTCGTCGACCTTCCGCAGGACTTGACGGGAGAACAGAGGGTACGCTGTGTGGCTTTCCTCCGGTACGGCACAGAATGTCCGCTCGGGAACGAAGTAGCCTCCCTGCCAGTACCCGTTCTCACCCAGCGACACGTAAAAGTCGTGGATTCCCACGCCTTTCAAAGCACCCATGCGCTCGAGGCGTCGGTTGAGTTCCTTCTGCTTCAGGAGGGCGCCGACGAATGTGAAGTGGTCCGAAAGCCATGCGAACGAGTGGCCGACGTTGCCGCGGTTGATGTAGGCGAGGCCCTGGCCGAGGGCATCCATGCTCTGGCGGTACCCCTCCTTGACGGACTCTTTGTTGAGGTTCTTCAGCCCCTTCATGATGGCTTCGCGGTTGACGTAGGCGGCGACACCGCCGGCCGCGATGGCGCCGACCGTGCCGGTGCGGACGGCGACGAGCTGCCAGGTCTTCCAGCCCGGGTTGCGGGATGTGGAAGCGACGGCGGAGGTCGCGGCGCGTCTGGTCCCGAGGCGTGCGAGGCTTGCTGGTGCGGCGGCCGAGAGGGCCGTCATGACGTTGAAGACGCTGCTGACTTTCTGGTAGTTGGAGAATGCGCCGTAGACGAACATGGAGCGGGCGAGGCCGTTGTATGGCGTGTCGAAGGTGAGGATTCCCTGGATCGGAGGGAAGATTGGGTCATCTTCCGACGGGTTGGACTGCGCCCGCTCATTGATGGCGAGGAAGAGGGCGTCGGCGGCGACGAATCCTCTGCATCTTATTAGCGTGAGTGTGTGGGAATACCGGTGAGCTTGACTTGCCCCATAGAGTGAGCGACGAGGATGACCCCGATCTGCCTATCCTTCGGGGGCCATGGCTTCTCGACGGTCGCCTTTCTTACTTCCATCACTTGCTCCTTCAGCCTGGGTGCCGGGTCAGTCTAGGTGTGCTTTGATGCGATGACTTGCGGTTCTTACCATGACAAGAACGCCTCAGTGGCCTCTGCCAGCTCTCCTTTGGTCTCGTACTTTGGGTAGACGATGGACTTGACCTTGTGGTCCGGCAGTTGCTTGGTGACTGTCCGTTTGAGGTCCTGCATGAACGTGAGCGGCTGCCCACGGGACCCCTTGGCGAAGTTCTCACTTACATCTGGAAAATCACGGAAGGTATCATCGTTGCCCTATTACGCGTCAGACATGTCATATCTGGCTCGAGATGCCAGGATGGGCAGGGGTCGCTCACCTTGAAGCCGTGGATGAAGCACAGAAGCAAGGTCCGTGACATTTTGACGGATGACGAGCTGGATCTCTACAGGATAAGTAAAAGAACAGGTGGATATCTCGGTATTATTTGGCGGGAAAGAGGAGTATTCTAGGGTGTTCTTAGGTATGAGGATCGTGTAAGCAGTTGGTTGGTGTTTGAAAGATCAAGCTGCTCCGCGACCAAAAACACGAAAGAATATCCCGCAAGCACGCTTCATCATCTCAACCACACCACATCACACACACATCTCACAGAGCAGTGACGAGTGACTGAGCGTTTTCTGCATCTCTTTCCCCGTGTTCCAGGCCTTTCCAGCCACACCTTTCCAGTCCGCCTCTCAGCTCTGCTTCGCTGGTGCGTGGCGAGTGCGTCCCAAGTGTTGACGAGCAGCCAATGAAGCCGCGGCCAAGACGTCACCGATAACGTCATTCTTGCACCTCCAAAACATCCCAGCGCACCTCATTCTTTTCGCTTCGAAGGCATTTCCCTGCATTCTTTTCTCTCATTTCTTTAGCTTGGACCGATCTGCCAAACCCCATCAAGACCAATCCCGGTCTGCCATCCATCCAACTTCTGCAAGTGAGAAACGTCACATTTAAACTCAAATAAACGAGCCCGATCGATGCACGGGGGTCCAGCCAGGCGTTGGATGGCTCCTCACCACGTGCGATCCAAGATCTCGTCAATCATGATTGTCGTCACCAATAATTGAAGAGGTTCCAGGTTTTTGCTTATTGTTGCGTTGTATTATTGAGCGGCAGAGAAAGTCATCAACCAGATTCCCGGTTCTCTGACCCGACCGCCGTGATAACCTGCAGATCTTACTCTCAGTTCGTCTTAGCCTTGAGCTTTCCAAACGACAACTTCGGATCGAAGCGCGAGATGTCCGTCTCGTTCGCCGCGGCCCCGAAATCCCACACCGTATAAAAGTTGCGCAGGAACGGCGTGCCGATCAGCGTGAACCCCCTCGTCTCCCCGCCCTCGAACGGCGGCCAGCACCCGTCCTCGCGGTTGGCGAACCCGGGCCTCTTCAGCTGGTCGCCCCTGATCTCCACGACCTGCGGGTCGCGGTAGTCGCCGAAGCTGAACTTGAAACCCCACGACGAGTTGAACTCGCTGCAGAGCGGGATGTGCTCGCCGTTGAGGATCGCCGTGTAGTTCATCCCGATGCTCTCGTACACCTTGAGGTTCTGCTCCTCGGGCAGCGTGATCGAGCCCGCGCCCGTGTCGAACACGACGTTGCCGATGTCGAAGTCCGTCTCCGCCTCGACGACGCTGCCGTCGGCCGCCGTGCGGGTGCCGTTGACCTTGAGCATGGTCGAGCGCCACACGTCGTAGCCGCCGTTGACCCGCGTGATGGGTATCGTGGTGAGCTCGCCGTCGACGTGGTCGGCCTCGCGCGAGCCGCCGAGGGTGAGCACGCCGTCGCCGGGCTTGCCGCTCGTGTTGGTGAACTCGGTGCCGTAGTAGATGCCGAACTTGGCGGCGTCGAGGTTGTTCTCGGCCATGAGCGTCTCCACGACCGTGTTGGCGCCGCCGTCGATGATGGAGCTGAAGGCGAGGCCCATGAAGCCGTCGGCGGCGAGGGCGGCCCAGTTGGACTCGTTCGCCGCGATGAAGGTCTGGTTCCAGGTGAGCCCGGCGGCCGACCAGACTTCGTCCACGGCGGGGCCGGCGACGCGGCCTCCGAGGTAGGGGATGTCGGCGAAGTTGCCGGTGAGGTGGCCGGTGGTGGAGTTGTTGACGTCGTAGCCCACACGGTCGTATCTAATCATCATCAGTTGGTCGGGGTTGACACCGTTGATGGAGATGGAATGAGACGCACCCGCTCACGTTGGCACAATCGGTCTTGCAAGTACTATCGACGGCCCAAGACGAGGCGCTACCGGTATCGAAAAGAAGACGGTAGGTCTTGGCGGGCGTGCCAATATTGAACTCGACGGTTTTCTGTCTCACAGTCAGTGACGACTCTCACTCCCCAGCATTCACCCTTCAACTCACGTAGCCATTGTCCACAATAATCGGCAAGTCAAGCACAGCCGCCGTCGCAACCGACGCAACGGCTGCCGCCGAGAAGAAACGAGTGACAGACGACATCTTGAAAATCCCTTGAGAACCAACTTGAGCCGGATGATCCCCCGACCAAAATCTCGCAGCGGCCCGGGGCGAAAAGACACTTTAAGAACAGACCTGCCCCTCCTCTCCTCCCGCATTATGGCGATCATCTCCGCCTCGTAAAAGGGAGGGCCGGTGGGGCGAGGCAATCTCGACTGCTGGGATGTGAGTCCCGGCCAACCCGTATTTTGCTGAATGGGGCAGCTAGCTGGCTTGTGCATAATACGGGCTTCGGGTCGTGCTATTTTCAGGCACTTTGGCGGTCTTCTTTCCCAGTTTCTTTGGGACGGTGTCATCGCGCCGTTTCTTTCAAATCTGGAGCCGGTGTGGATTAGTCCGATGAGTACGAGGGAATCGGCTGGCGGCTGTGAGGACAAGTTCGGAGACGGCGCCGTTGCTTGTGTCGAACGGATTGCTCCTGGCGCTTCAGCAATTGATGGAACCCCGTTGAGCTTGGGTTGGTTGTTGACTCGTGTTGAATGGTTCATCTGATTGTTCCATGGCAGAACACCCAGGATGTCTGTCTGAGTTGACAGTTCCATCTGAACACCTTCAACATCGGCGTTCTCTTCTTTTCGTAATTGGGGAGCTGGAGATCGCGTCGCTGTCACTTGTCAATCGCTAGTCCATCTCACTCTCATCTCACCGCCATCTTTCACTTTCACTTTGACCGACTCTTCGTACCTCACTCAGAAATGAAAGTATTATCGAACTAAAGTTTAATCCATCCTCTAAACTTGGTTACTGGCTCTTGATGGTAACCACAGCATCCGTGAGGGCCTCGCCAGATGCGGTAATGGTGATCTCGCCAGTAGCACCCTCCTCAAACTTCACAATCGCCAGAGCCAGACCACTGAAAGCCTTCCTCTTGAGCGACGGGAACGCGACCAAATCCGCCGGGTCGCCGTTATCCGTCGCAACAATCTCTCCAGGGCCGCTGATACTGAACGTGATCTCGTCCTCCGCAAACCTCACAAAGTCCCCGTTCCCATCCAGCACTTCCACCGTCACGAACGAAAGATCGCTCCCGTCGGCCGCGATCGTCGTCCGGTCGGCCGTGGCCTTCAACTGCGTCGCCTCGCCCACCGTCCTGACCACCTCCGTCGCCCACTCCGCCCCGTCCTTGTACGTGACGACCTTCAACTCGCCAGGCTCGTACGCGACCTCGTCCCATCGGAAACGATACGCGTACTCGGCCCGCGTCTTGCGGCCCTGCGACGCCCCGTTCAGGAACAGCTCCGCCTCGTCCGCCGCCGTGAAGACGTGCACCGGCGTCGCCTCCCCGACGCGGTCCGGCCAGTTCCAGTGCGGCAGCACGTGCGCGCCCCTCAGCTCCGGCCGCCAGCGCGCCTGGTACAGGAAGAAGCGGTCCTTCTTGAACCCCGCGAGGTCGACGATGCCCGAGTAGGAGCTGCGCGCCGAGTAGTACGGCGTCGGCTCCCCCAGGTAGTCCCAGCCCGTCCAGACGAACTCGCCCGCCACGAAGGGGTGCCTGTCCTGCGCCGCGAACACCTTGTCGGGCGACGCGCCGAAGTTGGCCGAGTAGAGCTCGTACCCGCTCACGCGCATCGTCGTCGAGTTACCCCCGGACGTGTCGTTCACCGGCGCGCCCGAGTCCTCGGCGACCGGGAAGATGTAGGACCCGCGCGTGCTGAGGGCCGAGGCCGTCTCGCTCGAGAGGATCATCTTGTCCGGGAAGGCGGCGTGGAAGTCGGCGTAGAGCGGGTGCGTCTTGATGCCGGGCAGGTTGGAGTAGTTGGGGGTGTCGCGGATGCCCTCGCCCTGGTAGTTCAGGCTGAGGACGTCCATGGCGGTCGGGAAGGACATGTTGGGCTTGGCGTAGTTCATGGAGGCGGTCGAGGGGCGGGTGGGGTCCTCCTCGCGGACCACGGCGTGGAGCTCGAGGGCCGGGACGGTGCCCGGGTCGCCGATCTGCTGCTCCGAGACCTCGTTGCCGAAGCTCCACATGACGACGGAGGGGTGGTTCCGGTCGCGGCGCATGAAGGAGCGAAGGTCGGGCTCGTGCCACTCGGGGAAGATGAGGTGGAAGTCGTTGTCCGTCTTGTTGCGGTACCACGAGTCGAAGACCTCGTCCATGACGACGAAGCCCATGCGGTCCGTCAGCTCGAGGAGCTCGGTCGCGGGCGGGTTGTGGGACATGCGGACGGCGTTGCAGCCGAGCTCGGCGAGGACCTCGAGCTGGCGCTCCGCGGCGCGGGTGTTGAAGGCCGCGCCGAGGGCGCCGAGGTCGTGGTGCTGGTTGACGCCCTGGATGCGGATGTGTTCGCCGTTGACGAGGAGGCCTTCGTTGGGGTCGTAGGTTACGGAGCGGATGCCGAAGCGGGTCGAGTAGGTATCGACGACGTTGCCGTTGATGGAGATGGTTGTGATGGCGACGTAGCGGTGCGGTTGTTGGGTTGGTGGCGGGCCCCAGAGTTGAGGGTTCGAGACGGTGGACGAGGCCGTGACTGATTCCTTGCTGCCTCCCGGAACAGAGACCGATGAGGCAGGGAACGAAGAGACCTTCTCGCCAGCCTCGCCGGTCTTGGAGTCGAGAGTGTAAACGTCGGTTGAGACCTCTACCTCTTGGTCGGAGTCACCCTTGTTCTCGACTTCAACGACAAGGTCGAGCGTCGCGGATTCGGCAGAGACGTCCTTGGAGACGATGTATGTGCCCCATTGACCGACAGCAACCGGGCTGACCTTGGTCAGCCAGATGTTGCGGTAGATGCCGCCGCCAGGGTACCAGCGCGCCGAGTCAGGCGGGTTGTCGAGACGAATAGCAAGTAGATTGTCCTCGCCGGGCTTGAGGTGTGCGGTGAGATCGAGGCGGAAGGAGTTATACGGATACGGCCATCCTCCGATCAGATACCCGTTGAGCCACACCATAGCATAGGACATGGCGCCGTCGACATCGAGGTAGATAGACTTGCCCTCATCCTCCGGGTTCACCGTCAAACTCCGACGATACCACCCGACGCCGTGCACCGGCAAACGACCCATTCCTCCACCGATAATGGGATCCTCTTCAGTGTAGAAAGGGCTCTTGATAGCCCAGTCATGGGGCAGGTTCACCGTCTCCCAAGCCGCGTCGTCGAAGCCCTCGGACGCGTACGACACATTGCGCGTGGGCTCGCCGCTGGGACGCTCGTGGCGCTTGGCGGGGTCGCTGATGAAGTCGTTGGCCGAGAGGAGGATCCAGGGCTTCAGGACGAAGACGTCGGTGAGGTTCTCGAGATCGGGGCGGTGGTCGTAGATGATGCCGTCCGGGTTGAACTCGGAGCGCCAGAAGCGCCAGCCCTTGTTGATGCTCACACGCTCGCGGCCGGCTTGGATGGTGGTGTTGTCCTGGCGTCTGATGCTGTACGCCGCTGCAGGGCGGGAGACGAGCAGGAGTACGAGGCTCAGAAGAAGAAGCCCGTAGGCGCGGCCTTGAGATGGTGGCCGTGAAGACATTTTGGATGCCGACGCTGTCGTTGGCTAGCTGTTGATGAGAGGCGCGCCCTAAGGCGGACTCTTATACATCGCCTCGCCATGCTGGATGGATCCATCATCCCACCGGGAACCATGATTGACATAATTTCGAGCGTCGTCGTAGCATCGGAGCAGTCCAGAAGAAAGCATCAAAGACGCATCGGGTAGCTCGCAGCTCTCCTCGGCTTTGGAGCGAAATTGTTGATGGGGTAATCTCGGGTGAAAAGCCTCCAGGCCCTCCGCACCCCGCGTTTCTCCGCACGCCAGCTGCGACGGTACAAGGATCGGTCCCGTAAATCGACGGCATGTCCACGATGCATTTAGCCTGAATATCGTGATCGAGTGTACCATTGGGCCGCCTGTTCTCGCCAAGGGGCGGTGTTCTTGGGGTTGGATGATCTCTGGTGGAGGTTTTGACAGAAACAGTTCGGACGAGTTGGAGAAGCCGGGATTGACTTTCCACATCACGGACGGTAAGTTTGTGACGTGATGTACTGAAAAGAGTCCGGGCAAGATTGCCTGCGCTCTTCATTTTGAGAAAGTAGCTCTGGGATGCCGTGAGAGAGACCCTGAGGTGAGACTTCGAGGCTCTTCTTAAGAGATCAATGAGTATGCAGGACAGGGCACTGAGGTCAGGAGCGCGAACCACGATTTCTGGACATGCAGGTCCAATGATATTCAACTGGAGCGGTCATCGTCAACCCAAGAATGACAAGGTTGCTTAACAAGATTGCGGCCAGCACCGGGCGGATAAGCCGCATTTATCCCCGCCACCACGTGGGATGCCCATCAAGTTAGAGTGCGCCGTGAAGCGGACTCCGAGTGTTGTTATCCGGCAATGATCATTTCCTCCCAAGGATATGATAGATCGGTTCACAGGATGGAGCTTCCATCAATCTCTAGGTTAGCAACATCAGCCATTGACCAATAAGATTCAACACGACAGTGATCTCACGTATGGAAGCCGATATCGCAAATCATCAAAAAAGCCTGAAGACGATCCTGACAGTGCATACATCTCAAGTGGAAGGGCTGGTGACAAGTAAATAGCTAAACATTATAGGCCTCGTTGATCCACCCACTTACCTACAGAGGGGCTAACAACTAGATATAGATCTGAAACAACAAACCGACAAGCTTTTCCAGATGATCGTGAGATGGAGGTATGGGGATGGAGACGAGACGGCATTCGGCCGAGTGAGCCGGCTCTCACTAAAACCCGCACGACCACTTCCCATATGAATCGAATAAGACAGGCCACTAGGAGAAGATGGCTCTAAACGACGGCTTGTGAGTGTCACTCATCATTCAACAGATAATGTACCCGTATATGAATGGTGTAAGAGCACGTGCGACTCATCACATTGGCCAGCTCTACAACGCCAAGTTTTAATCTCTGTAGAATTACGCCAGATACGCCCTTTAACTTTGGCGTCAAACGCCGGTACAGGCGCGTAACCAATCAGCTGTTCGGGTGAGTGTCGTTAAAGAATCCGTGACCCGCTCAAACAGCAGCTATGCGAATAGTCGGTCTCGCGTCGATTGAGTCAAACATTTGAGAGCTGAGTCACAGGTTGGAGCATCGTCGGGTATCACATTTATAACCAGTTCAAAGACATTCTATTCATGAACAAACCGCCAAAGTTGGGATTCAACCCTTCAAGGTGTGTACATTCCTCGGTTTCAATTAGACTTCCTGGCCATACATCATCTCACGCATCATCTCACTCAGCTGCTGTCTGAAGCTTCAGCCCATCATGGCTTCAACCGCCTCGCAACTACGCAACAAAAAATGGACTCGCGACTCCTACCTAATCTCAACCGACATATCCCTCATCCCACTCCACGACCTGAACGCAGCCTTCGCCTCCCCCGAATTCTACTGGGCTAAATCCCTCCCTCCATCTCTCATGGAAGAAACCCTCCAGAATTCCCTCTGTTTCGGTCTCTACGACCTCAAAAATCACACCCTCGAGGCCGCCGAGGACCTCCTCCGACAAAACTCTTCCTCATCCTCAACCACGACCGATGAAAACTCGTCACTGCCGAAATTGATCGGCTTCGCCCGCGTCATCACGGACTTTATCACGTTCGCCTTCATCACGGACGTCTGGGTGCATCCGTCGACGACGGGGAAGGGCCTGGGGACGTGGCTGGTCGGTCGGGTGCAGGAGGTCCTCGAGGGGATGGAGCACCTGAGGCGGAGCATGCTGCTCACGAGCAGCTGGGATAAGTCGGTCCCGTTTTATGAGAAGTTGATGAGGATGGAGCTGATGAATGAGAGGAAGGGGGAGGGTACGATTGCGGTTATGCAGATGAAGTGGAAGGGGCAGGTGGATTGGGTTGAGCCTGAGCCGTAGCGGCACAATGCGTAGTAGCGTAGGTGCGTGTTGTATTTCATAGATATTTATGTTATTTCAGAGCTGCTTAGACATGTGAATGAGATGATGAGTGTGGTGAAATCTCACCCGGGCTACTACATCATCTCTCAGGAAACTGGACTAAATCCCTCCGCATGAAAACCGTGCTTCGTCCCAGCGGCTTCCCGTCCTTGTCGAAATCAGGGTAAAAGTTCAACTCCTTCCAAATAACCTCATACCCCCTCCTAGCATACCACTCCTCGGTCGACATCTGCAACCATCAACGTTAGTCATCTTCACACCACTCAATCCAGAACAAAAGAGGCATCATCTCACCGCCGGAGGACGTCCCTGCACCTGGGCCACCATCTCCTCCCGATGCTGGTCCTCCTTGCACACGGTATCTAGCATGAGCACCCTCGCGCGGAGCGGCTCGCGGGTGGCCATGGCCTCGACCTCGTCCATCGCGGCGCGCCCGATGCCGGAGCTCTGCAGCGCGTAGGAGACGTACAGGCTCTTGATCCAGTAGAGGTTTTCCGCGGGGATGGGCAGGGCGAGGCGTGTGGCGGCGGGGTTGTCGACGTCGAGAGAGATGTGGCCGACGGGGATGAAGGCGGTTTCGGTCGGGGTTCGCGGGGTCGAGCGGATCGAGGACGCCGTGTCTTTTAGGGGTTCTTTTTCCTGAGAGATCATTTGAGTGCCGGTGAGGATGGGGGGATGGGGGTGACGAACCTTGGGGAAGAGAGTTGTGTGTTTGGAGAGTTTGGACTCTGCGTCGGGGTCTGATGGGTGGATTGACTGTGTGGTTGTGAGCTAGAAGCCCTGAGAGAAGATGCGAAGAACAAGAGGTGAGAGACTCACGATCCAGTAGATGCATTTGAGTCCGGATCGCTGGTCTTCCTTCCACGCGTGGACTTTGTCGAAATGCCAGCCGCATTCAATCCTCTGTTGCAGCATCCTGTCGGCGTGGTCTGGCGATTCAGGGTCGAAGGGGACCAGCTGGACCTTTGATCTTGACATTGCGCTGACTGTGTTTGGGAGTACTCCAGATTTGACGATTTATGATATGGAAGTTCAGATGAGGAATTGACTTCAAAATCTTCGGAACGGTATTCTTAGAAACCAAGTCGAGATGGGTTTTGTATGAGAGTGTCAATGATGCAGTGACTCAACATTCGTCGCAGTGACGACCCACAAGACCAAGTGGTGAACTGTTAGTGAAAAGCTGGTAAACACTATGGCTTCACTAACAGATGTTGGAAGGATTTCGAGTCGATTCATCGGCAATCGGCCCCGTTCAGCGGTCCGGACAGACAGAGTCATGTCTCTAATAAACTTGTCAATTCAGGGCGCGTACAGGGCGCTTTTGACAAACATTCAGCGTCACACGGCACCGCTAATCACTCATGACGATTGGCTCCTGATTTGAACAAGCACAAAACATCGTCACGAGACTCTCCTCATCGTACCTCAAAAAGTGGTGGTATTAACTGCCATCGAAACACAAATGTCGCTATCGCTCCTACTCCTTACATGAAAGAACCCAACCAGTCTAAAAATGAGAATGCCGTATGCCGTATACCTATACTCTAGACGCCGGTGACCTGGACTTTCTACTGCGGAGGCATCAACCACGTGCCGTTCGCGAGCCAGGTCCCGGCCGGTGTGTAATCTAACGTGACGCCGTCCTTCATGTATGCAAATCTAAAATACTCGGGCAACGCCATCTTGGGCTTGCGCATCCAGATGAACTCGTTGTCCGCGTCCCCGTCCGCGAAGTAGTACCGGTGCCGCTCGACGTCGTTGACCAGCGCGCTGATGCCGTCGAACCGCGTCGCGGCGGCGGGCGGTACGAGCCAACTGAAGGCGATGCTGGGCTCGAAGGAGCCGGAGGAGACGACGGACCCCGCGAGCTCCGGCAGCAGCGAGTTGAAGGGCCCGTCCTCGCGCAGGGCGTCGGGGGTCTGGAGGATCGAGTCGAACCCCCAGCGGCCGATGCCGTTGACGAAGAGGCCGAGCACCATGCCCTGGTAGAACAGCGACGAGCGCGTCTGCATGCTGGTGCCGGGGATGAGGAGGAAGGTCATGATGTAGTGGTGGATGCGCAGGTCGACGCCGGGGATCGACAGCCCTACGATGATGCCGAGGAGGAAGAGGGCGTAGAGGGCGAGGAAGCGCGGGAGGCGGCCCTCGAGCCAGAAGAAGTAGACCTGCTTCGCCATGACGAAGGCGAAGACGGTGAGGATGAGGGCCAGCGCGGGCTTGGCGCCGGGCTGGGACTCGATGTCGTGGGCGGTCAGGCGCTGGATGGGCATCCAGGCGAAGGTGTAGTTGGAGAGGGCGCCGAACCAGAACCCGCCGAGCCAGAGGGCCGTCTTCTCGAACTGCGCCCTCAGCCCGGCGAGGGTGCGCCGGACGGCGATCCAGTACATGACGACGGCGCAGAAGGCCGCCGGGAGGAGGCGTCCAGTGAACATGGAGATCCGGTCCGGGAGGACGGTGGCCACGTGCCGGGACGCCGTCGGGGGGTCGGAGCCAAAACTGACGTGTGCGAAGATGCCGAGGAAGCTGACGAAGAACTGCCACTCGGGCGACGTCGTGAAGATGGAAAAGACGGTCGTGAAGAAGAGGGATATCGGGAGCAGAGACTGCCGAGGGTCCCTTGTGCCGCACTGGACAGATGAGTCCGCCGATATGTTGAATGAGAGTGGGAAGTAGGAGTCGAACGAGACGGTCTCAACACCATGTTTCAATGAGCTGTTGAACCTCTCATGCTGTCCGATGCGATGAACGCGACCGCACCCTCCGCTCAAGTCGGTGATAATGCCCGCGTGAATGGCCGCCGCGCAGACCATGGAGTCGCCCCGGTACACCCCGTCGCCGACCACCAACGGCTTGTACACAATCTCCCGAGGCCCGACAGCGTGCGGGTTGAGGAGCTTGTGAGCCATGCAATTCGCCGGACACTTGAAAGAGAAGGACGAGTTCGTGAAGGGACGGCAGTCGGCGCCATCCAGGCCGCAGTCATTCTTGAACTGCCACAGCGTGTCGGAGCAGTCGAGGTTCAGCACGTCCCTGCCGAGACCGTCCTTGATGGCGCGTGACGATGTGAGCGGGATGGAGAAGGCGACGGCCCAGAGGGCCAGGAACGCGGCGACGAGGCCAGCCTTTCGGCGAGGCGTCGGGGCCAGGCGTTCGAGCAGCCGCGGGGGGGCATCTTGGATCCAGGGCAGGACGGGCTGGATCTTGTGCACCCTCGGCGGCTGGGGGCCGGCGATGCAGTGCCGTTTCTTGGTCGCGGGGAACTTCTGCTGCAGGATCGACGAGGTGCTGGAGCCGCTGCTGTTCCGGGGCTCGAGTTCGAACTCCTCGGCGTCGAGGAGCTGGGCCTCCTCGTCCCCCAAGCTGCCGCGCCGCGTCGGGGCGTCGGTTTCCGGGTCGTCTGTGAAGGGGGCGGGATGACGAGGCCCCGGTCGGCCACCTCCTCCTTCACCGGCGGCGCCCATTTGTCTCCGGTCTCTTTCTCTCTTTCTCTCTCAACTGGTGGTGCTGCTCCACGGGGCCTTTCACGGAGATCCGGGCCGGGTCCTGGGTGCGGGTTTCCTTCGTCTCACACTGTTGCTTTTGGTTCCTCTCATGGATGATTCCTTGGATCGGTGAAATGTGTGTGTGAGAGGCAGATGCTGTCAGACGAGCGTGCTGCTCATTCAGGGGTAAGTAAAGTGAGTGTGAGAGTAGCTGAAGCGGCTGACGGAAAAGCAGGAAAACGCCACGATCCGAGCGATTTGCGGGCGACGTGGTCGAAATTTAGACTTTCATAGAAGAAAAAGAACGCCGCCGACGTGGAAATTGGCACGGTAATCGGGAGGATCGGAGGAGGGGGGCGTTCCAGTAATACCAGACGGACCCTTTTCGCAGTGGGGGAACACGACCTTTCGACCGCCCTTGACAAGTGAGTTGGTCTCGGTCTCAGTCTCAGGGGGTCAAAATGGGAAAAAGGAAAAGAGTGGAAAAAGGGACGAGGGATCCAGCTGCTTTTTGAGACACGAGCGTCTGAGCTTTTTTTACGAGTAGTATTACTCCGTACCTAGGGAGAAAATGGCGCCTGACTGAGACAATTAGTGGACCTGAACTATTGCGGCAAGCTTGAAGCGGACTGCGACGTCGATCTCTTTATTGTTTATGTCGGCATGGCTTTGCTTGGTTGGTAGACGGGTGGCGGTTGAGAGATGAGAAAGAAAGAGAGTGAGTTGAAATCTAAAGAACATGAGTGGATGAGAGCTGCTTCGTGCATCTTGAAGCCGCTTTCATTGGTGTTTGCCGTCGACGCCCGACTCTCGAGTTTGTCCACCCAATATGAAACTGCAAGGGACCCCGGCTTAACCGCGCTGAAGACTCGGATTTGGTTCGAGGCCTGAAACTGACATGGCGGTGAAGGGAAGACTGAGATGAGAAGTAAATCAATTGAGAACACCAAATGTCCGGACCTTTTTCGCCATCGCGGGATGCAATTTCGTTCGTGAGAGTGTTGGTTTTGACCGATTTTGCACATTTTGACGGACTCCGAAATGCAGCCAAGAAGAGTCCGACCATGACGGCCTGCGACCCGGATCTCGGCACCGCATCAATGCGCCGTCTCGGGCGCGGGTTTCCGGTTCGCCACTTGAGGCCGATCTTTCAGACGGCCATGTGGTGGTGTCAGCAATTGCGATTGAGTCCGGGGATCTGGAATTCGAGTAAGTCACTTTATCACATTGGATTTGATTCGGTCTGACGACTTTGTTGACACGAAATCTACACCTTCAGTGACTCCAGTATGAGAGCAAAGAGAGCGGCTGTTATTTCTAAAGCGTTACATGACACGATGTTCCTTTTTTCATACGGCATGATGGCCCTCCATCTGAAGCCACCGCGAGAGCCAATAATAATACCACCAAACAAACGATGCCATTTTTACGCAAAAGAGCATCACAGTAACATATTCCAGGCTTCATATGAATATCAAGGGTAACAATTAAGGTGTCAACAATGAGAAATTTTTACAACGTTCTACGTATGACGAATTACTATGATATCTACATGAACCCATCCTCTATCTAGTCCACTGCTTCTGAGTCTAGATTTCGCAGGTGTACTCCATCGTCAAGTTGACTTGCGGAACACCCTCAAAGTCGGCCGGCACCGCATACGACACGTTGTAATACCAATGGTTCCTGAGCTGCTGGCCGTACGAAACAGGCAGCTTATCCAACCCCGGGGCAGAAACATTGACGTTTAAACACGGGAGATCCTCCAGCCCGGTGATCGTCTTCCCTCCCAGAGTCCACGACGGCGGGATCCCGGACAAGGCGAACGTGAAGATATCAGAACCCTCCTGCGTCTTGTTGGGGTACGAAACACTCAGGAACTTCTCGCCCGCAACCGCATCAATGGTCGAAGCTGACGGATACAGCACGAAGAAACCGATGTAGGGCCACGGCTTATGAGCCGGATCCGAAGCCCAGTGTGCGATGGCCGGGACGAACTGGTTTCCACGGTTCTTGGTCTCGGCGAGCCGCTGACCACCGACCATGAGAGGCGCACTAATCCAAGACGTGGTCGTGCGGGTGTAGTCCGTCTCGAGCTCCTCCTTGATCACCCTACTCAGGCTTCGCGAACCGGTCCAGGGACCCTTAGACTTCAGCGCCGAGGCAGTGCTGTTCGAGATGAACTTGGAAACGGTCTCGGCGACCAGCGAAATCGCGGCACCCTGCGCCGCGTCGAAGAGGAGGTCACCCTCGCCCTTGGGCGGCTGCGGCCCGTATTCGCGGCCGAACACGGCCCACCAGTACATCGGCAGGATGGAAGAGTGTTTCGTCATGTCGCGGGTGTACGCGCGGTCGTACGGACCGACGAGGTTGCCGAGGTACGGGTTGTAGTGCTGCGCGGTGTCCCTCCACAGCTCCGTCAGGATGAACTCGGCGTTCTTGGTGAGCGTGGCGTTGCGGGGTCCGTACGCGATGTTGGCGGCCAGAGCCCAGACGTCCATGCCGTAGTAGTTGGGCGCGTTGTACTCGCCGAGCGTGTTGGAGCCGTTGAACTGGAAGAGCTTCAGGAGGTCGGTGCCTTGCGTGTTGGCGAAGTCGACGAAGGTCGAGTTCTGGCGGCGCGCGCCGATCCAGCCTACGGTGAGGGCGCGCATGAGGGCCGGGTTGGAGTAGCCGAGGATGAGGTTGTCGTCTTCCGGGTAGCTGCCGTTGCGTCTCATGGCGCCGACGGCCTGGATTTCGAGCGCGTTTTCGATCTTCTTGACGAGGTCGTCTCCGAGGAGGTCGGAGTAAAGCTCCACATCTTGGATGAGCTGTGTGCTGCGAATGTGTGAGCTCTCACTTCGATACTCTCGTTTATTGACATTGACTTACCCGATGAACTCTCTCCAATTGGGGTCGTACGTAGTCTGAAGTCGGCATAAGCAACCACTTCGTCCAAGTTCCCACGTGGAGGCCTATCCACTTACATAGATCTCCGGTGGATAAAGCGTGGAGTTGGGGGTCGGGTCGGGTTCGTCGGGCGAGAGCTTAAAAGTTCCATACCACGCCGATTCATAATCGGACGTCATCTGGCTCGCCAAACTGCAGATTGGGAACACCAAATCAGCTTTGAAACCTGCAATTTCGATCAATCCAACTCACATGTTTTCAATGGCCGCCTTTGCATTCTCGACATCGTCGCCCTCGTTGCGATGGAGGAGCCCCGCCGTGTACCAGGCCGTGAACCTGATGGACCACGGACCCTTGTCTTGGTACCACACCAGCTTGTAGCTATCGTCCCATCTGGAGTCCTGGACCGCCATCGAGTAGTCGAACAGAGTTTGAGCGTCTGTAGTAGTGTGTAAGTTAAAGTGAACTTCTTTCCTCCCTTCACCGATTCTTACTGGCTGAGAGAATTGGCTTGCTGGCGGCATGAACCGCCATCATGGCGCCGGAGCTCAGAAGCGAAGCGAACGCTGCTTTGGCATGCATCTTGTCGCGATGAGGATCCCAAAGACTGGTCGAGATGCCAAGACCACAACATCTTCAACTGCTCGACGGATGCCATTATATATCTCATTCTTCACGCACACGGACATGACCCCGGCTAACACTCGTCATGAAGGACGCGAGTGCCAATACCGCTAGATGTCTAGTCTGGGGAATTTACAGGGCACGATCAAGAACCCCTCACGCCAACCTCTCCACGATTGCCTCCACTCCCAAGAGTTCTCTTTCTCGATATTACGTCCGCCAATCATAGATACCAATTCTTTCACTTCGATCCCCGGTCCGAACCGGGCCGGAACCGGTGAACCACCTCCGGGGGCCTGGCATGGTTACATACCCCAACTTGGGATCGAAGCCGCTGCGCTAGTGAGCCGACCTCGAGCGGGGTCACGAGCGTTGGATTTTGCGGGGGAGAAGAGAGACCACATGTTCATCCGCAGGAGTGGCACCATGCCATGGATACCGGGGATAAACCTCGGGCTGGTTTACAGATATAGGCGAGCCATACGTTGTGTGTTGGTATCATGGCGTATCGGCACTGATAGTCCTGATAGATATCAAGGCCCGGACGATATTTCCGCACCCCTGGAAGGTCACGTTACGCACGCATATCTGCCGCGATGCCTGATCCGGCAGACTTTCGCCCGAGAGATTGCCCAGAACCGATTACCGTTGCCGACAACGAGGCGCTCGCGACCCCACAAAGCATGTACAGATCTTCCCTATCTAGCAAATGAAGGCGGTGTCCCCCCCGAGCGGCTTGGGCCCGATGAGATCCTTCGTCCTCCGGCCCGGAAGATGGCCGGTTCTGTTGCTACTGATATCGGTGGCCGCGGGGGGTTGAAGCTGTTTTCTGGGATGGTTATCGGCTGTGTTTCGTTCCATATCTACCAACTTGTCCCCGCCGAACTTCGATTACATCGCATGCGAACGTGAGTGCTCTGAAGTGTCCGTAGATCCAACATGGCGAAGGACACGCTTTCCGCCACGGAGCCGGTCGGCATCCCTGTGACCGTCGAAGCTGCCATCGAGAACAACAGAGGCGCGCTGAAATGGCTCTCGAACAGCGGCATCGTCAAGCTGAACTGCGTCCTCGTGTTGTCGCTGGTGTCGTCCTACGCAACAGGCTATGATGGGAGTATGATGAACGGACTGCAGAGTCTGGATACCTGGCAAGAATCGTTCAATCACCCAGATGCCCAGCAACTAGGATTGTGAGTAGAACCGACAACATCTCACGAGAGTGCAGCTGACGTTGTCTTAGATTAAACGCCATTCAAAACGTCGGCCAGCTCGTTGCCCTCCCATTCTGCGCCTGGTTTTGCGACCATTTTGGAAGAAAGCCCGCCCTGCTGACAAGCGCCTCCATCCTCCTCATCGGCGTCGCTCTCCAAGGTGCCGCACAGAACGTGGGCATGTTCATCGCGGCGCGTGGTGTTCTCGGGTTTGGCCTGGCCCTCAACATCACAGCCGCTCCTCTCATGATCATGGAGTTGGCGTACCCGTCCCAACGCGCCCCGCTCGTGAGTATCTACAACTCACTATGGGGACTCGGTGCGCTGTCAGCAGCGTGGATCACATTCGGAACGTTTCGGATCGGGAATACTTGGGCGTGGCGCATTCCCTCTATCCTCCAGGGCGTGTCGAGCATCGTCCAGCTGGGCCTTTGTTTCTTCATTGAGGAATCGCCTCGATGGCTCATCTCGAAAGAGAGATATGCTGAAGCGGAAGCTTTGATCATCAAGTACCACGCGAACGGTGATGCTTCGGATCTTGTGGTGCCGTTGGAAATGGAAGAGATCAGGACGGCGTTGCAACTCGAGGCGGAGGCTTCGCGGTCGACGTCGTACATGTCGTTCTTCCAAACACCGGGCAATCGACGACGTTTCTTTATCATTCTAGCCGTCGGCTTCTTCTCACAATGGGTGCGTAATTCCTTCAAGACCACTGCCTATGTGTTCGAGTCAGCTAATACGAACTATTCAGAGCGGAAACGGCCTCATTTCATACTACCTGAGTCTCATCCTGAACTCAATCGGCTACACATCGCAAGACACCCAGACTCTGATCAACGCCTTGATGACGCTTTGGGGCCTCATCTGGGGTCTCATCGCCTCATTTCTCGTCAACCGCTTCCGTCGTCGCACAATGTTCCTCTTCTCAACTCTCGGCTCTTTAGCTTGCTACGTGACCTGGACCGCGCTCCAAGCAACATACGAGCAGCAGACAGACCTAACCGGCAGCGGATCGCCAGCTCTCGCCAAGGGCGTCTTGGCCATGATCTTCCTCTTCAATGTAGTCTTCAACTTCGGATGGGGCGCTCTCCAGGTTACCTACGTCGTGGAGATCCTGCCGTTCAACCTGCGCGCGAAGGGCTTGGTGCTGTATAACCTCTTCGTCGCGATGGCTCTCATTTTCAACCAGTACGCCAACCCCGTCGGCGTCACGAACTCGAAGTGGAAATACTACATCACCTATAATGTCTGGCTGGCGTTTGAGGCGGTGGTGGTGTACTTCCTGTTCGTTGAGACGGGCAAGATGAGCTTGGAGGAGACGGCTGCGATCTTGGATGGTAACCAGGATAGGCTGACCGAGGAGGTGGCTCGTAAGACGGAGAAGACTGTGCTGGAAATTCATGAGAATGCTGTGGAAGACAAAGCCCGCGGCTAGACAATGGCTAAAAGGTAGTCATGTACATATGTCTATGAACAATATCTATGGTATATGCAATACTGAAATGATGTGCCGGGCTGACTAGGGTATCCTAATATGAGCAACGCTTTTGAACGCTCATGCTTCCTCCCGGAAAGGTAATGCCAGCATACCCTATCTAGCCAAATCTCAAAATCAAATGTCGCTAAGTCTATGAACCAAAATCAACCACACTTAGATCTTCGAAACAATATCGAACCCTTTCGCGGGCTTGAAAACACAAGTCAAAAGCGCAGCAACTTGAACAAGTCGTACGAACGGCGCCAGGATGATCGTCTGGAGAGCATGTTGAACCGTCTGCAACCAGGTCACCCCAGCTGGTGCCGTGAGGTCTTGCATGAACGATGCAACCATGAGACTATGAGTATCGACGGAAAGATGCCACAAGCCCCAGATGTAAAGCCATTTGGGGATGATGAAGGCACCACCGAGGGACGTGTAGACAGGTCTGAGGCAAAATGTTAGCTTCTGCTCGAGTATTCTACATGTGAGGGATCTTACCCAATCCAGTACACGAATTCTCCGATGACGCCGAGGACCAGCGAGATTTGAACGACGATGCTGGGGATGGAGAGAATTCCCGTGTACCATCTCCTACGCTGCTTCCAGAAGTCGTGGAAGGTTTCATTCGGTTGCTCGTGGACGGTGTTCCAGATCCAGCCGAACCGGTACCCCTTGGCCGAAGACTGAAGAAAAGTAAGTCAAAATGCTTTAGAGAGACGGTCAAAGATTACGTACGTTATATGCGAACCAGAAGTCCTCGGCCTGGCAGTCGGTGTCCCAAGTCACGGCGTTTTCGACGGCTCCGTTGATGACGATCCATGAGCCGTGCATCCAACCGAGCATGGGCTTGTTCCGTGTCCGGACAGAGAAGGAAAACTTTCCAAAGTCTTCTTGGCTGCGGAGCGTCTCGGCCGTCGTTAGGAAGCCGTTCTTCCAGTGGTTCACGTCGTTGTAGTGCAAAGTACCCTGATTGAAACTCAGTCAGCAGCTGGTTTTATCTACATGCAACGAAGCTTGGGACTTGGAGATTCGTACCATGGCAACATCAAGGTCACTTCGTGTGATGAAGTCGATGCATGAATCCATGACATCCGCATCAATCATCGACTCTTCATCGAGGTGGAGAACCCAGTCGCGGCTGCTCAACTGCTGGTTCCGGCGGTAGAACTCAAGAGCGCGGGCCTTGTACTTGGCCTTGTTGGGAGTAAAGGCGGACGGGACCACGATGATCTGAACGAAGGACGGCAGCGCCTGACGGAACTGCACTTCCCTCTTCTCGTCATCGAGGACGACATGGAACCGCACACCGGGGATGTTCTGAAGCTGAGCCCAGGCTCGAGTTGCTCTCATAACGGTCTTGTTGATGCCTTGTTAGTTATTGTTCAGTAATGCACAGGTGTAAATGACTTACATCAAAGTTCGTGCCTTTGGTCACCAGGCACACCCTTAGACTGCGGAAGTCGCGCTTAACCGGGGCTTGAGCATTCGCTGCAGGTCGCATGGGCATGCAAAGACCGATGACAGATACGTAAGGTGGCATCTGGGCAATGAGGCCAACCGCTAGTAATGCGGTTTGGAAGATTGTGGCCCAGTTCCAATGGTTATTCGGTGATACTGCGTTGCCATAGTGATGTGTGACATGGGCCAGCTTCCAGAGCGCTGTGTAAATCGTGATCAGCTTATATTGTCTTACTAGTAGGAAAGTTCGTAAAGATGATTTTACTTACTAAAGAATGTCGCTGCAAGCGTAAAGGGAAAGATGTACGAGTTGTACTTTGTGATGGTGGTGTACAGGTCCTTCCTTGTGCGAGGGATTCCTCCTCTGAGGAAGTGCCTCTTGGCATCTAATTCTTTCTCAGACATGGCGAAAGACTAATTATCGGAGTAAAGTTGGGATGATTGAATGTTAAAAACCGGTTTAAGCCTGTGCGGAGAGTTCTCTACTTATCATAAGTGAGAGTCCAGACGAACGCGCGGCACATCTTTGCGTGATGGATGTGCGACATCTCATGCTCCCGCCGGCAAATCGGAGAATCATGCGACGAACTGCTCGAAAGGTTCGGAAGTACGAGCATTTTCTCGTCATGATTCAGTCGATGTCGCAGCATCTCACTCACGGCCATCAAACGTGCCAAGTCTGGTCTGTCGGCATCCAGAAGCGGCCTCTGACATGGCGATTCAGACGGTTGGAGCCCTACGGAGTTTAGACGTGCGCGGGAAGACCTTGTCAGCCGGTGACGATCTTCTGCTTCATAGCGAGATCTACGTAAGTGACAGGTTCTCCAAAGTCCATGGCCGCGGCGTAAATGCAACCCAGGAACTGAAACTGTTCACCTGGGAACATCACTTGGCACATATCCAAAGTATGATGGTAGCATTCAAAAGGGTTTGTCGTTTTCAGGAGGTATGCGATTCAGCCCAGGAAGGACTGCAGATTCTCTGCTCATCAACTCGCCCGTCATCTGAAAAGCCAGGGATTGGCGCGCGAGGAACATCGAAATAAAGTTTGGCTGCGACTAGATGAGCAGGGAGGCGAGTCAATCATCCGCGATCTGAGACGGCCTCCGTCCCGATCCACCGGATCCCATGAAACCTGTTGGCGTTTGGTGGCAGCGTGCGATGTGACCGCGTGCGCAATTTCTATCTTTAAGCTGGAGGATGCGACAGTCTTGCAAACATCGCGGGCGTTTTTCACGGTTTCGAGAGGATATACTCCGCGTTGATCCACAATCTTCCGCCCGTTGGAAGTTGCCCTTCTCGTCGTTCCGTATCCGGAGACTCCTTGCCATCAACACATCTCTCATCGTCCAACACCAACACGCAGCGACGCAATCCGAAGTATCACCAACAAGTACATGCAAACCGAAGTCTAATCATCAATGGAAAGAGTACGCTGGCTAGATGGCATACGCGCCATCGCGGCCATCTCAGTCTCTTTTAATCACTACATCATGGGCGAGTTCGCCACGCCATACAACTCATTTTGGGCGGCTCCAGCATCGGACAACCGTTGGTTCTTTCAGCTACCAGTTTTGCGATTTCCCTTCGCTGTCCACTCGATGGTGCCGCTTTTCCTCATCATCGGAGGGTATGGAATATCACTAAGCATCGTTCAATCTTGCCGTGGAGAGTCGGCATTCTCTCGCTACTTCCAACTTGCGTTGTTGAGGAGGTGGTTGAGGCTCTATCTTCCTGTCGTTCCCATCACCATTCTGGCGCATATTGCCTACTTCATCGGGATTACAACTCGACCCTTCCCGGCACATGTAACGAAAGGCCTACAGCCATGGACGGCACCACTGCAACACTTCAAGTACTTCATAGAGTACCTGGTTGACATCGTAGAGCCCGTCAGCATGGCATGGCACGAGAACTTCAACAACCAGACGTGGACCATCCCCGTCATCTTCCGTGGTTCTTGTGTTCTTTACCTCACCCTTCTCGGAAGCTCTCTATGGAATACTTCATACAGGCTCACCGGCATGATCGCCTTGGCTTTCTACTTCACATACCAAGGGAACTGGGATCTCTTTTGCTTCCTCGGTGGAGCTTGGCTGGCGGAAGTCGTAACGCTACTCAAAACGGACTACGAATGGTGTATCGGATCGCCAAAGCTCTTTTCTCGACGACCTACATCCAGCAGAGTCAGACTCGTTGGCCTTGCGAAGACTCTAGTTCTCTTCGCCGGGCTGTGGCTCATGTGTTTTGAGGGCAACGAAAGCACTGGAGAAGCCCATGTCGGATATCAATGGCTGGCGTCTATCCGTTCAAGGCGATGGGCCGCATCCAAGCCCAACGAGTTCTCCGTCATTCGGTCCTGTTGGCAGTCCCTGGGAGGACTGATGGTCACCTCAGTTGTCGCCACTTCACCGTGCGTCGCGAGGCCTCTCGAAACCCCTGTACTGCAGTATCTGGGGAAGATCTCCTTCTCGTGGTACCTCGTACACCAACTCCCCCCGATCATCCTGAAAGGTCCATTGAGGGACTTCTTCTGGACGTTACTTCGACCGCAGGAGTCACCTCATCCGGTTATGGATGATGCTTTGAAGCACCCTTGGACGCTTTTTGTCGTTTGGATGGCAACAGCAGGGATCATCTTCTCCCTGACATGGTTGTTTGCTCATTTCTACTATCAACAAGTTGAGGAGAAGAGTGGTCCGTTATCGAAATGGATTGAGGCGTGGTTCAATGCACCTAAGGACCGGGATCTTGAGAGCAAGCCACACCTGCCTGTCGGTCACATGAATAAGAAATTTGAGAAGCCATAGATATCATAGAATAATCTTAGAAATTTTATTGCGATTTCCATTACTGTTCCTGCTATTGCTATTGCTATAGTCGCTATTGATGAGGTATCGACGTTGGGGTTTCTTGTTGATGTGATACAACAGTTCATCTTGGCTTTCTGATAAGTTGACGTGTAAATGATACTAGTCATCTGCACCCGTTTTGAACTAATTGCAAGCTTCTATCTCCCATATCATGGTATGCTTGACTGCGATCCCGAAAGCCGACCTCTCCCTATGCCTCTTCGAAAGATGTGGTTACAGCGAGAGCACATGGCATTTCGGGCAAGTGCCTGTTCATGTCGCAGTCGGCCCGCGCCGCCGGGATGAGCTGTGTAGTCTTGGCGAAAGACAACATGATGACTTACTGCCTTGATCTGATCGCACTCGTGGCTGTATGTCATAGACTTGAGGCAAAGCTGCTGGTGTTGCCCCTCCTATACCTCCGGATATCGTGCACTGGTAGTAAAAGCGTTCGAGGCTCACTGTCTTCTACAACAAAAACACAGATCTCAATCGATTGACAGCGTGATTCTTCATGAGAGACTGTGAGCTCCTCAGAATGGCGAGATTTCTCACGTTATATGAGACTTGCATCACGGCATTCCGTGCCATCTGCTACTCGGCGGCATTACGGCGGTCCCTGATGAATGTTCCCTCTTCCCAATAGTCGATATGTACCTGCGTCCAAATTTGTACCAATTCAGGAAGAAAACAAAGCCTTTTTTTATTCTCAGTGACATTTGCAGGAGCGTGATGCAAGCTCGGAGGGGTTCGTCAGGCAATACGCAATGGTGCGATATTGCGTGATTGAAGTCGTAAGAAACTCAACTCCCAGCCGGGGCGGTCCCCGTTCTAACCCCGGCGTCACTTTGGCTAACATGCACATCTTCAAGTCTAATCTCGCTCATCGAACCCTTTTCGCTGTCAAAATGAAGAAGCTCATTACCTCGCATCGTCTTCGGCTTTTTCCCATTGGATCGCAATTCGAAATCACACCCCAAGCTCCCTCGGTTTCTCGGTGGAACATCTGCGGGACCTGCAGTCCGGCCCAATTACCCCGTCTTGGGAGGTGGTCGAGATTGGACCCCTTCCCCGGTTCCTTTCCTCCGCCATCGGTGCAATTAGACCGAAGCAGCCAAGCTTTTTGGGGAAGCTCCCCTCTCTCACCCAAAATTACTTCGAAGCTGGTTGCAGTTGTTAGCTTCAATTTGGCCAACGACGACTCGCGGAACGACTCAACGCCCATAGCTCACCCTTGACCACAATCTAACATGCAGATCTAGCGGCAGGGCAGCGTCGTATTGGAAACTTTCACGGGCGCGCTGCCGGGAAGAATGGGGCGGAGAGATGGCATCATCATATTGGAATCTCGCGTCGGGCCAAGTCTTGGCCACAATTACCCATCCGAAGCGTGACCTCGAGATCGCTGGGCCGGATGATGCCATCTCGAGGCGGTGCCGCGAGCCAAGACTCGACTACGGCATTCGTTGACATATGATTCGCGTTCCATTGTCCCGAAAATTGAGTGGTGTCTTTGAAAAGGGACGCGACGGCCGCTTTCCTCTCTTCTCGTGAGACAACGGCACTTCTTCGTTCCTTCGTTGTTGTCGTCACCAAGCCAAGGATGTCTCGACTCGTCCTCGGCCTCGTGGCCCTCACCGGCCTCCTGGGCTCGGTAGACGCCCAGAACAGCACCGACGACAGCGCCAACGTCAAGTGGCTCGGCCGCACGCCGACCTACAACTCCGGCACGACCTTCGGTCTGCCGTGGGCCAAGGGCAAGCACTACCCCAACTCGACCGACTTCACCATCTCCGGCGGTGGTCCTCTGCAGTCGTGGATCACGGCATACTGGCCCGACGGTTCCATCAAGTGGTCTGCCCACGCGATCCCCGAGTCCGACACGATCCTCGACGAGTACACCGTCAGCGCGTCTTCGGCTAATTCGACGGCTCGCTTCGCCCGCGCCAAGAGACAGTCCAGCAGCGGCCTGTCCGTGAGTGACTCGTCCGACGTCGTGAGCGTCGACACCGGCAAGCTCTCAATCACGTTCCCCAAGTCGGGCAGTGCTGTGGTCGGCGAGATCAAGACCGCCTCTGGCAAGATCATTGGCCAGAACGGCAAGCTTGTCCTGCACTCTCAGTCTGGTGTTGAGGATTATGCTGAGGCGAAGGGCAAATCCGGCATCAACTACTTCAACTTCGAGAGCAACATCGAGGAAGTCACCGTCAGCAAGGACAACACCGCGCGTGCTCTCGTGACGGTTCGCGGCAAGCACAAGACCCAGGGCGAAGGCAGCCACGTCGACTGGCTCCCTTTCATTCTCCGATTTTACACATACGCCAACTCTGAGGCCGTTCGCATTGTTCACACCGTGATCTACGACGGCAAAGCATCGGAGGACTTCATCACCGGCCTCGGTATCCGATTCGAGGTTCCTCTTGAGGGAGAGGAGCACTACAACCGCCACGTCAGAATTTCTGGCGTTGACGGCGGTCTCCTTAGCGAAGCTGTTCGTGGCATCACCGGCCTGCGGAGAGATCCCGGTGCCGAGGTTAGAAACGATCAGTTCGAGGGTGTCGAACTCGCCGACCCCGCCACTTGGGACCAAAGAGTCACCACCAGACTTCACTGGATCCCTACATGGAGCGACTATAGCTTGACTCAGCTCTCTCCCGACGGCTTCACGCTGAAGAAGCGTACCAAGGCAGGCCAGAGCTGGGTCAACATCCCCGGCGGAACTCGTGCTGGCGGCCTCGCCTACCTCGGCGGTGCAACCAAGGGTGGCCTTGCTGTCGGTCTGCGCAACTTCTGGAAGCGATACCCTACCGGCATTGACATTACCAACGCCGCGACGGACAAGGGCGAGATCACTATCTGGATCTACAGCCCGAACGCCCCTCCATTGGACCTCCGCCCCTACCACGATGGCCTCGGCCAAGAGGACTACGCCGACCAACTCGATGCCCTTGAGATCACATACGAGGACTGGGAGGATGGATTCAACACCCCGTACGGTGTTGCCCGCACCAACGAGATCTTCTTATACGGCTTCGAGCAAACGCCCAACCGAACCCTCCTCGCCGACCTGTCTGACCACACCAACAACCCCCCCGTTCTTTACGGCGAACCTGAGCACTTTGCTGAGACGAAGGCTATTGGAAACTACTGGGCTCCGCCGAGCGCGAACCCCAATGCTCAGGAAGCCGCCATTGAGAATCACCTCGACTTCCTCTTCAAGTTCTACGAGGGTCAAGTCGAGCAGCGCAAGTGGTACGGCTTCTGGGATTACGGCGACTTCATTCACGCCTACGACACCGATCGTCATCAATGGCGTTTCGATATCGGCGGATACGCCTGGGACAACTCCGAGCTTTCACCCGATCTGTTCTTCTGGAACTACTTCCTTCGCACCGGGCGCGAGGATGTCTACCGCTTCGCCGAAGCACAGGTCCGCCACACCGGCGAGGTCGATGTGTACCACTTGGGTGATCTCAAGGGCCTCGGAACTCGTCATGGCATTCAGCACTGGGGTGACAGTGCCAAGCAGGCTCGTATTTCGACGCCTCAGTACCGTAAGATCTTCTACTACGTCTCCGGAGGCGACGAGCGTGTGGGTGAGCTTATCGAGGAGCTTCTGGACACCGACAAGACCTACGGTGTTCTCGACCCCAACCGCAAGGTCCGTACCGACGGCTGGGTTCCTACACCCAATGCTTCCGTCGCTGTTGGTCTGGGAACCGACTGGTCTGCTCTCGCGGCCGGCTGGCTTCTGGAGTGGGAGCGCCGCGGTTCTCGGTGGGAAGAGGCCCGCACCAAGCTCGTCAACACCGCCGCCAGTATCGCCAAGCTTAAGAACGGCTTCGTTACGGGTTCCGGCTTGTACAGCATCGCCAACGGCACCCTCGGCCCGCCCCCTGCCGATCCCAACAACGAAGGCCTCGTCGCCGTCTCTCACCTGTCCGCCGTGTTCGGCCTCCTCGAAGTCGTGGCTGAGTTCATCGAGCACGCTGGCGAGGAGGTTCCCGAGGGATTCGAGGCTGCGTGGTACGACTACTCGTACTACTACGGCGCAGGTGCTGCCGAGCAGACTGCCCGCTACGGCAAGTCGTTCGGCAGTCTCAACCTCAAGCAGGGACACTCTCGCCTCACTGCCTACGCCGCTCATCGCCATGATAACGCGACGCTGGCTGCCCGCGCGTGGAACGAGTTCTTCAACACGGACGGCTTCAAGGCGACCTCGCCCTGGGCCACTGTTCGCTTCAACGGCAGTGAAGTGCTCGCTCCCATTGATGAGGCTGCTTGGGTCTCGACGAATGACGCTGCTTTGTATGGATTGGCGTCGATCATTAACCTCGCCTTGGTTGGGGAGTATCTGACCTAGATGAGAATGGTCTGGAGACGACACACTCAGCGTCAATCTTCTTGTCTTCTTGTATACATAAATTTAGTTTCCTCCGTATATAACGAAATTAGTTGTCTAAACTTTGGCATGTTGTGCTACCATGAAGTCTGCATCATTGAATGGAAGACGCTTCCTATCACCGTCTTCGTCGCCGCCTTCCCTCTGTCTGATGCCGTGAAACCCATGTTTAATATTAGGAAGACTTACATTTGAGGATCATTTAGTTCATACAAATACCTATGTACCTGATATTCAAGGTAGCACTAAAGAATTCTATGGTTATGTCATCCCATAACAGCTGGGTGTTGGTAAGTGGCTTTGACAGAAGCAAAGTCAAACTTGACCTTGAGGGCGCAACATCGCCCGCTCGCCCTAGGCAGCCAGAGCTCTACGTTGGCCGGGAAAATGACCATCGCTTATCAAAACAGTGGGATATATGGCGCTTTAATGTACTATTCTGTAGCAGTAATGCATCATTCGCTGTGAATCATAACTTAAATTTCTCTGGAGTGGTCAAAATCCGACGAGAACGAAGAAGATGACAAGAGCAAGAGCAAGTACAACGACCATTATAATTACGAGAATGGTCTAGACTCCTCGCGGTCAACATCAAGGTAGACTGGTGCCTTCCAGGTTCCATGGCTAAAGTCAAACCATCGTAGCTGCCTTCGGTAGTCAGTGAGTCACCCCTTCTTGCTTTCTCCGAAAGACTTCCCAACACTCATATATTACATGGAAGCGACAACCCGACAAACAGAGAATCTGAACGTTGCCGCCAAACACAACCCGTAGACAAAACACAGAAGCACATGCGATGGATCTCCTCGGCGTGCTAGAAGCCATGGCTTCAATGTCGTTCGACCAGCCCCAGGACGACGAGCCACTCCCCACCGACGTCGTCGAGAGATGGCAGCGCCTCTTCGGATTCGACACCTACGCCGAAGCAGCTTCGAAGATCCAAGAACACCGATCGAACCTCGGACGTGATACCGTCTCCGACGTCCATTGGGATATGGTCCGCGAGGAGAAAGAGGCCCAAGGGTACGACAAGGAAGCGTACGAGTATTCATGCAGACTCCAGGCAACCGTCAGACCCCCCGCGCCAACCAAGTCGAAACCCGTCAAGAAGTCCAGACCAGCCAAATATCTCGTCATGCTCAGCGGCCCACTCGACAGCGCGGTTAGAATCAGGACCATGGCGAACACACAGGAGACACCAGAAGTCTTCGACGGCACGCTTGACGATGGCAGTCAGGCCCAGTTCTGCGTTGTGGACGAATACGCGAAGGAAAGTATTCTTGAGGCCCTTTCGCAGGAAAAGTCATCGTTCCAGCCGCTTTTTATTCGGCATAATAAGGCCGAGAAGGAGCTGTCTGCGACCTCGATGTATCCGACGCTCGGTCTCGACGCCACCCTCCCACAAAACCGGCCTACCAGCTTGAACGATGAGAGACTCTCACCTTCTCAGAACGAGTACCCGGTGTGGTACTTCTTCTACGGCACCCTTGCCGACCCGACCGTCATCCAAAGGCTGTTGTCGGTCGAACCTGAATATCGCAAGGCGACTATTCGGCGGGGTGCCTTGATGACTTGGGGTGGAAAGTATCGGGCACTCATCGACGCACCGGCGGATAGCACGATCGATGGGTACGCTTTCAGGGTCGTGAGTCAGGAACAGGAGGACGTGCTGCAGACGTATGAGACGGACAAGTACGAAGTCGTGAGGTGCCTGATTGAGATGGAGGACGAGGCCGTGAGAGGATTGACGTTCCGGTTTATTGGCGAGCCTCATGCATGATAAGAATTGAGAGTAGGAGCGGAGGAGAAATAGTCCAGCTGACGAACAGCAAAGGCATCGATATGCACTTCAATGCTGCCAAGTTCTTGGTGGTTCAGAACCATGAGGATGTCTAAGTATGATTCAAAAAGAAAGAGAGTGTCATCGCGCGGCGTATGTTCTGAGAAGCTTACCTGGGGAGCTTACTCAAAATTCGTAACAATTGCCGTCACAACATATCAATGATCATACATGTAGAAGAAAAGGGCACAGAGAAGGCAAGGAAGGCTCTCGTAAAAAGGTGTAGGCCGCTCTAAAAAAGAAAAGAGAAAGGAAGTGCCGCTAGGCTAGGGGCAAGCACAGTTGTCAGAATATAATTAAGCCCATTTATGTTGCGTCAACAACGTGCAGGGGGCTTTTTGCAATCCAACAACATTTATCATGCTGGACGCAGGACATAGCTACAGCTGGATCGGCGATAGACACCATTCAACAGGGCGGAGGGTCAGGCTACGATATGGCTGCCTAGAGCAAATAACTACTCGAATCGAAAGGCTTAAAAGCTTCTACGATCATGGTAACACGTTCAGGTTTGGATTGTGCGGTCTCCCCTAATAGCTCCCCACGCACGGTACTTTGAAAACCCCTTTGTCTTCACAGATACACGTAATAACGACAAGTGCTTAGGAGCTGCCGCTGCAATTGAAGACCTGAGGCTTCAGGTACGTCTATAAAGTGTTGGTGAGGTGAGAGCCTTGGTGCCTCTGTGTGCCATTAGTAACTTCTAGCTCGATTTCTGTTTCTGTTAATCAAAAGCCATATAGGGCACATTTTTTGGCCATGTTACATATGAACAAAATAGAAGATGCCATGCACGTGCCAACGGCTCAGCTCCTACTTGAAAGTGCATTTTTTTCAGTCTCCTTCAAACCAAAAATCACGGTAGACCTGCTCGAAAACTACGTCCATTGGCCATGGCAAACAATAGACGGAAAACGTGGTAGGATTCTAGAGCTACCTAATGCAGATACGTGCAGCTTAGTGTGTAGGCGGACAGTCTGTGAGTAAAGTATTGTGTACTCACTGATCTAGTAACTAAAGCGACATGAGAAGACTCAGAATCGCGTCAAACGACCTTTCTCACTAGTAAACTTAATAAGTAGCGACCAGGGGCGAGTACAAATAGATGAGTATGGATGACTTTTGACGGCTCAGCAACAGCAGCTTACCCCTCACTTGTTCACCAAATTGAAAGCAAAATCACGGCAGGTCGAGCATCTAAGATCTGTAATTGGTTGAAGAACATGAGTTTTATGGCACCGTTGCCCGCTAAGGTACTGTCATCTGACTCTGTCTGTAAGCCTCGTAATCAGCCTTGAATAGCGGTCCGCCTTGGTGCCAGCTGCATGGCGTGTTTCGGTGTGGGATTTCAGTTAGCCTGTTCCAACGCCTCCCCCGATTCCTGCTGTCAAGAAGCTTCAGGCACACCCATTTTTGCGGCTAGGCATCCAGCTCCAGACTGTGATGATAGATGACTCTGCAGCGTATCTGACCTGGAAAAGGCCCTCCCGCATCCCCACGTCTTCCCATCAGGAAGCAACCCTTCACATTTGTGCGTTGCTTCAGAGTGGACTTTGGTGTGTCTGTTGAGGTCATTTTGACGTCTGAATGCAGAGTTGCAGTCTGGATAATAGCACATGAAAGGCCTCTCAGTCGAGTGAATGTCCATGTGAGACGTTAAATTGAACTTTTTCTTGAACACCTTATAGCAGACTGGACAGTTATGCTCGGTAATTCTAGGCTTTTTGAGTCGTGGGGCCCGGTGAATCTGATCTTCAGAACTGTTGTTTTGCGCTGTTTTCGAGTCTGAAGCAGTCTTTTGTGAACGTGAAGAAGTGATTTTGGGCGGTGGAGGGAAAAGCTCGGCATCGGTAGGGAAGTCGGAATCTGCAACATCTTGACTGTGGATATCATGCATATCTTCTATATGCTTTTTGAGACCCTTCGCTGAAGCAAGGCCACATGCGGAAGTTGGGCATCCTTCTAGTGGGCATGTGAAAGGTCGAATGTGTTTCTCCACGTGCATGTTTCGGACGTCTGCCGTTAGGAATCCGACGGAGTAATGATTGCAACTGGGTCTGATGCATTTGAAAAGACCAGGCCCATGCATTTCGAGCATCTTCGCGTGGTCGCCAGTGTCAGTGTTGCAGTTCTCTATGCAGGCCCGGACGTCTTTCAGGACTTGAAAGATGTCCAACACCGTTTCTTCTGGCCTCATCTCTCCGAAAAGCGAGAGATGCTTTTGGGTTGATACCACCGCCTGTAAGAGTGTTTCGTAAAATGAACAGCTCTCTAGCTTTCTCATTTTTCTCTGATTTCGATCAGATACTACCAATTTTGCTGAAGGGACACCAAGATGGACTTCAAGGAGGCACTCCAATGACTCGCTGAGTTCCTCCAGAAGAGGTCGGTTGATTTCCACAGCTGTTAGCCCGGACTCCAAGTGTCTCACCCAGTACATAACTGCGTATTCAGCAAATATGTAGTGCCCGCTGAGTATGAGGTGATTGACGTTTCCTGTTGGCGTACGAAAGTAGGGAAGGTTCATGTAATCGACACAAAGAGTCGCAAGTCGCAGGTTCTCAGCTACGGTATCGACGTAATGTCTCTCAATCAAGAAGCTATTGACAACAACGCGTATAGATCAGCAAGAGTATTGCTACAGTCGAACTACCAATGAAATCATCACTTACTATTTTGCAGTCACATGAACTAAATCTACTACTCCATCATCATGGACTTCGATCATCGCGCCGCAGATGTCCTTTGGGTGAGCGCGGAAACGCCGTTGTTGCATGTCGATGGTCTGTTCATCTAGACCCAGTGATTTGGCAGCCTGAATTTCCTGCCATCTAAGAGGGCGTTTGGAACACACGATCCATCCAAAAAGTAGCAGTGTGTAATTTTCTCTGCCTCTCGGAGGTTCTTGGGTCGATATACGCGTCATGATCCGATCGTACGCGTCGTCGATGGCGGTAGGAAAGGTCCCAGGCGCCAACTCAGCTTCCAAATCTTGGTAGGTTTCTTGCCCAAAAAGATTTTCACAGATCAATCTTGCAAGCAAAAACATGCCTGTTAGATTCCAATTAGCAAGCGTACGATTTTCCTCTTCCGATGTAGGTCTTAGTTTTCTCACCGCCGCACGATTCCGGTATTCTAGAAGCAATTTCTTGCCGTTTCTCATCGGGTAGGTCGAACCTTTCCTGTAGTCGTGCAGCCCAGCCAGCAGCAAAGTAATTGATGTCGTTTCGATTATCTTTTTCCATGATCTTTAGAACGCAAATTCCGGCAAAGTCTTTGCGAGCAGGACCATCATCCTGACTCACAAACAAGCATCGCACTTTGTCTGGGGTCGATTGGGGAAGCTCTTCGACCAACTTCCTGAACCATCGGGAAATCACCTTCCTCTGATCCCGGGGGCATTCGTCAATGCCATCCAGAATGATGTAGACGCTCGCACAGTTCTTGATGGAAATTTCCAGGAGCTCCTCCATGTCCGCAATCGTGGTCAAGGTTGCTTCTGTGCTGATTTTGTACTTATCATGGAAAAAATGAATTAGGTCCGGGCTTTGCTCCAAAAGCTGTAGTAAGAGACGTTTTGCAACAGCTATAAAGTTATCCTTCTCTGAGTCGCCGGATTTAAAATAGTAGTAGAGCACTGTAGGTTTGTGGGCCAAGGTGGTCGCTTCTTCGATGACGAAGGAGGACAAGATAGTTTTGCCGGCTCCAGGGATTCCGCTAAGCCATAACAAGGCCGGCGTAAATGGGAAACGATCAAACCACCTTTTGAATTCGTGCTTTTCAAGAAGCCAGCGACCTGCGTTCGGCTGGTTACTGCGGATCTTGACAAATCGATGGTGGTCGTTTTTTATGTTGGCTCCTTCGAGCCAGCCATAGATTTCTCGTCGAAGACGCATATCCCGATCATATCTTAGTTCTTGGAATCTTGCTTGTTCCGCTTCTCTTGCCCTTCGTGCCTCTGATAAAGTGGTTTGACCAAGTAGCAACAGGCGGTGATGAGACATGGCTTGAATCAAGTCGGCAAACCGGGTTTTGTAGTTTCTCCAAGTAGCCTGGAACAACTGTTTCAACACTGTGCATTGGTGTCAGCCTACTACACTAGTAACAAGAGTTGTTGATGAAGCACTGACTGGGTTGCTGGAAGTATTTGAATGCCTGCCGATGGAACTCAAGAACATCCTTGTAGATACTTGAAAGAATCTTGGCCATATGAGCGTCATTAGGAAATAGTTCTCGTGTCTGCAAAAGAAGCAAGAGGGTGTCGCCAAGTTGTTCGTAGGTGTCCAGAAGCTCCGAAAACGCGTGAGAAAACGTGTCAGCCACCAAAAGAAGCAGCTTCCAGGGTCCCTATTCATATCAGTATCAATCACCTATCAATCACCGGGACCTTAAAGCCCCACCTGAAGGCCGAAGTCAGGTTACATGCAGGAGACTTACCCAAACAAATGCAAGCACCTCGGAAGTCTGACAGAACACATCGATAACTTTTCCAAATTGTGTCATTGCTTCTACGAACCCTTTGAGCCTCGTCATGTTCTGTTGTCGCCTTCCTGAGTGTAACTTGCTTTGTAAGGTGTCAATTTCCTGGCAGAACTCGGTCTCTGAGGAAAACTTGAAGTACTCTCTTTCTTTGATCTTGATTTGATTCTTGAATTTCTCAAGCTCCTCTTCGAAGGGATTCGGCAAGACTCCCTTTCCAGGACCTGCGACGTTGGCCTGTGTCGTTGCAGCCATGGCGAACAAGAAATTGATGGACATCAGCATGATGCATCAGGCTCTCTCAGCAGAAGAACTGGACGAGCGGGGGTTAAATCAAGTCGCCTGCGCAGAGTTTGGGCACCATTCGCCACACAATTGGGAGCGGAATAGGCAACAGCTGATCAATATAATTGGTCAGGCAAACGAGGCGCCTCTCATCTTCATGCGACCTGCGACCTGCATGCGAACCGCCCAGGGCTTGGAGATGACGTGAGATCAGGCTAGGACTCTGCAGTTATGTCCAAAAATTACAAAGTTTCTCGTTCACCACCGCTCAAACTCAATATCAAGTTTCCTTCCTCAGCCGCGCAAATGCCAGTAAACACGCCGTACGAACAGATGTGGTCCAATTCTCACGATGGCGGAAGTAATCCTCTCAACTCGACAGGCAATCTCATGGACGTCAATGGCGACATCTGGGGTGAAAGCAACTGCTTGTATGACACTTACGAGATCGGGAATATCAATGGGTCGAATTCCTGGCAGGGATCTAGCGCAATCGGCCATATTGGCTTTGACAACTTCCCCGGCGGATCAACACCGGATTTGATAGGAGAAGAAGTTTGCTATGGCAGCGTTAGTGATCCCATACTGATTGACAGCAAGAGAAGTCCTCTTCATTCAATTTCTGACATACGTCAGATTGCTGATGTTCCGTGCCAATTGAGCGAGTCTCCCGGCCTTTTGGAGCCGGCACAGCTTGGCCCGACTATCATTTTTCAGATTCACCCCATCGGCGATTATTTCGGGGTGTATTCGTCGAATACGGAGGTGGCACTGCTGAACAAGGCCACATGCAATCTCATCCGTAAACTAAATCAGAACACGTCTCTCCGGTTTGAAGCAACCGTATCATCCCAGAAGTGGACTGCATGCGTCGCGGAACATAAGCAGGGGCAATGTTTGAAGACGATGAACATAGACATCAATCTTTATGGACTTAAAGACGAGGCGCATACTGTCGGAGAGACTGTGGCAAGCTTTCGCATAACATTGCAACGGCCCTCGGTCGAATTATGGGGAGTTACCTACCACAATCCTCACTATTTCGAAATAAGCCACTCGTCGAGCGATGACCTCATGCTGACCATGTTGGAGAACCTGAACGAAGATAACACGGCCGAAGATATATCGGTTGAAGATCAAGAAACTGTTGATCCCTCATCCGAAGTCAACTCGATTCTGAACTCTTTGTCTCATCAGAATATTCTTCAAGAGCAGCTGGTGAACAGCAGGATCGGAAGCCAACTGCACCCGTAAGAAATTTACACATTCCCTTCATATGATTTGCTTACCTGAACGGTGTTGGTAGACATCAAAAAGTGGCAATCGATTATGTCTTCAGAAGAGAAACCGGTAATCTACCAACGGAAATGAGGCTTTGGCAATGCAATGACGACGACAAAGATGCAATCCAGTGAGCCCAAGACTTGGTTCCTCCCCGCTAGTCTTATTTGTACTCACATGTTTCTCGAAGTTATCAACACATCATAAGCGGGTCGAAAAGTGAACACCCGGACGAAGCCAGAGGAGGTATCATCGCGGACGAAATGGGCCTTGGGAAGTCTTTGGTTGTGCTTTCCGTCATAGCTGGTTCTTTGGACAGAGCTGAAAGCTTTACCAGCGACCCCCAGCAGCTCAAGTTAGCGAACACGCCTCGAGGCGGCCATACTTCCAGTGCCACATTGGTGGTAGTACCATCGTCATGTGAGTTTTCTCTACAAAAGGCCGCTAGAACTATGAGTGGTTTGTTATGTCAGTGACGAGAGGTTGACATGCGTGTTGCTTTTAGGTACTCATCGATAACTGGATCGATGAAATTCGAAGGTAAGCCCACCTAAAAACGTGCAGAGAAAATTTTGGCTGACCGTCGAACTACGGGGAAGACACGCAATTCCAGGTGGCTTGACCTTTTTTAAACACCATGGAAACAAAAGAAACGAGGATGTTCATGAAATCTTCAAGTCCAACATTGTCTTCACCACCTACGCCACCATTGCTTCTGAGGCTTCTGTAAGTGGTCAACGCACAGGAGCATTGGCGAAGATTTCTTGGTTCCGCATCGTTTTGGACGAAGGTGCGCGAGAAAGTGACCCCGTAGAGTTTGCTTAAATGTGTAGCCCTGGCTAACTTTGGGTAGCTCATGATATGAGAAATAGGTCAACGAAGCAGTTCCAAGCGGTGAACAGCCTTGTCGCAAAGCATCGTTGGTGTTTGACCGGTACGCCGATTCAGAACAGCTTGGAAGATCTCGGTTCTCTCGTCACATTCCTGAGAGTACCGGTATTTGAACATGCCCCAACGTTCAGACGCTACATTGTCAGCCGAAACATCTCTTCCAAGCCGTCTAAGCAGAATTTCCAGGGACTCAGAACTCTTCTTTCATCAATCTGCTTGCGCAGGACGCGAGAGCTCATGAAAATCCCGGATCCTGTGCAGCAGATCAAGAACATTGATTTCACCGACACTGAGCGTCTGCAATACCGGAGCATCATTGAAAAAAGTCAAAGAGAAATACAAATGGCCGTCAGTAACTGGGGCAAGCGCAAAGTTAATTCAGCGGTTCTTCAGTCCGTCTTGAAGCTACGGCTGTTCTGCAACAACGGGATAATGGATCAAGATCGACCTTCGGAATTGCACGGATTGCCCGCAGACCCGGACAAGCTTCTCAGTTACCTCCAACAAATGGATGCAGCGCAATGTGCTTATTGTGGCATCAACATTCATACCATCAACGAGGGGCATGATTCTGATGGCGGAGTTCTGATCAAGCAGTGTTCACACTTAGTCTGCCGCGGTTGTATCCCGCAACATCGCTCAAGAAAGCGGAAGTGCCCTCAGTGCGCCTTGGGCAACCGTGTTCAAGATCCTCAGGATGTTGAACAACCATTGGAATCTATCCAGCCTGATACAACTTCTCGATCAACTTACCCATCCAAACTCTTGGCTTTTCTAGACGACGTCAAGAATGATAGACTTGGTTTGAGTCGGAGGAAAAGGTTCTTGAAACGTAAAATTACTTTTCAGATTCCATCACTGACAAATATCCAGTATCGCGTTTTCTTCCTGGAAGAAGACCCTCGATATTGCAGGGCAGCTCTTGGCGAGTCACGGCATCAGATTCCATTGCATACATGGTTCTATGTCAATTTCGGACCGTTTGCAAGTGCTGAAGGACTTCCGTTCACCAATGGGCGCAGATATCCTGCTGATGACTCTTGGAACTGGCGCCGTCGGGTTAGTGCCACTGAGCTTTTTGAGCCGTGCAGTGGCCGGAGTTAACGTGAGGCAGTTTGAATCTGGCTGTTGCAAGTAGGATCTACTTGTTCGAGCCCCAATGGAACCCTTCCATTGAACTGCAAGCATTTGGAAGAGCACTTCGTCTGGGACAAGCAGAACAGGTCGTCATCGTCCGTTACATTATGAGAGGGACCATTGAAGATGTAGGTTCAGACATCGGACATCAAGGCGAAACAGCCAACTGATCGATATTTTCACATTAGAGCAACGTTTTGTCTAGGCAGCAAAAGAAATTGCAACTGGCGGATGGGGGCTTTTCACAGAAACGCAAGCCTATTTCTTCCGACAGACTTGAAGCCATCTCGGTAACGGATACTGCGGCCCCGTCCCATCTGCATCTTACTAACATCTTGTAGAACATTCTGGGGCTCGAGCTTAGAGGTAAGACCTAGATGGATTTGTAGCGGTCGGTTCAACTCTCATACCTAGTCAAGATTTGTATCTTATAATTGAACAGGAGTTTCGTAGATGGTTATGTGCTAGTGCCCCTTTTCAAGATCAGGGGCCACCTGTGCGGGCACGGACTGGACGCCACGAAAGCGCGTAGCGCGTTCATGTCTTGAACCACATCTCGTCGCGTTGAGGATTTCATTACGTGACCTCAACTCACACCACGCAATTTTCTACAACTATTAGATGCCCACCTTTCCCTGAAAACATCGACAGAACCCACCCGTATTTTACCGTTCAGAAACTCTGTGGACGAAATGACTCATTTCTCTTGGGAGAGGATCCAAGAGTTTTCCGGATGGCCTGCGCATATAAATTCAACCAATTATGCCCCCCTCGTATTCGACGAACGCCCGCAGCCACGAACGTTGAAAGCTGTCAGGCGTGCTTTTCGAAAGGCCGACGTAAACACGAAAGATGCTGTCGACGTACACTCAGCCCGCCTAGAAGCATTGGAGCAAGTCCGAAAGTACAGCAGGAGAGCGAACGAAGAACTACACGCCGCAGAAGCCTCCCTCAATGAGAACACGCAAAATCTCGAGGCCGCAACGGCCTGGCTACACCACATCCAAAAGATTGTCGAGGCCGCCCGCGGCTATCTCCTTCAAGCCGAACAGCAAGTTGCGGATTCGCAACGCAAGTGGGACGAAGCATACAAGCTGTCGATGACGGCCGGGAAGAGGGTCTACCAGGTTGCGCTGTACTCGCCTGAAAAGCGGCACCTGACGGAAGATGAGATCGAGATGCGACGACAGTCGGCTCTCACGACGTTCCATGATGCACAGGAGCAGACGGGAAACGTCTACTGGTTTCTTCCCGATCCTCCGCGAGAACCACGACCACCCCGTTGGAAGGACAAGTACAACTACGCAGGCCGTCAGATTTACAGCAGATGGCAGCCTTATCATCCCCGGCCGCCAAAGCCGGTGCCGCCGCCGCCGAAGCCTGTCGTAATTGTGTGGCGGCAAACGAAGATCACGGATTACTTTCCAAGGTTGGGGTAGTTGAAGAGAGGGCTGGATGCAATGAGCGTCATGTTGGAATCCAAGGAGATCAGATGTATTAGGCAATACATTAACAGCTTACGCTCTATGCCATCCGCCTTGACATGCTGTTGTCTCGTCTGAGCTTTGGACTCACTGTGAGTGGGATGGATACCCTGGAGAGTTTGCTCTATATTAAGCGTTTAGTCCCTTGCAAATCTCATGATTCGTTCGCGTCCCCACAAGATGTCCAGATCAACTACCCGTAACAGAGATTACACGAGCATTAATGACTAGCGCACCTGCATGACAGGTTCGTCTCAGGATTGGCTTGTAGATCGCAACCTGTTCCTGGTAGTTCCAGACCCTAGGGCCAACGACGAACGGGCGCTCGAAGCTTTTCGTCCCGATGGCGAAACCAGATCACTCATTAAGCTGAAGAAGCGGATTTCTCCAATACCCTGGCATTGCTGACAATATATTTCATCGTCCGAAGACACGATTGACCGATCCATTAAATAGAGTGACCAGCCCGCTTCCCCTTACAAGTAACATTGAACACTCGATCAAGTTTTTCTGTCAACGCCTTGAAAGCGTCCAAGCCACTATGAAAATCACCCTACCTTTTCTTGCCATCTTCGCGTCTCGCGCGGTAGCCGAGTGCACCTTCAGCGGCGGCTTCGGTGCCTGTCTCAACTGGTGCTACGATACGAACCCAGGCGCTGAGCGATACATCATCGAAGGTTGCTACCGGGCAGTATGCTCGGATTGCAGACCTGCCTGAGAAATTTCTATGTGAGTCACATACTTTGTCTGTAGCAATGGATTATGCTCTGACTGTTACGATAGATGACATAAGATTCGCGTTGGCTGGTTCAAAGGGTGCATAAGTACATCATTCGTATATGTTCTCTTCGAGCTACAATGTCTTTCTTATGAGGATTGATACACTCTATTAAGCGGCAAGGTGCTGTCGTATGCTCTTGCTTAGCTTATTTATAACTCTGACGTCTCTGTATTCAATATTATTGTTCTTATCTTCTCTCGTTTTCCGTCTCATCCTCATGCTAGACATCAAAACTCTCGGTTTAAGGCTTATGGTTTGTTGCACTCCTCTGCTGCAGTGTTATATCTCAAAGTTGCAAGTCGTCGCTGGTTTACTTTGGACAGCTGGAAGGACTTTTGACTATTGCCTTGAATATCATTGACGTATACGCGTAGTAATGATCAGATGAACAGTTCTTTCAGCAAACAGAGTTTTCCAATGAGACCTCGTTGAAAATTTGGCCGATGTGCCTCTATTTACCGAAGCAATGGCTTCTCGGCGACTCGGAACAGGGAGAACTTCAAGCGTCTTGTGCTGGTTAGAGATTAAGGCAAAAGCATGTACGGCGTGACGCCAAAAATACATGGACTATGCCGGAATGACTTTGGAAACACGCGGCGAGGTGGATAGTTCAATCGCGATTTCGAGACAGTCTTTTTGGAAGAGACAAGTCTCAGGAACAGAAGCCTCTATACTTATCGTATGTGGTGTGTGTGAAGTCATTCCCCAAGGTGCTACATCATACGAGCTTCTTTTCGTAACACGCGATCATCACAATTTTTCTAAATGAATCAATCGGCTCCAGACATCGGAATTGGGCAAGTGGTCAAGTACTTTCACTTCAGGTTGGCCACTAACATCCATCCTCTGTACAAACACGTGAATCTATCAGTTCCTCGATGGAATCCCGTTTTTAGGCAATGATAAGGTCGAACTGACTTGTGTCGATAGCCTCCAGACATTGAAGACACGGTTTCGGAGGGAGTATGACTGCCTTCTTCCCAAGCTGCAAACTTGCCGCGGTTGCAGCAAGTCGAGCCTGCCAATTTCCATCTGCCCGAAAGATGCCAGTCGTGTCTGGAAGTTCCCAGAATTCGGCCCAAGAATCGATTGCGATGAGTGTTGGCCCATTACTTCCGGACTGTGTGGTGTCGTGCGTGCACTTGGGAGCTATTACCACGGAATCGTTGCGAAACATGGAATTGATATCCAAGTCACCGATATGTTCGCCGCTGTCGTTTGCAGAAACAACGGATTCGAGCAATATTACTAACGTGTCTCGCAAGCCGCGAGCACCTACATCAACGGGCATCTCAAATTCCGTGAAGGATAGATGCAAAGACGTTGCCTCGAACTTGTTCTCGAATTTCCCGTCGAATGGAAAGTGGTTTACTAGGTGCCATGAGTTGATGTCAAACCCTTTGAGCGTGGGCTGTGAAGGAGGCAGAAGAAAAGCCATCTCGGATCGTCCAAGATTTCCAAATACCCGACGAACACCTCGGTTCGATTCATGAACGTAAGGATCGGAAATCATATCCGAACTGACGAAGATGGAGTCTCCGGAAGACATAGCCACAACGCCATTGAGGCTTCTCGGATCTACATCGAAGTCACCAGTCTCCATCATTGCAATGCACGCAAACGATAGTGCGAGTTGATGATTCGTGTGATTTCTTTCCGTGTGCTCAGTGCCGATAGAAGCAAAGCCGTCGATTTTCAACGCCGTCGTAGGGCCTTTTAGTTCGGACGGAGAGGGAGAATTTGGAGGAGGAGCCCAGGCTGAAAAGTCATATAATCAGTCTCATGAGCTTTCAGTCGCACATCTTCAGCTTGAACTTACATCTGAGACTATTTGTTCTGCTGGGGCTATCGTTTCTGGCCGTATCATGCTTTCTCTCAATATACGTCGAGAACTCCTCTGCTCCCCACACCGGCGTGCCCTGCTCAGATTTGGCAATCTGCCGAGCCCATTTTGTCGTGTATAGGGGTATATTGGCTGCCTCAACGCTGACGCTCGCGCCTTGTAGGTTTTCGTAGACGTCTGTTGCAAAGACCAGAGCTTCCAATGAAATCCGTTGTTGAGTATAGCTCTCGTCCCGTACAGTTGACCCCCAGTTGGAGATCAAGAGTTCTCGGAGGCTTTCAATGTCCAAAAGTGGAGAAGATATAAACTCTTGAACCTGGTCAACATTGGCGTCAAATCCATAGGCTGATTTGAATGATGTTGCCGCCTCGCGCTTCGTGTTTGCTGCGTATAGTCCAGTGCCATGTATGTCACCCAGGACAAAGTGGTACACAGGCTCATCAAAGGGACTTGATTTGAATTGAAAGCTGTAGTTGTTGATTCTGAATTACTTGTCTGGCTGAACAAGAACACATTTCTCTTTGCCATCTTCAATACGCTGTGATAGATAGACAAGAAGACAATTGCAACAGAGTATGCCGTCGGAACAGCAGCTGAATGTTCGAAGCTTCCATGTTGCGTTGAGAGTGCTCATGATGTTCTCTGTTGAGTTGCATGCATATAGTCTATCTTTGTCGAGATGACAATGCATTGAACAAGCCAAAGAGGCTTCTGTACAAGGACAATCCGGTCCATCTGGGGAAATGCAGCTGCAGTTATCTCCATTACAGCTTGGATCTGTTGAAGAAGTGTTCAGGGATGGACACCGTTCATGTATGTCCTGGGGCGCACCTGCATGACACAAAGACGTACAGCCTCTATGCGGGCGCGAACATGGACAAGGAAGCCCTGGATTACCGGGACTTGCCACGCATCCGCAGTCTCTTCCACACTCATGACCGAGATGATGCTCATCTACTTCTGGTTCAACAATCCATCTGATGTGACCCATTGGCGTTTCCAGGCGCTGTCGTTTTGGCTTCAAGTTATTACCATCATGAGAGGGTCTTGGCTGATGTAGAGCTCGTGGTGTTACGGTAGCAAAGATCAATGAGGTTTCAGACTGCACTTTGTGCGGGTATTGATTGCTGCTGTATTGGATGAGAAGTTCGTCTTTGTTTGGAATCATGCCAAAGTCAAGCCCAATTTTTCTCAGGACAGAGATCTCTGCTTCTGGCCCGGACAGTAGGGCCAGGAGAGTCGGAAACTTGCAGAGACCAAAGAAAGGTGGCGGGCTGAACTCGGTGTCATTCAGTATACCACGTCGGAAGAGCAATCCAATTTTCAGTAGCTTGTTCGACTGAAGGCGCTCAAGACCAGTTCCGATGCTGAGTTTGTGAGCCGCTTCAGCCAGTTGCTTCAACCATCTGACTGTGACTTCAGGCTCATTGACGAGTTTCGACAAATTAATGATGAGCCTGGTCCCCATTTCTGTGCTTGGACATAACGGCTCCCATTGGGAAATGATGGCGCCAAGGGCTATGAGCCAGAATTCGTGTATCGTCACCCTCGAGTTGTTTGATGCAATGTGGCGCTCTGAGATGACCGGAGCAGAGTAGTACCGCAGTCTTGAAAGTGGGAGTGACCAGAAAACTCCTTCCTTATTGGATACAACTTGGGATGATATGGTGATCAAAGCGTCGTTCATGAGCTTGTCGTGCTGCTGGATGTGCTTAGTTTCCTGCAGGAGAACTTCCATGTCCGGATACAGGTGCCATGATGACATCGCCAAGAGAATGGTCCCATCTTGTACCCGTTGCGGTATTCCCTGGGCCAAGCGGTCCATCGCAACCATACCGGAAGTCCACGCGTCGACAACGCTTTCGTATGGATCCTTTTTGGAGTTGACGGGAAGTCGGACGTTGCTTATTATTAGCATAAGCTGTGTTTGCTGCAACTTGCGATCCGCATCTGCTGTTTGAAGCCAAGAGCGAGCGCTCGCATCCCAGGTGCTGAGCTGTTGCCGAGAGAAAGTCTGTTTCGATGCCATCAATGAGGCGATTTCAGTCGCGTTTGTGCTGTCGTACTTGTCCAAGACCTCTTGCTTTCTGCGTTCAACCAGCTCAACCCATAAAGAGATAGCTTCATGGCTTTTCCATATTCTTGCCAGCATACAAGCCAGAAGATGAACCGCGATAGCACCTCGTCCAGACGTTGCAGCCGCCCAGATGCTGGTACCGTCAGGACCAGCCTGGGGCGCGAAGAGTTTTGACTCAAACCCATCGGACCACTTGGACTTGGAGCGACTCGATATTTCGGACGCACGTTTGCCGTAGGCCCGGTAGAGATGTGGAACGGGTGGTACCAAGGACTCGAAAAGGGCCCCGAGCTTCCGCGCCGTGATGTGAGATTGGCCTTCCTCGGCCTCGCCTCGTCGATGAGCCGATAAGGAGTCGCCTACACCAAGGAATTCCTTGGGGGCTTCGACCTTCATCAGGGAAAAGTCCAAGTTGAAGTTGGCGGCGGCAACCGTCAACTCCTGCGGCACCGAAACGAGTGCGGCGTTGAGCTTTGAGATTTGATCCATGCTGATGAATGTGGGACTCGAGCAAGAAAGCGGCAGGGCTCCTCTGTCACCCGACACTTCATATGAGAATCGCAGATCAATGTGGACAAATGAAGGTGGAAGGATCAGGCGGACCAGAATAATTGAACAACTGTGATTTCCAGGTAGAAATGGCTATGTTGTCGAACGAACGCTCGTTGGAGTTGACTGAAGAGCGTCTCGTGAAGGAGACGTGCGGGGGTTGAGGCTTCCCTTGATGGATAGCAAGAGGCTTAGCAGTGCGAGATTCTGCCTCGCGGACTGCCAAGAGGTCAGGCAGCAATGGCGTTTGCCTTCATGTTGTGCAACCTGACCTCTCCTGCATGTATGCAACCATGTAAGCCTCACTATCCGCCAGCGCCAATGATATTGTCGGCTGCCTCACTCCAGTGGCCGATGAGATGTTAATTGGGCGCGGCTCAGCCCAAGATCAATTGCTGCATCGTCATAGGCAAGTTTTGAGAATAATGAACACAGTTGCCGTCAGTATCCATGAAAACTTCCTAGCAAAGAATGAGGCACGAATCTCACCATCCAGAAGAATACCAGACTAGTATTTTCCGTGTGAGTTCTAGTTTATCGGAAACTTTCAAGAAGATAAGTACTTTTATTTACATCAGGGTGGCTAGAAAATAATGAGTAAACTGCCTTAAGTTATATCCGGAGGCGCATAGAAATACTCAGTTGAGGTGATTTGATATCATGAAGCTCTGCATCGTCTTGCTAATGCGAACGTAGACTGCAAATAAACCCAAAATCAGATCTATTCCTTATAATTCACGCTTCACAATTCATTCAGCGATAGTTGTTACTTTGGTCTGGTTGTCCCAGAGGAGTATCACACCTGAAAATTGTAGCGTGACTCTTTACTGATTATTTCTGGGTGTCGACCGCCGCATGAGTCTGTTACTTGTTTTGCGAAAATTCACATCAAGCAGTGACTCTGTATTGATATTCTCAACATAGCTCAGCGAAGCCGTTTGCCTGGGATTCTGATTATGTTTGGCAGCCTATCTTTGTGTTGCTGGGTCCATTCCTCATCATGTCCACGTGGGTATCACACATTATTGTTTTCCTCTCGCCTTTTCCCCATCCGCGAACCTCTTAACGCTCAAGACTTGGTGTCCCCATTAACAGCCGACGATCCCTCCCCATTACCACCAACCACCTTCTCGTACGCCGGCGCAGCAGAACTCGGACCGTCATAAGCCGGCACTTCTTCTTCCACGGGCGGCGGCGCGGGAACTGGACTATCGACAGCCAAAGTCGCCATAGCTTGCCCAGGGCCACCACTCATGGCATTCTCAACGGGCGGAAGAACCACAATCTTCTGCTGCCACCCGCACTCCCACGACTCTCCCGCGATGAGAACTTGGATCTCCCACTTCATCATGTGATGTAACTGAACACAATACGTTGTGTATGTGGGAGCCAACGTCAGATACGCCCCGGCCCCGAACCTGGACGCGTCCGGAACCGAGCCGGTTGCGTTGAGTCGCAAGTCCATCACCGCACCAAGATCCAGTGGCTCCTCCTTTGAAGACGACGGTATCACGATACCGTCAATCTCGTTTATGAACTTGTTCGTTTTTCCGATACATGCTTTCCTCGACTTGCTGGCTTCATGGGGATCGAAAGAGCCGGGACAGATGACGGCTGTTGTGCTGTGGACCTCCAGCGTCGCGCTCTTAATAATGACCCTCTGCGGCACGTCTTCAATGACATCCGAGCTCTTCTCTCTGTCGGGTGTAAGCTTCAGCCTGAACGGGATCGTTGAAGGGTTCCCAAGCTGTATACGCGTGGGATATTCCACCCTCAGCGAGTAATGAAACGTCGGGACCTTGGACGACCCGAAGAACTTCTGCGACTTCTGCTTAAACGACAACTTCGCCTCCTCCATACCCGGCATGAGCCGTTGCGTCGACACACACCCCGCCATCGTCCTTCCAACAAGCCCAAAGTCGGCGATCGGCGGCGAGGGAGACGGGACAGACCACACCCTCACAGGCAACGTCGCCTCCACCATCTTCCTCTTCCCCTCCACAACCAACTCCGCCTCGAGCCAATACTCCACGAACCCGTGCCAGCTCTTCCCGAACCCCGAATGCTCAAAGAAGAAACTCCCCGGCAGCGGCTGCTCCGGCACGCCCAAGCTCCCCCTCACATCCCCCGGCGCGCGCAGGAAACACGCCTCTCTCTCCTTCTCCGTCAGCGCGGCGTTCACGGCGCCGGCGTCGGTGTGCGTCGGCAGCGCGAGCGCGAACGGCCACGACTGCGCCTCGGCGCCGGGGCCCTGCGCGACGTGGACCGGCCCGTTGTGCACGACGTCCGCGATGGCGCCCTGCGACCAGAAGTTGAAGCGGGAGCGGTAGTAGCTCTTGGAGTTGTTGCCGCGGTCGACGACGAGTTTGGCCTTGGCGCGGCCCTGGAGGCGCACGCGGACGGTGGCGTTCGCGGCGACGATGTGCGATTTGCGCACGGCGTGGCCGAGGACGACGCTGCCTGGGTAGAGCGGCGTTGAAGGGTCGACGAGCTGGAGGGAGAGGTCTGGGCCTCCTTTCCGACATGTGGTGGGCATGTTTGGTGAGTCTGGTGCGTCGACTATCTCGACCGCAAGATGGGGAAGACAAACGGTGAACTTCGACGGTCAAGAAGACTTGATTGACGTGTGAACGGATGTTGGCAGTTGAAGAGAGAGAATCCTTCGGACATGATCGACACGCAGATGTTCCCCAAATAAAACGCCGCTAGGAACGTCACAGTAAGCGCCAACAGGCACCAACCAACCATTCGACAATGTGTCACTCAGACTCAAATACGTGGCGCAGGGATACATCGAGTGAGGCTGAGTGTAGTGAAATGGCGTCATTGGATCGTTGGCAAATCTAAATCATCTACCTGGTATCTAAACCGCAAAACATCGTCCCATCCGTGTCTTGTGACCGGGTCTCGGACCTCACCGGCGGTACGTGACCCGCTCCACGCCGACCGGGACCGTCGCCACCGGCTCCGCCGCGGATTCGCCGAGCACGAAGTTGTACTCGCCAGCTTCGACAACCCACTCCCGCGCCGCCTCATCAAACGATGCAAAGTCCTTCGCCAACACCGAGAGCTGGACGGTCTTCTTCTCGCCGGGAGCAAGGCGGACCTTGTCGAATGCCACGAGGACCTTCCGGGGCGAGTCCGATGACGGCGCCGCCTTGCCGGCGTAAACCTGCACGACCGCACCGCCCGCGCGGTCCCCGGTGTTTGTGACTTCGAGAACGACCTCAAACTCATCCGCGCTCTTCTTGGTCACGTTGAAGCCGGTGAACGAGAAACTCGTGTAAGACAAACCGTATCCGAAGGGAAAGTTGACCTTGGACTTGTCGACCCGGTCGTAGTGCCTATACCCCACAAACACGCCCTCCTCGTACGTGACCCTCAACTGCCCGTCGACGCGCTCTCCCGGGAAGTTCCCGTGCGCCGGAGCGTCCTCCAACTGCGCCGGGAAGCTGACCGGGAGCTTGCCCTCGGGATTCACGGCGCCGGTGAGCACGTCCGCAATGGCGTTGCCGCACTCCTGCCCCGGAAACCACGACTGCGCCAGCGCCGAGATCTTATCTAGCCACGGCATCGCCACCGCGACGCCCGTCGAGTTGACCACGATGGTGTTCTTGTTCGCCCGGGCCACAACCTCGATGAGACCGTCCTGGTCGCAGGGCAGATGGAACGACTCCTGGTCTCTCCCCTCCGTCTCCCACTGCGGATCGTGTCCCGTGAACACGATCGCCAGGTCCGCGTCCGCAGCCACCCTCGCCGCCTCGCCCTGCAGGTCCGCGTCGTGGTCGGACTCCAACGCGAAGCCCATCCTCACGCCCGTCCGGCCCTCGAGGATCTCCAACCCGATCTTGCTCGGCGGCTCGCTGTGCACGCGGAGGCGGTACGTCTTGCCCGCCTCGAAGGCGTGCTTGATCTCGGGCTCGTTGGCCGCGAGGAACAGCGCGCCCATGGGGTCCGCGCAGTTGCCCCTCTGCTCGAACACGACCTCGTCGTCCACCCAGACCTGCGTCGGCCCGATGCCCGAGCACGCGATGTAGTGCGTGCCCGTCTCGGACGGCGTGAAGTCGCCCACGACGTCGAGCGTCTTCCACATCGACTCCTGCGAGCCCAGCGGCGAGTAGGCCGAGTTCGGGTACCCGTGCAGCACCGAGACGGGCTCGGCGCCCTCCGCGCCGTGGAAGTCGTAGAACAGCCGGCTGAAGCCGGGCCGCCCGTCGAGGCCGACGATGGTGCCGACCCTGCCGTCGGGGGCGATCGGCGGTAGGAGACGTTCCTTGTGCGCGCCCTTTGCGTAGGTGAACTCGACGTCCGAGCCGAAGGCGGCGTGTAGGGCGTCCCACGGCGGGAGGCGGTAATGCGCGTTGACGCTCGCGCTGCCGCCGCCGTGTGCGAGGCCATCTTTCGCGTACCCGATGAGCGCGATCTTCTTGCCCTTCACCTTCTCCTTCGTCAGGGGGAGGATGCCGCCCTCGTTCTTGAGGAGCACGATACCCCTGGCGCCGGCGTCGCGGATCAGGGCGCGGTGTTCGGGGCGGTCGATGGCCTTCTCGACGGTGATGGTCGGATCCTTGAACCCGTTCAACTGCTCGGTCCACTCCAGAATCGTGCGCACCCTCTCATCAATAACATCTTCCGTCACCTCCCCGTTCTTCACAGCCTCCAGAACGGCAGCGGGCTTGCGTATCCTCGGCGGGCCGGGCATCTCGATATCGAGTCCCGCCTTGATTCCCGCGGCGACGGAGTTGGTTCCGCCCCAGTCACTCATCACCAGGCCCTGCCACCCCCATTCTCCCCTCAAAACCTCCTTCAGCAACCACTCGTTCGAGTCGCAGTGCGTGCCGTTAACGAGGTTATACGCGGACATGATAGCCCACGGCTTGGCCTCCTTGACCGCGATCTCGAACGGCTTGAGATAAATCTCCCTCAGCGCGCGCTCCGAGATCGTCTCGTCGACCGTCGTCCGCGCCGTCTCCTGCTCGTTGGCCACGAAGTGCTTGATCGTCGCCGAGACCCCGAGACTCTGACACCCCTGGATCATCTCCGAGGCCAGCTTGCCGGCGAGGAAGGGGTCCTCGCTGTAGCTCTCGAAGTTGCGGCCGCCGAGCGGGTGGCGGTGGATGCAGACGGTGGGGGCGAGGAGGCATCGAGCCCCCTTGGCCTTGGACTCCTGGGCGAGGGCGCGGCCGACGTCGCGGGCGATGGCGCGGTCGAAGGTGGCGGCGATGCTGCACGCGGCCGGGAAGCAGGCGGCCTTTGTGCTGCCGTCGATGGCGGCGCCGCGGGTGCCGTTGGGGCCGTCTGTGGTCTTGATGGCGGGGACGTTCTTGGAGGGGACGTCGCCTGTTTCGACAAAGTTGCGGCCTGCGAGGAGTCTGATCTGAGAGGCGTTAGTTCGTGATGGATGTGAGTGAGGAAGGAAGGGGATGTTGTACCTTTTCCTCCAGGGTGAGGCTTTTGAGGATAGCCTCGATGTCTGTTTTTTCCGCCATTTTCAGATATGTTTTACGAATATGTTATTGACGACAGTGACCTCTCAAGAGCCTCATCGCATCGTGACGACGGCCCATGGGGGCTCATTTATTCACCCCGCGATCGCAAGCCGTCAGTGATGCCGAAGTGGAGCATCACGGAGGTCGGAACTCGGAACGGGCGCTGAGGGATTGGGGGGTGCTCCAGAGTCGCGGATGTCCTCCGCATTCTGAGTGAGGGGATGCAAGATGACGACTTTGGCGCTAACAGGGTACTCCGGACGTTCTCGCCAATGGATGTTTGTAGATTATTACGGCCGGGGAAAGATGTGCCTGCCGGACCCCGGGCATTCGGAACCTGGGCCGGGAAGAGGCTCCGGTGTTGATAGCACGCGGCCCCGATGGACTTGCTTCCGGTCGGGTCTTTGTCTTAACGGTAGTTTGTAAGAATCTGCGACGAGTGGTGGAAGAGTCTTCGGTTGATGTTATTCATAGCATGGAGTAGCCCGGACTATCTACTAGCTCATTGATTCCAACATACAAAGCCAACTCCAAAGTACTAACAGTTGTTGTGACAATCGTCAAAAGGTGGTAGATCTGCTGGGGAAGTCAGATGAGAGAACTTTAAGGGGTAATCTCTGAATATCGAAGAAGGTGAACTAGGCGAATTTCTGGAGGATTCGCTGGCGCTGACTGTCATCCCAAGTTGGACTAATTACCCCTTGCATCCTTTCAATCGGCTAATTCGCTCGAAGCGGCGGACCTTTGATGGTCAGCGGCAACTTAACCAAGCAATCGGGTCTAACGGTCTTCATATTCGTCCGTCTCACGCATTCTTTGTATCAATTGGCTTTCATAAGTCTCCGAGCGAGATGCCAATATCTGCATCAGTCTCAACGGGAACCATTGCCCTAATGTCTAGGAAGACAGGAATTCTTCGATAACACTGGGTTTCCCACACTCAAAGTCCGCGTAGAACAGACGGCTCCGTCTTCCATGAATGGGTCCTTCAGCCCTATGCATTACACATATTTCCCCTGAACCCCGAGTCATCCCAAAGTCCGCCTCCAACAAAAGACCATGGGCCTCGTATTAGTATCCAACGTCATCAAGAATGCAACGATCCGCCGCGAAAAGTCCACCGCGTCGCACTAAGACATTGCCCGCGCGGCTCGGACTTTGACTAATTGCCAGCAGGCCGCCCTCGGATTTCCATAAATCTCTTCCCTCCTCCCGCCGTCGCCGCCTCCCTTGTTTCCATGCCCTTCCCGTGATAATCGCAAACTTGCCAAGATGGCACCGACACGCTCGAATGAGCCCTCAGCAGGCCATTCACCTCACCATGATGCCGTCCAGACAAACGACGAGGAGGCCATCGCCACCACCACCACCACCACCACGACAACCGCCTCAAACGGCTACGCCTACGGCTCCCAGCTGAACCCATCACCGCCCCCGAAACCAATCGTCCCGTCTCCCCAACGCGCCCTCGCCCCGGACCTCCTCCGCGGCCTGCTCATGCTCTTCATGGCCATGGACCACAACACCGTCGGCCTCAACGCTTGGCGCCACTCCACCGGGCCCGACGAGGGCGAGCGCGACTCCTTCGTCGTCCACTCCTGGACCTGGTGGCTCGGCTACGTGATCCGCACCCTCTCCCACCTCTGCGCCCCCGGCTTCACCTTCCTCCTCGGCATGGGCGTCGTCTACTTCGGCCGCTCGAGGGCCAAGCTGGGCTGGTCTCCCGCCCGGATGGCCCGGCACTTCGTCGTCCGCGGCGCCGTGCTGACCCTCGTCTCCGTCGTCCTCGGCTGGGTCCTGACGATGGGCCAGTTCTGGTTCATGAACGTCATCCTCGTCGCCCTGGCCGTCGACTACGTCCTCGTCGGGTTCCTCTGGCTCGGCGTCGCGGCCACGGAGCCGGCGCTGGCTCGTCTCCTCGACCGCTTCGTCGTGAAGGACGACGGGGGCGAGAGGACGCCTCTGATCGAGCACGCCGGCCACCACACGCCCTCCGAGACCAAGCCGTCGCGCCGCGCGGAGACGATCTCGTGGCACGTCCACAACGCCGTCCTCCTCGTCCTCTCCTTCGTCACGATCTGGTGGAACCACTGGCTCTCCGAGACCAACGGCTCCTGCACCACCTCAACCCACGCCACGCCCGCCAACGACTTCTGGCGCTTCTGGTTCTTCGAGGTCATCAGCCCCCACGTCGTCTCCCCCTTCCCGCCCCTCGCCTGGCTCTCCTTCGCGATCCTCGGCCTCCTCTACGCGCGCGTCATCGTCTCCCGCCCGCTGTCCGTCTCGACGCAAATCTGCGGCAACGCGGCCGCCGGCCTCTTCTTCTCCGTCCTCTTCGTCCTCACCCGCGTCCTCCGCGTCGGCAACCTCTCCGACGGCTGCCTCCAGACGCCCGAGCACGCCGCGCACCCGGACGCCAACCCGTACCTCACCTCGCCCGCGGCCTTCTTCTACATCGTAAAGTACCCGCCCGACTTCGCCTTCTTCAGCTTCACCCTCGCGGGGACCTTCTTCCTCCTCGCCCTCTTCGCCGCGGTCCCGCCGGCGCGCGCGGCCAGGTGGCTGCCCGTGCTGCTCGCGTACGGCACCTCGGCGCTCTTCTTCTACGTCGTGCACATGTTCATCCTCATGAGCCTGTGCGTGCTGCTGGTGAGCCTCACCGGGCACGACACGGGACGGCCGCCGCCGCCGGATGGGAGGCCTGCCGAGGGCGTCGACAACCTCTGGGTCTGGTTTCTCAATTGGGCGTTTGTGATGGCCGTCATGTATCCGTTGTGTAAGTGGTACAGCGCGTTTAAGAAGAGGAGGGGCGCGGACTCGGTGTGGAGGTTCTTTTAGAGTTGGATTGGGATGTATGTCGCGATAGAGGCTTGGAATGACGACATTTTGCACAGTAATCGTGCATCTCACATATCTTCCTTATCTTGATCCACAGGCCTGCATATTCGCTTTCATGGAGTCTCATCGGTGACTTGTAGTTCACCATTTTGTGCTTATCAACTCATGTGATGGATGGAATCGGCATTGAACAAATGAAAAGATTCAGTCTTTTAATGGTATCTAGACACAAAAACCCCGACTCCCCATCCCGATGCCCGCGACGCCATCCGGTCTCTCCAGTCCCGGCCGACGAACGCATAATAATACAACATTTCCAATCACTCCCCACGATCTCGACGTTCACATTCTCACAAACCGCACCCTCCTACTTCCATCTCGGCTGAGCCTGCGGCTGCGGATACGGCTGCACCCTCGACTTCCTCCTCGTAACCCTCTGCGGCCTCCCGGACGTCCCGGACCCGGCACTCGCCCCCGCGGCGGCCGCAACGGCAGCCGCCTCCGCCGCCCCCGTCTTAGCCGTCCTCGCCGCCCTCGTCGTCCGCCCCGTCGTCTTCGCCGCCGCCGCCGCAGCAGCCTTCTGGTTCGCCGTCACGGGCTCCTTCTTCGCCCTCGTCGCGGTCGTGGGCCTCGCGGGCTCAGACCTCGTCTGGCTCTCCAACCTCCTCGCCGTCCTCAGCGGCCGTCCCGTGGTCGTCGTCGTAGTCTTGGTCGGCGACGGCGGCGCGGTGACCGGCTGCGCCGCCGCCGCCGCCGCTCCTCGTCCGCCGCTCCGTCCGCGCGTCGTCTTGATGGGCGCGGGTTTTCTTATGACGCCAGAGCGTGTGGCTGCCGGCGTGGGCGGGACCGGGACGACGGGCGCCGGCGGCTCGGACTCCCCGCCCTCGGTGTTGAACGTCGCGTCTTCTTCCGGCGGCACGTCGCTCCTCCTCCGCGCCTCGGCCCATTCCTGCACGCGGTTCTGCCGCGCGACCTGCTCGTCGTCGACACCCTCGCTCGCCAGCCTCTCCGCGACGCGCAGCTTCGTCCACGACGACTTCATGATCTGCCTCTGCGCCTCGGACTGCCTGAGCCACTTGCAGAACCTCTCGTTCGACCTCTGCCACCTCCTTGCGTCCTCCTCAACTCTGCCGCCCGCCTCCTCTTCGTCCTCCTCCATCGGATCCCGCACCCCGGAACTCGGCTCCGAGAGCTGCTGCTGCTGCTGCTGCTGCTGCTCCTTCTCCTCCAACGCGGCAACAGCCCTTCCGGCCTCGAAATACCGCCCCGCGGCCGCGATGGCCATCTCCTCGGCGGCCTCGAGGTTCGACCGCGCCGTGAGGCAGACGTCGCCGTGCGTGCCCAGGTCCCTGCGGACCCTCTCGCGGCGGTCCTCGGCGGCGGCGAGGGCGGCGGCGAGGGCGTCGATGGCCTCGTTGGCGTCCTCGAGCTCCTGCATCTGGCGCTTCATGAGGCCGAGCGAGGACTCGCAGAGGTCGCGGGCGCGCTCGAGGGCCGCGTCGGCCTGGAGCTTGTCGCGCTCCGCATCGTCGCGCTCGTGGATGGCGCAGCGGTGGTCGAGGAAGACGACGTGTTTGCCGCTGTGGCCGCAGTTGCGGCAGGCGTCCGGGTCCATTTGCTTTGGGATCTCCGGGCTCTCCGTGCGGTCAATGCCTCCTTTTCTCTCTGATTACTCCGGGACCGGCTTTCCGCTGCCTCTTTCTTGGTGATTGTTCCTCCCCCCAAATGACAAACAGATCTGATCTGATCTGTGATCAAGCTTGGTGTGCTTCCCTGTCCCCGGGACCCCGTTGTGGCTATGTCAATGTGAGTACGGTGAATCCTCAATTACCCCATACCGGGACCAGACGTCGGGCCCTGCACGAGTGACAATGCTGTCTCACCTTTGTTTTTTCCGTCCCGCGTGGTTCAAAGATCTCCTTTTCCAAGTGGGTATCACGACAGGAGCGAGTTGAATGAAGAAATGTAGGGATCCAAAGGTGGACGGGGCATGTCGAGGGGAGGGTCGGGTCGGGGGGGACGTGTCAGGTCAAAAAGCAAACTCGCCGTACGAATACGTACAACATAATTGGAAATCACCGGGGGGCCCAAGAATCAGCCTGGGCGTGAGAAAAGGGTCACGATCCTCTGTCTGCCTCAATTTGCTGGGGACAAGATTTGCGGTGACCCCGTTTCTTTGTCAGGGGTCGTGGTGGATATTGGTTCGAGTTAGCGATATTGACTCCATACCGGAAACCTGGGTTCGAATGAGAGTTGGTTCATCGTCGTTGGGTATCCATACGTGTGCGTATGCCTGGCTAAGAATAAAAACGGCTCAGAGTTATGCCTGACCGACTATTCGCATCTGCGTATGCATCCAGCTGCGGACACGGCGGTGACGAACTCTACCTCACCGACCCTCCCTTTCACGACTGTCACGCGATGCATGACGAGGGGGGATTACGAGTCGAGCTGGAGCTCTCCCAACGGCCTGGTAATCAACTCGTCGGTGCCGGCAGCAATTGCGACCCTGAGCCGGCCGGGAACTTCTAGAACCTCCACTGTTTCATTGCGTGGCTTCTATGCCGATTCGTTCATAACTTTAGACATGAAGATGAGCCGTTCACGGTTGCTCAGCCAGAGAGCAAAAAATCATGAGGATCCATCAGAAACCGGGCGGGCATCATTACATAAAACGGCAGACAGGGGCACGAGTTTTGGTCTTCTCCACCGAGATTGCAACCGAAAAGGGGAAAGCCTCTTCAGGTGAACCCATTTTTTGCCATGAACGGATACGGCGGGATTCTCTCACTCTCCTCTCCTCTCACCCCCGGAGCTGTTTCTCTCTGACTTTTCGGCTGCGGCGCCCAGGAAACGAGAGCTCCTGTTTCTCAGGGGTTTGTATCGACAGGGGTAGCTCCGCGGCGAGGAGAAGAGGTCCCAACGGTTCGTGGGTCCGAAGTATCGGTACTCCGCAGATTGTTCATAAATCGACTCCGTCATTGTACAAATGTTGGCCGACAGTGCGCACAGTGTCCTTTCTCGGTTTCTTGTTGCGTCATGGTCCTTCGGCGCCGGGTGCGACGGTGCGGATGTTACGGGTTCGCGGGGGCTCCGTTGCGTCCGGGCCGCTCCCGTTCCCGCGCCGCCCGATTGGAACCGGACATCCGGACAAAGAAGTCATTGGTCGCTGTAACACGAGACATACTCATCATGATAGATCATGACACAGAGAATAGTATTCGCTGATTGAAAAAAGAGTCTCACATAACGTAGCACTCTCGCGGATCTCAAGAAGTTCTCCTCCACAACATGAACCAAAACAGTGTTATCTCTCATGCCTTCGTGCTACATACAGTCCAGCTCGCCGAGCCCAAGCCCAACAGCCTCAAGCAAAACATCAAGAGCAGCTAGGTTGCTCCGATACCAGCACCTTCGCCGTCCGTCATCTCCGCCCCGGAGTCCTCCTCGTTCATCCTCATCTCGATCTGTTGTACGGTCTGCTCGAAGAATCTATCCGCCGATTGATCTCAGCGGCGTCGGCCGGGGGCCCGGCTGATGACGCCAGCATCTCGTTCACTTGCGTGCGAATGAACGCCTGCCTGAAGACGTCTGCGTACTCAGGTGTAGCGTGGATGGGGCGGGACATGTACAGTCGCGTCCGTGACCGGGTACGGGGCACAGCCATCTCATTTCTCCGACTGCATCCTCCGTTCCGCCTTCGCCCGCGTCCTCTTCGCCTTCGTCGTCATCGTCCGTGTCTATCCATCCGTCTTTGTCGTCGTCGTCCATCTCTACCCAGTCATCTTCGACTTCTGCGTCCTCCGCGGCATCTTCGCTCGGCTTCTGATTAGCCCGTCCAGCGCGGCGGCTTGGACTGATACCGTCTTGTTCTTGTGTTTCTGGCATTTTCCCACGGGACGTGCTTTCGCTGGGTATGGCGGATTGATTCTAGCTAGAATCAAAGAGGTGCCGCGATGTTTCGAGCAGCACTGGTTGGACGTGTGCGGCTTCCTAGCCTTGCTTTGCAGAAGTCGAGGCGGACTGGATAGCGTCTTGCGAAAGGGACTCCTGGGTGGCTCCCTAGGTTGAAGATGGTCTTCCAGTGGCGGCAAATCAAGTCGAAAGTGCTTGCGCACCCGCGTCCAGTACTTCGCTTCTCTGCATCGTGTCGGTCGATTGCACTGGAACCCGAGGACAGCGGATTCTTTCTGACTGGGGAAGAGTTGCACGCTGGGGGCCAACAAGACTTGGTGTTGGTGACGAGAGAAAGCGGTCTATGGATAGGAAGTCCACGGCAAACGCAGAGGTGGGAGACCGGGTAACTAAATGAGATTCGCGTTCAGGGGGTGGAATGTAACAACATCGCATGACTCGCAGGGGTCGCGTCGCATTTAAATCCGTATCCATGGATGGACGTGAGAGTGATAAAGCTGAAAGGAAGCAGATAGCTGTTCATTTCGTTCTTGGCCGACTCAGCCGAAAAGATCGAGATTGATCCGTGAGGGGCGCTTGGCACTATTTTGGATTCGCATCTTCTCCGGCTTTTGGCTTCGGCACACACCGTAGCACTCATCATCATTCTTCATGATGGATCTCGCGACATTCAAGACTCTCAATTGGGGTAAGGCTGCGTCCTCCGTGTCCGTCTCGTAGTCCGCTGCGGTCGGCCCGCCGACGCAGTCGAGGCCTCAGCGGCCGCCGGCCCGCCTCCGAAATGGCGGCTGCTGTTCCCCCGTTGGATCCTGGACGGGTCCGGTTCCGGCTCCGACTCCTGCTTGACCTGCGCCCGGTCCGAGGCGTCCACGGCGATGGGCAGGACCTCGTCCGCGGTCTCTTCGCGCTTCACGAAAGCCGGCGGCACGCCGGCGAGCGGCGGGAGCGAATACCCCTCGCGCTTCTCCGCCTCCGCCTCGTCCCAGTCGTCCTCGTAGACGTCCTCGTCGTCGTCGTCATCCGTGAGGTCGTCTTCTTCGTAGTCCTCCCGTTTGACCGACGGGCCTGGCGTCGGTGTCTGCACGCCCGCGGCCCACGCCTCGACCCTGCTCCGCCTGCGCGTCTGCTCGCTCGCCATGCGCTGCCTTCCGTCGGCTGGGTCTCTCGCGGGCAGGGGCGGTCTGCTGCCCTCCTCCTCTTGTTTGACCCTGCCGTGGCTTCCTCTCGCATTTCCGTCTCTGGCGCCAGCGTTTCGGTGATTCCTCCGTGATTCGTAGGCTTGACGTAACCCTCTAAAAAGTCGTCCACGAGTTCGACGATAGTCGCGACCCAATTCCTCCCGTTTCTCCCATCTCTCCTCTTCATACTGAGTCGTCCAATCATCATAGCGCCGTTCCTGGGCGGGACGCAAGTCCTCGGGGTCGTCTTCATCCCATTCCTCATCCCACCACTCAGTTTCCGAGTCCCAGAACTGCGCCTCGCGGGCATGCACACGCTCATCGTCGCCCATGTCCCCGTCAAACAGAGAGTCTCTCTCGCCGGCTCGCCAGAGCGCCCTCGTCTCGTCGTCGAAGCGTTTCTTGGCCGCCCTGATGCTGTCGACCAGGGTAATCGACTGCCTGTCCATGTGCTTGATGGCGGATTCTTGCAGCCTCAGCGCGTCATCCATTTCGACTCGATGCGTCTCGGCAATGGCGAGGGCCTCGCGCAGCTGCTCGATCATCGCGTCCTGGTTGTCTAGTCCGTTGATGAGACGTGTGAGAACAACGGCGGCGTCGCCTCTCATCTCTTGGTTTTGCCAATATGCCTTCTCGGCGAGGACCAGCCCTGCGCGGGCGGCATTCCTGTCGAAGACGGCGCACTGATATGAAGTGTACTCTTCGTGTTTTCCGGAACGGCCGCATGCACGACAAGTTCTCGGGTCATCTTCTGTGCGTACCCAAAGAGGATCCATCTTGTTCGCGTGAGTTGCGTATCAGCAGCAACAAACGGCTGCCTTACCTTTACTTATCGGCGTGAAGAGAAAGAGATTCGGTCAATCGCGCACAGAATTCCGCTCCAGCCGGATCGCGGGGCAATTGTCGAGAGCAGATATCAAGCAAGATGGTCAAGATGGTCGGGTCTGCGGCGATCAGTGAGATGGAACGTGACGCGACCGGGAGCCTGACGCGACACGTATGAAAGGGGGGGCCCGCGCCCGTAATTAAATAGCTAGCGGCTTGGGCGCGGGCATGGCGCCGGTCTCCAGGGGCTGGCACACTATTGGCTTGCACGCTGCCACATAGTTTCGGCATTTTCAAGGGGGAAGCACACCTAATTCCTTGCTTTTTCTACCATGGAGTTTTGATGTTTGTGCCAACCACTCTCAACTATTGACTCAGATATCCCTGCATCGGGTGGGCAATGATCACGCCGGATTCCTGTTCTCCCTGGGCAGCGGGCGGACGAGGAGCTGGCGCTATTGTCACCGTACGCCGATCCCGGGTGCCGAAGCGGGGCCGATACGGGTACTCGGGTATCGGCCCCACTCACGGACCCGACACAGCTGGCTCCGAATTCGTGTCTTAAGCCATGTCACCTCAACACACGCGTGGCATTATAGCTTGCTCCTTCTTATCATGGGGCACTCATTTCTCATGACTACAGCGTAGAAACTCCCGGCATGTGCCAAATCATTTCGAAGCAAGTCGACGGAATTAGTTTGAGTCTTCCTGGCTTTATCTTTGTTTAGTGGGCAAATTGGAGTAGTCCGGCTGTTGTGTGATGTGAGATTTTCCGTGCTGAAAGCTTCCTTATAAACCGCTGTTATGTAGTTGAGTGAGCATAGTGAAGGCAGTTGAATTCTCCATCAGAGTTGAAAGTGACTTGGCTTGCCGCTATTGAGCATAAGTGTGCCTAACCATAAACGATTTGCGCTACTGAGAATGAGCCTCACTAAATGTGCATTCTTGAGTCTTTACAAAGATGTATAAATGGTTCCGTGTTATCGATATAGATACGATCAAGTTCATTAGAAAATGCCAAATAAGGCCTTGTCGGTGCCAACTAATCTGCTTGACGCTCCTACCTTCCTGGCTTTGAGTTCTGATGGCTCCTATGTATGACACGCATTTCTACCTCACTTCACGGATGTACTACAACTCATTGAACATACGTGTAGCCATTGCGAAGTCGGCGGTCAAGTTCATCTGCGTGGTAATCCCGTCGGCTGCTGCGAAACACAAGTTGACCAATGAGATGTCATGAGGTAGAAGGCAACCATACCTCTTAGGCAGTAGTGGTTTTATGGCCTTATCCCGCCGGGACATGAGTAACAATGCAGGAACAACTCCCGATTCAAAGCGTCATCGGCGACCGTCGCGATGGACCTGGTGGAGTTCACTTCGGCCTCCATTTATCGACCGACGCCGTAAACTCGAAAGTCGAACGCAGGCTTCAGTGACATGCTGTAAGTCTATGAAATATACACAACGCCAAGTCTTTGATGACAATTCAATACTATCTCTAGCAGCCTGAACAAGTACTCAATCTCTCATTTTGTTCCTAAAAGCTCACATCAGTTTTTCCTTGCATTCAAACACTGGCAACATGACGCAGTCAAAACTCAACATAATCATCGTCGGCTCCGGCCTAGCAGGCCTCGCAGCAGCAAACACCCTCCGCGAACACCACAACGTCACGGTCTACGAGCGCGGCAGCCAAGACGTCGCGACCGACGGCCAGGGCCTCAGCATCTACCCCAACGGCGAGAAAATCCTCAAAACCGTCGGCTTCAGCGGAGACCGCGTCGGCGCCGTCGCGTGTCGGGGGTACCGCTCGTTCGACATCAACGGCAACCAGTTTGACGACTTCCCGATCGACTTTCGCGGCCGCTACGGCGGCGACATGTTGCTCATGAAGCGTTCCGATTTCAGGGCCGAGCTGCTTCGACTGGCTACCGCCCCTGAAGGGGAGATTCCTGGTGTACGAGGCGAGCCGGCTAAGGTTGTTCTCAATACTCCCGTTGTTGATTTGGATCCCGAAGCTGGTGTTGTCACTTTGGAAGACGGTTCGACTGTTGCGGGTGACGTCGTTGTCGGTGAGTTATTCGGCCTGGGCTCTCGAGTGGGTGTTTTCAACGTGCTGGTCTGAACAAAATATAGTCGCCGATGGCGTCCATTCCGCTCTTCGGCATCGCATTACGGGAGACAAGGCCCACGCCGCCAAAAAGACCGGCCTCACTCTCTTCCGCATCGCCGTCTCGTCTGAGAGTGCGAAACAGGCTCTCGGTAGCCTCCCAGAGTGGTGGGGTTCGCGCGAAGACGACAACCGCCTCAACTTCGTTCTGGCCGGCGACGCCTCTAACCGCGTGGTCGTTCACTATCCTTTCCGAAATCACCAGTACCGAAACTTCTCCTGTCTTTGCCTTATGCCGGACAGCAGAGCGAACGTGACGGAGTCGTGGTACGCAGACGGGTCGAAGACAGAGATGATGGAGATTTTCAAAGGGTTTCCCGAGCCGATTCTCAAGATCATGAAGTAAGTCCCAACACGCACCGTCGCACTCTGCCAGTGATATTCAATACTAAGTCAACTTGCTCCAGCGTGGCGACTGAGATCAAAATCTGGGATCTTCAGGACCTGGATCCTCTCCCCAACTGGAACCGAGGGCGCTCCATTCTCATCGGCGATGCCGCGCATGCCATGACGCCCCTCCAGGGCCAAGGTGCGAACTTGGCCGTTGAGGATGCGGACAGCCTTCGACTTCTTCGCCCGGGTATGTCCCACGAAGAAATCGCCTCTGTGCTTCAGACGATCGACAAGGTCCGACGTCCCAGGGCTGCGAAGATCCTGCTTGATACTCGTAAACAGGCGAGAAATGCTACGATGGAGGAGAGGTTGTCCAAGCTGGACTACAACTGCGGTTATGCGGGTATCGAGCAGGCTTTGAAAGGGCAAGACTAGAAAGACGGGTCATCGAAATAGAGCACTGACGAATAACACCCGAGTTGATCTTAAAGAATTATGTAGTGTTGGTTGCTAGTAATCGTATTTCGATATTTATCTGATTACCAATGGTAGAAGTACATGTACATACAAAAGAAAAGCCCGGCAATCAAGCCGCGTTAGACTTTGAGCTGCGTAGATACCCTCGTGTAATTCGGCGTGTGGGAGCAGGCGGCTCCTCTTCCTCGCTCACTTCTTCCACTGCTTCATCGAAGTGTCCCTCTCCTTCACTTACGGGTTCTTCTCCAACACTTATGTAGTCCTCTCCTCCACTCAGGTGCTGCTCCCCTTCATGGTCCTCTTCATGCTCTCCCTCCATCGAATCCTGCTGCACTATGATAGTGCCAACTGTATCATCTTCGTATTCCTCATCTTCATGACCGGGAGTTTGCACATCAGGATCGGCGTCGTACATATCGCTGTCGCCGTCGCCGCCCTCAGGCTCTCTGTACGCCGTCCACCGTTCCGTCTCCACATAATCCGCCCGTTTAAATTCCCGATGTCCAGGTTCAAACTCCTGAAGCCCGGGTTCCAGACGCTCATGCCCGAGCTGTTCTTGTATCAGTCGTTCCTCCGCGAAACCGTTGAAAGCGGTGCGCTCCTCCGCACCGCTCCGTGTTCGAGGTTGTTCTCGAACGCCGCTGGGCTCTTCGTGATGAACAGGAACTCCACCACGTCTGGTGTCGATGAAAAACCTGGCCTCTCTCGCCTCGTCGCAGATGTCCGGTTCTTGTTCCACCTTCACCCGCGCCTCGTCGGACCGAGCCCCGGCGGGAGACTCGCGCACCGGGTACGGGTTTGTTCTCCAGTTGTTTTTGTTCTGCATGTGCTTCTTCCTATCCCACCAAGGCATTTTTCCGACTGGCTCTGCGACTGTCGAAGGACCAATTTGCTGCTGCGGCTGCTGCTTCTGGCTGTTTTGGCTTTGATTCTGGTGGGTCTGATTTTGCTGATTTTGATTCTGCTGATTCTGCTTCTCATTTTTCTTGTTTTTGTTATTTGTCTTCTTGTTCAGCTGGTTCTGATTCTGCTGGTTCTGATGCTACTGCTGCTGCTGATTCTGCTGCTGATTCTGCTGCTGTTGAACCTGCGGTTGTTGGTTCTGCTGCTGCGGCTGGCTCTGCTGTCCTTGGGTTGGCCCGAGATTCACATGAATATTCTGCGGTTGTTGCTGGGCTAAGTACCCTTGCTCGACTGCGCACTGATACCGGGCCTGTTGCTGGTATAAGGAGTCATACCCGTCTGCGTACGGTTGCTGGGGTAAGGACTGAAGCTGGGCTATGGACAGTTGCTGGGTTGAGGACTGTTGTTGGGCTGAGGACTGTTGCTGGGCTAAGGACTGTTGCTCGGCTAAGAACTGTTGCGCCACAAAGTACTTATACTGGGATTGTCGCTGGTGTTGCTTGCCTAAGTAATCTTGCGGGTTGTAGCCTATCAGTTGCTGTGAGGGGCTCTGCTGAGGCTGAGAAACATAGGACTGAGCGGCTGGATTCAGAGGCGATGGCCGCTGAGCTTTGTGCTGGCTGACTCTGTTGGAGTTGACCAAATCCGGTTTGTGACTGCAGCGAAGCTGGCTGTTGTTGGACGAATGACTGTGGTCGAGATTGACTTTGTTGCTGAGGCTGAAGTTGTTGTGGTTGAGGTTGTTGTGTTCGAGGTTGGGGTGTTCGAGGTTGCTGAGGTTGAGGCTGCTGAGGTTGAGATTGCTGAGGTAGAGGTTGCTGAGTCCCCAGTTCGCGGGATGCCGAGCGAAACGACGACGACGGCTCCGTCGAATGCCCGAAGATCGAAGACACAGATGCTCCGATCCCGGAGTCTTCTTCCTCTGCGGTGCGCGTGCCCCGCGAAACCTTGAATACTGTCGCAGAAAAGTCATCGGCTAGCGCCGCACCATCTCTGTTGGCCGTCCCGGCAACGTCCTCCCATCTCGCCAAAGCTTCATCTACTTCGTTAACCAGTTGAACAACAACTTCTTTGCTTTTGTCGCCACTTCCTGGCGGCCCAATGGCCGCATCAAGAAGATGGAATGCCAACTGTATGATTTCGGTCGCCGCTTCCGACGCGGCTTCGCCGACGTAGTCGCACTGGTTTGCTGCGTCGTCGATCAGCTTCTCGATGGCTTTGACGCTGTTCCTCGCGCGGTCGCGTTTTTGTTTGGCAGCCGCGAGAGCCCTGGTCAGTTCCACGACGGAAGCCTCGGCATCGCGGAGCTCGTCATTCGCCGTACCAGCCTGCGCCCCGAGATTCTGGACGAGGTCCACACTGCCGTTGAACGCATCTAGCATGCGATAGCCCTGATTGCGTTTGTGTTTGAATTCCTGGCTAACGCAGTGTTCATCGGTGTGTTCGCCGACCAAACCGCAAAACACACAATGCTTGTCTGAAGGCTCCATCGCGGGGAGAAGGGTCCGTAGACACCGAAGCGTCTCACGATGTGGGGCCTGGACCCATGATCAGTGCTCGAACTACCGCGAAATCACGTGTGATGTCTTACTATTGATTTGAGCGTTGTCTTTATAGACTGATTCAACTGCGGCGAGTCTAGGATAAGGTGTTTTCATGTCGTGTTGTGAATTGGAAGATGGCGAAAGGTAGACGTTGCACCGAGGCCGGTGGGTCCAGGGGCGCATTGCGTCACGCGTCTGGAAATTGGCTGAGTAACGCGAACATTTCTTTTTCTGCCTCGAACCCCGCGAATCGTCAATGAGATGGATCCGAGACAATTTTCAGGTGCGTGAGAAGTGAAGAAGAAAGTCATTGATTGAGAAACCGAGCCTGTGGTGCAAAAAAGGGCAAAAAAGAAATGAGGGGTTGTATGGTCGATCGGCAAAACGGGCAACTGAGCGTTAAAGTCTCATCTCATGCAGGCTCAATGTTCGCCATCTCATCTCATGCCACAGCTTTCGGTGCGCACTCTTCTCATTTCGGACCAAACTTCATGATGTTCTACAGCGCGAAATTATTTATTACCGTCCAATCATCTTACAAGAACTTCTCTCCAACGCGCGAAGAGAACCCGGAACTAGTTCGAATGGTGTTACAGCACGAGATGTCTATGACAAGACCTTTTCGCCGTTTATCGAGTCAACCTTGACCTTGATCGGTTTCCAAATACGGGCCGCAGCACTGTCGATCCATATCGCGGTAGTCTCATCAGTCTCGAAGAGACTCATGTTGAAGCGGGTGAAGAAGTTGGCGATGCTGAGATACATCTCGACGTACGCGACGCTTTGGTGATGAATTAGTCGGACATGTCGGTATGGCAAGGTTGCGGAATGAAAAGACTTACTTCATACCCAAGCACGAGCGAGGGCCCTTGCTAAACGGAACAAAGTACTTTTCCAGCGCCCAGCCGTCCTCACCCAGCCAACGCTCGGGAATGAACTTCTCAGGCTCGGGGTAGATCTCTGGGTTGTCATGGATAGTACGGAGTGTTTGAGATACGGTTGTCTGCGATGGGTGCTGCGTTAACAGTGCGTCCATGGAAGTAGGGCATCAGAACAAATGACTTACGCCTTCTGGGAGAAACTTTCCACCGACATGAGAACCGCCCGCGGGTACTCTTCTGGGAATGATTCCAGGAACAGGTGATGAAAGACGAAGAATCTCCTTGATGGTGGCACTCTGCACATGAACGTGGTCAGTTAATGTGAGATCTCATCGTACATCAGATCACTTACAAGATAAGGCAGCTTGCACACTTCACGGTACTCGTAGAGACCTTCAGCGTTCGTCGGTACAGTCTTCAGCTCCGCAAGCATCTTCTGAAGCTTGTCCGGGTTGCTGAGCAGGTAGTAGGTTCCGAAGGTCAAGCCGAAGCTGGTCGTGTCGGTGCCGGCGAAACACAGCGCCAAGGCTTCATCGACAAGCATGTCTCGGGTGAGCTTGTGGTACATCTTGGTGTTCTTCGTGTTCAGGAGAAGATCGAAATACGTGCTGCGGCCATCGGCGGCAGTGTCGTTGCCGGTCTTTTGTTTCTCCTCGATCTCACCAATCCATTCGGAACATTGCTGCATGACTACGTTAGCAAAAGCTCGGCATATCCTGATTGGGCCCGGGAAATTTCGAGTCGTGTGTTGTACGTACATTGCGGAACTGGGCATAGCCAGGTAGGACCTTCTGTGCAATGCTCATGGGAATGGCTAAAGCGAAGTGAATAAGGAAGGGGAAATGCTTGGTAATGAGGAAGTTCTCTGCAAACTTCTCCATGATATCCAGAAACGGCGGGAACTCCTCGTCCTGATCGACCAAGTTCATATGTCTGTCGAAGAGCACAGGCATGATGGTGTCAACCTGGAGAATCTCAAGTCAGTTACGGTTTCACAGGCAACTAGAAAATCAACTTTGAGAACTGGAGAGACGCACCGTTACTGCTTGCCAGAGGGGCTGCATGCTCACTGCCTGACCCTTCTCATATGCTCTCTGAACCCTTGCCATGGCTCTCTTCACAACATCAAGCACAATAGGGGCCAGCTGGTCCATCTGTTTCGGGGAAAACAACGACTTGACTGTATTCCTCCTTTGCTTGTGTGCTTCAGGATCAATCAACATGATGATGGAATACTTGATGCCGCCTCCGCTCTGAAAGAAATCAGGGTCTTTCGTGTACTTGGTGCCATTGCCGTAGACTCTGCCAGGGCTTGTCAGTGAATGACTCTTGCAACAGTTTTCCAAGAGTAGGCTTACTCTTTGAAATAGTCCGGGTCGCTGATGTGAACTCGACTTGGTGATACTCTCACGACAGGTCCTTCGCAGCATCGTCAGTTGATGCTATCGCCGCGTCCAGACAACGGAATATCGCCTCACCGTACTTGGCGTGGAGTTTGGGGTAATCCTTGATGTAATGGCCATCAAGGATGACATCCTGGTAGAACTCGTACCAGTAAGTGGCTGCAGCGTACCATGGGCCAGGGATATTTCTGAGGGGGTGGAACAGAAGCCTGTAGACCACGAGTCCGAGAGCATAGACGACAGACCCCACGGCCAAAATCCGCGGGGCCTCGCTCAAGAGATCGTACTGTCCCAGGAGCTTCAGGGCCATCTTGGGGATCGGAGCAAGTCTGACGTGACCTGCGACGAAGCGAGGCGAATGTTGTGAGTGCGTGGAGAAGGAAAGGAAGAAATGAGAAACGACGACTCGCGGAGGCTCGAGAAGACCAAGCAGAGAACACCCGAGATTTGCGAATTTCGCTTGCCTTATGGCCTTCTCGCACGTGTCGTCCGGTCTGCTCGATACTATCGCCAAACGTGGAAAGATCCCGCCAACGCACCGTTGAACTTCCAACAGCACAGCGGCAATGGCGTCTTCATCGGACCAATCGTCGATCTATTTCTTTATTGGGGCCTGGAGCTATAATATATATATGCAGGACATCTGCGGGACCGCTTTCGCATCCTGGCACTGTCGCCATGGCCCTCACCGCTAAATTAACGTGGGGCGCTTGGTGTGCCGTTCGATTCTTCCCGTCCTGAGGCAACGTTGCCGTCCCGGTCCAGACATGGAATCAAACACACGAGAACAAGGGCTTTGTTTGACCTGCCAGCTTCGCTTGAAAGCAGAGGCTCGCCCCGATCAGTCGATGATCGGTGTCCAAAGCAAACTTTGAACAATGCTTTTGCGAATGTTCGATCCGTTTGCCACGTGTTGTGGAAAACGGCCGGTCCTCGTTCGACTTGATGACGATTACACAGGGTTTCCATGTCCATTTTTTATCTGATACCAGGTCCTTCGGCCCCCGTGCTGCCCGGGCATCCTCTACATGAGATGTCGCTGAAACGGACTGCATCTGTCAAAAGGCGGCCATCCTTCCTCGAGCGCGGAATTTGTTCACGATCCTTTGTGGCAACGCTCCACCGCCCTAGGTATGCAGCATCGTCTGATAGTCCCCTTCGTGACACGCTCCACTTCCAGTGCTCCTTCTTGGAGTTCTTCAGCGACAGGTCTCCGCCAAACTGCATGAGAGCATCGGACAGCAGGGCGGCAGAGAACATATGATGGCTCTTCTGAACTGTTCGCGTGGTGTCTCATTGGTTATTCTTGTGTGATACGATGCAACCAGCCCCTGATATTCAGGTTCGACCCCTCCAGGCGGGAACCAGAAAGGACCACGAGAGGTCGTCTTCACATCTTTCCTGGGGTTCGGCTTGGCGCACAGAATATTGGCACAGACTGGCGTCTGGAGGCGTCAAGAGACCCTTACAGCTGGAAGATCCTACCCTACTTCGATCCGGCATCTGGAATGGCAATGTCCTCATAGGCTGCGCAGCGATTGACAATTCGCGGGGCTGGCTCCGGAGGGGGAATGTGGGTTGTTTCCTGACTACCGAACCGTACTTCGCCGCGAACTCGCAGGACCGCTTTACGGGTCGGGACGATTGTCCAATTTCCATTTGCGGGAGTCACGCAGGATGCATGCCAGGGTTTGCCTGGCATGCGAAGACGGACAGATTGGTAACCCGAGGACGTGATCCCGGGCTCCAGCACAATGTCTTTGTTCTTCCGCGTGTCTCCTGGCTCCCGAGAGGACGCAGGGACTGAGACGCGCTCTACACCTTGGCCCGGATAATCATTAACCTACCTCGCCGGTTTTCTGCCAAATATGATGATTGCTATTTGTGATAATAGGGTTACATCAACTCTCCAACGACGCGCAAGGGGCTAAGATGCGTCGATGGATCTGGCCGTTTCCTCAACGGCCAGTAGTCGGTGGCTCCGAGAGGGATATCCCGGATGTCAAATGCGGACCTCGAGGCCGCCTTTGGCCAATAACCCCACGTACCCAAGTGCCGCGGTCATGTCACATGATGTGCTTGAGGATGCGTTAGGGTTGAGAAAACATCTTTTTTATCGCGCTGGGTGGGTGGGCTCTGCAGTCCGAACTGCGTAAAGCTCGTATGCACGGGATTGACATTGCAGATAGGACTCTGATGCTTACCACGACGACGTCCATCGACCTGTCCCCGTTTGGTAAATATATGTCAGCTTTCGCTCCGTCTAGGCCCCCCGGACTTGTCAAGTTGAAAAATTGAGTTTCGACTTGCGTTAGGACCGGGTCATCCATGCCATTTGGTGATGTGTTCCCGACTTCCTTGTCCCTTTTGCCCTTGTGACCGGACCAGGAAGCCTGGGAAGACCGGGAAGTGACCCACTGGCTGCTGCGCGGGTTTCGTCACCGCAAGCGAGAGAGGCGGCGACTATTGTCCGAACCACAGAATGGCGAGTCAAGGTACTGATCTTCGCTCCGCTCGGAGAACCCATTGTTCATGGGGGTGCTGCATATTCGTCCAGGCGGAGCGGTGTTTGTCAATCGTTTGAGGCCTGGTTTGCGTGTAGCAACAGCTTCCTTTGGGGACTTGCACCGACAAAAATTGATCCGCTCGGCGTTAGCAGAGCCGGTGAGGTGAGGCGGGAAAGAGAATGTGGATATGCGATGTTGTTGTTGGTGTGTGTGTGTGGTTCCGATCCGGCCTCTCTCTTTATAAGTTCAAGCGCGGGATGCGGCCACTTGCTTGCAGTTCGTCATAAATGACTTTTAAAGCCAATGTTTCCGAGAACATCAGACAAGATGAAGAGCAACACCATTTCTCGTCTGCTTTCTATCCTTAGACGTTCTGACACTTCCAAATCTCGTTCCAAAACTCAATTGACCATGAGCTCAGACGACAGGCACAGGGTCTCATCCAAGAGGACCTCCACAGACATGGATGCCTCGCCTAACGATGTGGTTCCTGCGAAAAGGATGATGCTTGAAAAGGCGTCTGCAGCTACCGCCGCGTCGGATATTAGTCTCTCAGAATCTTCATCGTCGCCGGTTACCCCAGTTTCTGAGTCCCAGGCGACTTCTTCATCGCAGACTTCACCTTCGGATCATGGAAGTGCCTCCGACAGACACGATACCAATGACATCATGGCGGCCAGCGGCAACTATGTCCGTATTCCGGACTGTTTCTCGTCCATCATGTCCATTGAGCCGGCCATGAATCCCAACTGGCTCAAGCTCAAGGAGGAGGCCAACGCATGGCTCAAAGAGTAAGAGAGAGCTGCGCAATTTCTGACCGCCTGCGACGATCACTAACGGATTGCAGAATCTACCACCTCAGCGATGCTCAAGCTAAGAAGCACTCAAAGGCTAACTTTGCCTTCATGAACGCAATGTGGATTCCTCTCGCTGATGAGGAGGCGTTCCGGGTGATGCTCGACTGGAACAACTGGGTAAGTCAGCAAAATAGCAGAGAAGACAACTTGAACCATCGACTAACTTCCAAACCAGGTGTTTGCTTTTGATGACCGTACGTCAACGCTCAATGGTGTTTCACCATTGTCAGTGGCTAACCAATGCTATTAGAGTTTGATGAAGGTCACTTGAAGGACGACCCTGTCAAGGCAGAAGAGGAGCTTGACGCTCATTATGCCATCTTGGAGAACAAGAACCCTCCTGTTCAACGTGGCGAAAACCCTATCAGATATGTGTTCCAAACGACTTGGGATCGCTTCAAGAAGGTACGCAATATCTCTTCCAACTGCAGTGTTGCAATTGACTAACAGTACGTTTGCAGCGTGCTTCACCAGGTATGGTTCATGTACGACTTTACTGCAAATTGGCAACTCTAACATGATGAAAATCAGAACTTCAAGAGCGTTACAAAGCATCTATGAAGGGCTATTTCGAAGGCTTAATCGGCCAAGTCAAGGTCCAGGAGTCACAAAAGGCTCTGAAGCTCACAGTTGACGAGTACATGGACTTCAGGAGGGCAACGATTGCCTGCGAGCCATGCTACGCGTTAGTTGAGTAAGACTTCCCAACGAACACTTTTCCTCGACCATTCTTTCTGACCTTTTTCTCAGATACGCACATGGAATCAACATTTCCCAAAAGCAGATTGACCATGAGTCGATTCAAGTCTGCATGCGCACCGCCTCTGACCTCGTTATTCTGTGAGTCTAGACCCACCATCTTGAGCTTCCAACTCTGCTAACTTTGTTGCAGCGTCAACGACATCCTGTCATACCGCAAAGACTTGGTAAGCCTTCGCCTTGTACAGCTCGCGGCACAACCTCGGCGCAGACAAGCTAACGCGACATCAGGAACAAGGAGTTGACCACAACCTCATCTCGCTTCTCAAGGCGCAGGGCCACTCAACACAGGCCGCCGTGGACAAGATTAGCGACATGATTGACGAGTGCTACAAGGCGTGGTACGGCGCTCTCGTCAGAATGCCCGTTTGGGGAGAGAAGATCGACAAGGAGGTCCTGAAGTACCTCGACGGCTGCCGCAACATTGCACTTGGCAACCTGCACTGGAGGTGGGTATTCTCCATCGATGTTTGCGCTTTCAGTACTGACTCAAATCTTAGTTACGAGAGTGGCCGCTACTTGGGAGCCGAGGGAGCCCAGGTCAAGGAAACTCGCATCATGCACCTTCCTTCCGTCTAATGTCTTCATGCATCGAAGCGGCGTCATGTTTTGAGGGGAAAAGAATGGTTCACCTGCTTGCCGGAGCGACATCACAGTTGTCCCTCGGATCGGCCATCAACGTACACGCGGAGTTGGAATAGACAGTGATATCCTGACGGGGACATGCGGAGGGAGGCTATATGATTTTCGTTATAGAGAGTTATGACAAGACCAAGATACCAAATTGAGTTTCTGACGCGGCTTAATCAATCTTCATCATCTCGATGTCGAGCATTGAATGCTACGCTCCGTTGGTCCTCCTCGCTTGTTGTGCCGCATGCTCACCTGCTCGCTTCCCGGAAAATACTCCGTCGGCGATTGACAATCCGCTCACGTAACCGTTGGCGCAAACACCAACTGCGTTTCTTCCAGCCGCATACAAGCCGGGTATTACTTCACTTGTCCCTGTCAAGACCAGGCCGGTCTCTCCATCAACGCGCAGGCCGCCAAGTGTCAATCCGTTGACCGCCTGAATGCCTCCAACACCAGTCGAGATATCGATCCCGTAGTACGGAGGCTCCGACAAGGGTGTGCAGTACTCCGGCGCCTTACGCATGAGATCTTCCTGCCCCTTGGAGACACGTATGGCCTGATTGTAGCTCGCGACCGTGGTTTTCAGCGCTTCCGCCGAGATGCCGAACTTGTCGGCGAGCAGCTCCAACGAGCTTGCCTTCTTGTAACCCCAGTAAAGCCAGTGGAGTCGTTGAACCAACAGAGGGAAGTTTGTTTGCATGAACACTTGGTCCCTGGCTTTCGCCCACTGACGCGAGTCAAGGATCAAGAATCCTTTCGCTTGATGTCTCCGGACCATGATATCGCTGAGCGCCGCGCCGTAGACGTCCTCGGCGACGAAGCGCCTGCCCTCCTGAGACACGACGACTCCCTCGAGCAAGGCCGTGGGTGGGTACAGGAATCGCCATGCAGACATGTTGCCCATTTTCGACACCGAACCCCCGGCCGCGACTCCAATGTCGATCCCGGAGCCGTCGTCGCCTTGAGTCCCCAGAGGCGCGACTGTGGAGAACTCGGGAAGGTGCTCCTCTCGCATCTTCGGGTTGAAGGCGAAGCCGCCGGCTGACAGCACCACGGCCCGCGAGTGGAGTTCTTCCGAGGCAGAGTTTGTCTGCCATATCTTGTCCGCTCTTTTGTGGAAGAGATCGGCCAGCTGAGGGGCCATGAGTTGGCAGCTTTTGGCCATTTTCGTCCATTGATTGTGTCTCTTGAACCCTTGGTCGCTGTCTTTTAGTCTTCTCACATGAACTCCACTCGTGTTCCCCTTGTCGTCGAAAATCACCCGCTGGACCTTGGTAGCAGGGCAAAATTGAACTCCGAGATTCATTGCGGAGTTGAACAGGACTCTCCAGAGTTCTCCGCCTGAAAACCCAGCTTGTCTCATCCGATGCCCTCGTGGAGCCGGTCGAGCCACTTTGTTGAAGGGGTAAGACTTTTCGTTTCCCGAAAAATACAGATAATATCGATCTGTCGGGTAGCTCGTCTTGTATGGACACAAAGATCCCTCGAATTTTGCTCCATGTTTCTCCATCCACTCCAGTCGCGCCACACTTTCGTCGCAAAACCGTCGCAGAGTCTTGTCATCAACTGCATCGCCTGTTTCTTCCTTTAGGTAGGCAAACGTATTGCTCGGTGAGTCGTCCCCATAGCCTGCATCCTTCTGTTGTCGAGTCCCACCTCCGGCATAGACCACGCCTGATGAGAGTAGGCTTGGAACTACCCATGGGTACCCAGCTGGGTAGCTACCCAGGGCGGCCCATGGGTAAAATGGGTTACCCAATGGGTCTATAGGTAATACATAGGTATAGGTAGAAAATTTAGAGTACCTATAGGTAGTTTTAAGTAACCTAAAATTACCCACTATATAATATAAGTAATTCTAGGTTACCTAAAACTACCTATATATATACTCTTTAAAGCTAAAGCTTATAAGAAATTAATATAATAATTACTATAAATAGCTACTAAACTAGGATAAAGAAGACTAAATATAAGATAATAACTAGTCTAGGGCTATTAGCTAGTAGCTTTCTTAGCTATAGTCTTCTTTTATTTCTCTACCCTTACTTAGCTCTAAAAGTTCTTATTATAACTATAGTAAGAAACTTTAGATAAGGGCTCTATTAGAAGTTCTCTTAAAAGAGTACCCTTAAGCTTTAGTAATAGTAGAAGGTCTAAAAGAGGAGTAAAGTTTCTCTTAGAGGCTTAAGTATTAAGCTAACTAAACTCCTTATTATAGCGTAAGTTATTATCTTAAACTCCCTCCTCTTAAGAGCTATTAGGTTTATTTTCCTCTATATCCTCCTCTTTAGGGAGAACCTTAATTAAGGAGGTTATAAATATCTAATAGACCTAAAGGTAGTTCCTAATTATATCCTTATTAAGAAGAGAGTAATAGTTAAAAGTAGTATAAATAGTATATTAATATTCTTAAGCTACCTCTAGAACTTTATACTCCTTATCTAGTATCTCTTTAAGCTAAGAGTAAGATAGCTAAACCTTCTTTAACTACTTAACCTTAATAGTAAGAAGCTTAAAGATTATCTTAGTAGAGAGATTAAATTAAGAATAGTAGTAGATATTATATATTAAGCTAAATAAACGTTTAAGAGGAATAGATATAGTTTAGATATAGAGGTAGTCTATAGCTATAGTATAAATACCTTTAAACTAAGGATAGCTATAGTCTAGTTAACTCTAAAAGGCTTAAGTAGTTTTATTAGGAAGTATTACTATAATATATATTAAGTAGTATTTTTATACTTCTTTAATTAGGATAACTTTATTAGTATTAATTAGGATAACTTTATTAGTATTAAAATATTTATTATAAATATCTTAAGCTTATTATTTCTTAGATTTAGACCCTTAGAGATAATTAATATATAAGATTACTATAATAGATTGCTATAAATATCTATTTTATAGGACTACTAAATTAAATTATTTAGATAAGACTAAATAAGCTTTATAGCTAAATATTACTAAGTTACTAATTAGTTTATTATATCTTTAAGTAGTAGTAGGTTATATAGGTATAAATAAATTTCTATTTAACCCTTTACTAGAGAGTTTCTATTTTTATAAAGAGATTAAGAGTCTTATTATAGTTAAATTATATACCCTATATTTAAGAGACTAAAGTACTAGTAATTAGAGTAAGTAGAGTAGTAATACTATAGACTTTAAAGGAGCTAGAGCTAAAAAGTATATTAATATACTTCTTTAACTTCTTCTCTCTATTTAAAGCTATTTAACTAATTATAGATATCTAATACTAGTTATTATTATTTATTTTCTCCTTAATAGTAGTTCTATATAAATAAAAATAAACTAAGATAAATTAAAGAAGAGTAAAAGTATACCTAAGAGTAATATTTTAAGAGTAACTAACTAAATTAGTAAATAAAATAAAGGGCTTTATAATATTAAGTAAGATATCTAAAGCCTCCTACTCTAAAGTTAAGATTATATTTTACTAGCTATCCTTTTACTTTTAGAACTATATATTAATAGTTTATTAGAGAAGTTAAGCTTAAATATATATAATAATAGTTAAGTTCTATTAGGTATAAATATCTTATAAGAGTCTTAAGGGCTTTATATTTAGTTATATAGATTCTTAAAGGTTAAGGAATTCTTATAATTTAAGAACTAAAAGCTTAAGGGAAATAATAAGGCGTCTAATCTAAAGGGTTTATTAGTATAAAATTACTATAAATAGTTACTATAAATTAAATTTACCTTATAGATAACTATACTAATATAATTCTAACTTATGAAAATTATATTATTAAGTTGCTACTATAACTTATAGTTAATAGGATTAGCTAATTATTAATTAGTATCTTCTATAGTATTATCTTAATTAAGTTAATCTTTATTATTATTATTACTATTAGATTTATCCCTATTATAAGGTATAAGTTTTATAGATATAAAAAGAGAACTAATAAATAGTTACTTATATATTAATATTAATACTTTTTATAGTCTCTTTAGTATCTTTTACTTTAACTCTAGGAGTCTTACTCTCTAAGGCTCTAGACTAAGATACTTTAATAGCGTAATAGATATCTTAGATAATAAGGTTAAAGATATATATAAGATATCTAATACAGTAAATTTCTAATATTATTATCTTAAATTAATTACTATACTCTTTAGTAAGAACTTTAGGCTTGAAGGATAAAGCATTATTTATTAAGACTATCTAGAAGCTAAGCTATTAACTAGTCCTAGTTTAGAAGTATTAAAGAAGCTAGATAATTACTTTAGCTTACTATATCTATTTATATCCCCTAGATATACTAATAGTATTAATAATAACTTATTATAGGTTCTAGTTATTATTAATAAAGTAGTAGAGAATATTAAGAAGAGAATACTTAAGCCTAGGGGTACTTTAGATATCTATTATAAGTAAGACTTTCCTAGTTTTAGGGAATAAGCTAAAAAGGTCTAATTAGATCCTTAGGGCCTTAGATTCTAGCTATTTTAATAGTATTAGTTAGCTTAGTAGACTATAGTTAGGTTATAGAAGCTAGTAGAATTATTTAAAAAAGGTATTATAAATAATATTAAGGGATAGGTTTACTCTTATAACTAAGTAGACTAAAGCTTATTATAAAGCTTTAGTAGGATTACTAAAAAGGGCTTAAAACTAATTACTATAAATAATTACTATAAATATATAAATAGGTAACTTATAATTAGTTAGTCTCTATTTAGATTAAGGTAATATATTTTATTATATAATTTTAATAAATAGATCTTATAGTGCTTTAATATAGTACTTATTCTATTAGATTTAATATAAGAATAGGCTAAAGCTTTAAAGTATTATTTATAAAGTATAACTAGTATCCTAGTAGTATAATTAAATATATAATAAAACTTATTCTATATTAATACTTTAATACTAACCTAAAATGTATTTACTTAGCTTAATTATTTCTCTAGTAGTATCTCACTCTAAAGTAGATAATTACTAAGGATAACTTAGGACTTATACTATTATGGAGTTTTTTAAAAAGTAATAAATTAATAAAGAAAACTAGTTATAAGAATAATAAAGCTATAGTAAATATAAAGATTAGTAGAATCTAGAGGATTAAGATTATCCTTAAGATTATTCTTAAGTAATACCTCTAATATTTTAAATCTTTTAGGGGTAACCTTTTAGTATTCCTTTTAAGTTAAGGAATATTAATTACTATAATATTAATATTAATTAGCTTTAGTAAGGGATATAAGTTATAAGTTAGGTCTTAAGGTATTATAGAGTTATATTAAAATTCTAAGTTTAGTTACTTACTCTACTATAACCTCTATAAATATTTAATAGAGCTTCTTATAATAAAAAACTTTTATACTTATAATTTTAAATTTAAAATTTCAAATTTAATATTCTACTAAAGTTAATATAATACCTCTAGTAATTTCTATATTACCCTTATTATACTTAAGTTAATAAAGTAAGGCTAAATATAAAATACTAGCTATACTAAGTTAAAGAAGTATTATACTAATAAGGTTATAGAGTATTAATTTAAGCTTAAAGCTATTTAACTCTAACTTAGAACTTCTTTAGCTTATAAGAGCCTTAGAAGTTATTAAAACTAGGTTTACTATAAAGGTAGCTAAGTAAATAGGCTAGGGTCTTCTACTAAAGCCTCTAAGTAAGCTAAAAATAGCCTATAAGAAACTAGTTATTATCTCTTTACTAAAGAAGAAGAAGCATTAGTACCCTAGAAGTAAGAATTCCTATTTCTATTTTCTTTAGCTTTACTTAATAAATTAGTTTTAGCGCTTTATAAGATTAGGAAACTTTAAAAGATAATAAATCTCCTTATTTTAAAGGCACTATTTAGACGTCTTATATATAAGATTATATAGTCTCTATTAAGTTATAGCTAAAAAGAGTTTTAATTTTAATCTATAGTACTTAATATACTATAAGAAGTTATAGAGGATTACTTAGTTACCCTCTTTTAAAGTAAGTTTATTCTATTTAATAGATATAGAGCTAATATTTCTAGATGCTAACCTCTATATAATTTATATTAGGTAAGTTATATTACTTAAAAAGAACTTTAATTTACTAAAAGAGCTATTAAAACGCTCTTAGGGGGTTTAAGTATATTTATTATAGAGAACCTATCTAATTACTATAAATAATTACTA